GCTATTGGAGAAGACTTGGGTTCAGTCTTAGTTTTGCCCTCATGTACAGTCCCCTATTTTCCAAAGGAATGAGGATTTACAGGATATTTCGCGCAGCAGAGAAATTTAAACGTGGAACATCGAGATTGTCGAGTACAACTGCAATGATGATGCTTTCAGTCATACTGGTAATGGTACAGGTATGTTAAATAATAAATAAGTTGTCAGCATGCTATTTTGAATATTTATGAACACTTCCCTCTATCGCTGAAACCCCGAATCCACCATCGGATTTTTCTATGATCACTGATTTTTCACGGAAACGATAAAAACGTTAACATGATTCAACACGCTGAGAGTGTAATATAACATTGTTGGCAGATAAGTTTATGATATATAAACCATAGAAAATCACGTTTGATACGGAATAATCAAATTACTTTAGAGAAAATGGAATATCGTCTCATAATACACAATATAATTATTTACAGGTGGCACTGTCTGCAGTGGTTGCCTGGCTATCACCCCCTACAATGGAACAAAGAATGCCAATACCTACAGAGAAGTTCGTGGAGTCATCATGCAGCCTGCCTCTATGGACATTGGTGGCCCCTCTTGGTTACAATCTCCTTTTAATTATCATCACTGCCTTCTATGGATTTCAGACACGTCGTCTACCTGATAACTTCAATGAATCCCTTCATATATTTCTTTGTGTCTGTGCTACGTTGTTTCTGTGGTTAGCATTCATTCCGACGTATTTCACTGCTATGTATGTTTACCATCAGAACCTGTTGTTTTCACTTGTGCTTTTACTGAATGCAACTGTTGCGTTGATGTGCTTGTTCCTGCCTAGAGTATACGCATTGTACTTCATTAACGAATCAGATATCAAGTTTTCTTCATCCACCACATTTAGTTTTCGCGGGGAGAGCTCGGGCGCAACATCAACGTCGAATTCAACAAATACCTCTAGTACTAGTCTGAACAAAAGCACAGAGATCACTTTCGAAAGTAATCCAATGGATAAGAAAGTTGTTAAGTCGATCCCCAGTGTAGCTGAAAAAGTATGAATACGGTACCCAATTAAGATTGACGGCTTCAACGGGCGAACATTCTGTAGCAATAATTCTTGATATCGTAGAATCTAGCAAATAAGTGTGCTTTTGTGTGTTTTATGAACACAACTGACGTTTCATAGTTACTGAAATTACAATCAAAAATCTGTTCAATTCATCAGATGAAAGTAAAGAAAAACCCTGTCTTGAGAACGCGTCTCTAACACCCCAGTCACATTTCCCACGGCCGCCGTGCGGTCTATCATTTCTGCGGCCAGTGGCTTTTCTACGCTCGCCGTAGAATTTCTGTGCTCTCATAGTTTTGCAGTCACATTTCCCACGGCAGCCGCGCGATGAATTTTAAATTTCTGTTGATAAAAATACTTTTTTCATTTTATTTACATCAGGACAATTTATAAATGTTATTCATAGTGCTAGGATGTAATATCAAATGAAAAGTGATCGTGAAACATTATAATGATTCAATCTTGCCGAGCCAGTTGATTTCTACGGGGACCTCAGAAATGAACAAATATTATAGCTCCGAGTTATAATTTCTACGGCGACCCTGCGGCCTGTAAAAAACTGGATACGCCGTACGGAGGCCGTAAGGCGAGTGTAGTTTTCCTACAGTGTAGTTTTCCCCGTAGAAATCAACTGGCTCAACAAGATTTAATCATTATTTGTCAATGTTTCACGATCACTTTTCATTTGGTATTACATCCTAGCACTATGAATAACATTTATAAATTGTCCCGATGTAAATAAAATGAAAAAAAGTCCTATTTATCAACAGAAATTTAAAATTCATCGTGCGGCTGCCGTGGGAAATGTGACTGCAAAAGTATGAGGGCGCAGAAATTCCACGGCGAGCGTAGAAATGTTACTGGCCGCAGAAATGATAGACCGCAAGGTCGCCGTAGGAAATGTGACTGGGGTGTTAGCGCTTTCGGTTTTGGAATTACATTTGTGTTTATAGCACCTTATTTACAGGGCGTTCAATAAGTACAAATAAAAATGCAGCTGTAACTTTTTATTTTTTCATAATTCTTACTAATGTTTCTACTGTACATTGTTGAGTATTATACTGATGCATTGAAAAATCTCAGGAATGTTATCAAACAAGAAGATGGTACTGAGATGAGCCAAATGTGGTAAGTGGTGGATCAGGTCTGCACGAAAAAGCTCAAAATTACCAGTTTGATGTGAATATTGCTCCTCAGTCAACTGTCACAACACACCAACCTGTTACGCATCAATGCCATTTCTGAATCATTATGAATAACATGTTGTGCGCGAACAACCATTTGATAAATCATGTCAGAGTATCTTACACCCCAGTCACATTTCCTATGGCGACCTTGCGGTCTATCATTTCTGCGGCCAGTAACATCTCTACGCTCGCCGCAGAATTTCTGCGCTCTCATAATTTTGCAGTCACATTTCCCACGGCAGCCGCACGGTGAATTTTAAATTTCTGTTGATAAATAATACTTTTTTTCATTTTAATTACACCAGGACAATTAATAAATGTTATTCATAGTGCTAGGATATAATATTCAATGAAAAGTGATCGTAAAACATTAACAAATAATGATTCGATCTTGTTGTGCCAGTTGATTTCTACGGGGACCTCAGAAATGAACAAAAATTATAACTCCGAGTTATAATTTCTACGCCTTCCCTGCGGCCTGTAAAAATCTGCATTCGCCGCACGGAGGCCGCAAGGCGAGCGTAGTTTTTCTACGCTCGCCGCAGAAATTCACCGATTTAATTGATCTGCGGTCGACCTGCGGCCGCCGTGCGACAAATGTGACTGGGGTGTTAGTACCAGTGTTTATTTACCGACTTTCAAAATGGGTTAAAAAATGAAATCATGCATAAAATGTTCACATTTTCAGTAGGTCATTTTTAAAATTTTCGTGTAGATCTGAACCACCGCAAATCACCTTAGTCCCAACCCAGTACCACCTTCCTGTTATTCTTGCAACTCTTAAAGAACAAAAGTACAATACTAGTACTCCACAATGTAAAGTAGAAAAATTAGTAAGAAATATAAAAAATTAAAAAGGTAACAGCATTTTATCAATACTTATGTAATGTATATATTAACTAATGTATTTATATTTATTATTATAGCCTATGTAATGCTCTGTTACGGAAAATATGCGCAATCAGCTTCTCATTTGGCTTTGTTGGATAATTCTACATGTATATTGCCACTTTCAAGAGTAAAAATAGAACATACAACACCTAAAACATTTTTAAAAATAATAGTTTTACTGGTATTTATCCTACGTAGTTGATTTAAATCGTATTAGAAGGGCTTTTATGGAAAAGGTCTCTTACTACAACATACATCCAGTTAGTCCGCTTGTTTTTATGCTTTGTTTTATAAATAAAGTTGTTGTTGTAACAGTAAAATTATGTAGCATCTGTTATTAAAATAATATGTACCCTCAACACTGACTAATGCCAACAGTAGAGCAGACTACGGCGATATAAATGACCATCTCTGAACTAAGGTTCCAATACACCATTAGAAAGTTGGACGAATCAGGTTTAAGAATCTGACCTCCATTTAAATTTTGATTGAATGCAGAATAAGATATTAACCCTTTTATCCTCAATTTATTATCATGTCATTTATTAATTTTATGAAAATCAATTTCATTATGAAAAGTACCCCTGTGATCATAATGGATTATTTTTAGGTGTACAATAAATAGTTCGATGTCAAATTATACTTTGGAAAACATTAAAAAGTCATAAAGGCTGAGATGGGGGTCATTAAGTGCAGTGACCCCACAATGCTACTAAATGCGTCAGAATGTTTGTTTACAGTAGAAATGAGATTTGTTATTAAAAATGATATGTACTTTTATGTGTACGTTGGGTATTTAAGAATGTACAATACAAATTACTAATCTTCTCCTGAGAATATTAAGATTGTAGCAAGCGTGAATTGACTTAACATGAGATTATGCACCGTTGACTTAACATTGGTTATAATCATATCCCTTTGACCTTAAAATTATCTTTTTAAATTTACCCTTATAAATTTACTTATCAATGATATAATTAATCCCAAAGGAGCACTTAAAGTACTTTCTACTGCTTTATATGAATAGTCAATGAACAATTATGATGTAAAAAGAAACATCGTTTCAATGGATATTTGGGTGGTAATTTCAAAGAGAAAATGTAACCCTACCCACAAAATTTGTTGTTATGGACATTTAGATTGAAAATAGAAACTGATTGTCAAAATATATTTTGATTGAAAAAGCATGATTGATTTCCTAATTTTACCCCTTGGTGATGAAAGTAGACACTCTCAGCTTTCCAACGGTGCATTGCAGAAGAGGTAATTAAAAAGTTACTAGGGAGAGCACTTGAGCTCTATTTTGTTCACAATGCCAATGTCACTGTTTTTGTATTTTCCCATTTAGAAATAGCAAATGCCATTTTAATAAATTTTTGGGGAAAACACCTTTTGGTAACAACAAGATCAGATGCAATAAACAACAATAACTCTTATTCATGATATAATACCTACATAAAAGAGATGGGATATATATTTGCTCACCAATGAGTGATGAGCTGTCTGTAATTGACAATAATAACAAAAACATTCTTTGTATAAAGTGGATTCAAATTTCAAGAGCTTTAAGGTTCAATTGTGTGTATAGATAAAAAAGGATATAAAGGGAACAATAACAAGGAAATAGCTTATAGAATGACGACCGACTCACCAGGCCAGAACTACCTGTAGGTAAACTATACAACAAATTAAGATAAAGTCATGACAAAAACTCGTTATAATCCAGTAAATTCAAAATCATAGTAATACTACGAATAGTATGATTAATTAAGATGACCCTACATTGGACTATTATATTGATTTGTCTACTAGTTGGGTTGAAGGGTAGATAATGTCTATTCAAAACGCCATATGGTTACATGGAAAGGGTTGTCATGGAAGGTGATGTAATGCTGGGAGGCCTTGTCAGGATAAGAAGCCTACAAGAAGGCAAGCATTGTTCTGGTAAGATAAAATATGGCGGAAACGGGAACGTGCAAATTGCAGAGTCCATGCAATACGCTATCAAAGCTATTAACTCAGATAATGATATTCTCCCAAATGTCACACTAGGATGCATCATCGTCGACCAATGCGCGTTGCTGACAACCAATGTTCTTAGCGTATTGAATTTCTTACCTTTGGACAAAGAAGTAAGAGGAATCCCAGAAATTCAAAATCTGACATCGAGTTTCTATGACATTGCTGGGGTTGTTGAGTTCGCCACGAGCACAAATGCTATCACCACAGCAACCATGTTCAGCCCATTCCAGATACCACAGATTGATACCATAGCAACTACAGACGAGCTCAGTGACACTGGCAAGTATCCTTTCTTGTTTAGAGTTGTTCCACCTGATAGATATCAAGTAAAGGCTATGGTTGATTTACTGATGTATTACAACTGGACATACATCTCTGTGTTATACTGGGAGGGCAATTACGGCAATACTGCCTTCAAAACATTACGTCAAAAGACCAAAGAACGGGGCATATGCATTGGGTATTCTGAAATGGTTGCCTCTGATACATCACATGATGAATGGGAAGACATCGTTGAAAGACTAATTAAAACAAAGGCGAGAATTGTGGTACTTTTCACATACACTAGAGGAATTAGAAAATTGTTTCCATTGGTAGAAGCCAAAAACAAAACCGGTGAATTCATTTGGCTTGGCGCTGATGCATTTGACACTCGAACTGACACATCTAGCCTTAGGCCATTTCGTGTTGGTTCGTTTTCTTTCAACCTCCCTCAGTACCATGATAGACAATTCGAGAAGTTTTACAGAAGTAGAAACCCATGGAATAGTGGTGATGATAACCCATGGTTTCCAGATTTGTGGGAAAACTTATTTAACTGCCAATGGGAAGATGAAGGAAAAAATGATTCGTGCACAAACTATAAGGACATATCATATGCCACGGACCACCCTCTTAATATGAAAACATCAATGGTAATTGAAGCAGTTCACACATTGGCGCATGCGCTTGACGCCATGATGAAGGAGGAGTGCCCAAATGCAACAGGGGATCACTTAAGACAATGTGTATATAGAGGCAAACTTCTTAGTGACTATATCAGAAATCTGGATTTTGAAGGTCCATACAGACAGTTAAGATTTGATGAATTTGGTGACATCATTGGTAGTTATGTAATTAAGCAATACGTAGAGGACAATGATGGTGTCTTTGAAACAAGAGATGTTGGTATTTGGGACCAAAAGACAAACAGATTGACAATGAACATGCCACGAATTCAGTTTCATGAAAGGCTGACACAAACGGACACCAAAGCACTAGTAGCAAGGACCCAAACTGTTAGTGATAATTTGACCAATGAAACGAGACAAGAAGCCATGATACCGGATTCCGTTTGTAGCTATCCATGTTTGCCTGGTGAATTCTACGTACAGCTTGAGTTGAAATGCTGCTGGGAATGTCGATCGTGTAGAAACAATGAGATAGTTGTTCGAGAATCAACTTCATGTGAGGCATGTCCTCTTTACACATGGCCAGAGCAGACCAATTTCACCACCTGCATTAACATCCCAAATGAGGTTATAAACTACCTGGACCCTATCGTCATAACAATCTTGACTATTGCTGGGATGGGAATAGCATTTTGTGTTTGGATCGCAGCAGTATATGCTCACCATCGCGACAAGAAATTGATAAAGGCTTCAAACACTGAGATATCGGCTTTGATAATGTTTGGGACAATTACAATGTACATAACTGCCTTTAGTTACTGTATAGAGCCATCGGAGTTGACTTGCTATTGGAGAAGACTTGGGTTCAGTCTTAGTTTTGCCCTCATGTACAGTCCCCTATTTTCCAAAGGAATGAGGATTTACAGGATATTTCGGGCAGCAGAGAAATTTAAACGTGGAACATCGAGATTGTCGAGTACAACTGCAATGATGATGCTTTCAGTCATACTGGTAATGGTACAGGTATGTTATATGTATATCTACCAAGGAAAATAAGTTGTCAGCATGTTATTCTGAATATTTATGTACACTTCCCTCTATCTCTGAAACCCCGAATCCACCATCGGATTTTTCTATGATCACTGATTTTTCACGGAAACGATAAAAACGTTAACATGATTCAACCAACATTGTTGGCAGATAAGTCTATGATATATAAACCATAGAAAATCACGTTTGAAACGGAATAATCAAATTACTTTAGAGAAAATGGAATATCGTCTCATAATTACATAATTGTTTACAGGTGGCACTGTCTGCAGTGGTTGCCTGGCTATCACCCCCTACAATGGAACAAAGAATGCCAATACCTACAGAGAAGTTCGTGGAATCATCATGCAGTCTGCCTCTTTGGACATTGGTGGCCCCTCTTGGTTACAATCTCCTTTTAATTATCATCACTGCCTTCTATGGATTTCAGACACGTCGTCTACCTGATAACTTCAATGAATCCCTTCATATATTTCTTTGTGTCTGTGCTACATTGTTTCTGTGGTTAGCATTCATTCCGACGTATTTCACTGCTATGTATGTTTACCATCAGAACCTGTTGTTTTCACTTGTGCTTTTATTGAATGCAACTGTTGCGTTGATGTGCTTGTTCCTGCCTAGAGTTTACGCATTGTACTTCATTAACGAATCAGATATCAAGTTTTCTTCATCCACCACATTTAGTTTTCGCGGGGAGAGCTCGGGCGCAACATCAACGTCAAATTCAACAAATACCTCTAGTACTAGTCTGAACAAAAGCACAGAGATCACTTTCGAAAGTAATCCAATGGATAAGAAAGTTGTTAAGTCGATCCCCAGTGTAGCTGAAAAAGTATGAATACGGTACCCAATTATGATTGACGGCTTCAACGGGCGAACATTCTGTAGCAATAATTCTTGAATCTAGCAAATAAGTGTGCTTTTGTGTGTTTTATGAACACAACTGACGTTTCATAAATCATAGTTACTGAAATTACAATCAAAAATCTGTTCAATTCATCAGATGAAAGTAAAGAAAACCCCTGTCTTGAGAACGCGTCTCTAACACCCCAGTCACATTTCCCACGGCCGCCGTGCGGTCTATCATTTCTGCGGCCAGTGGCTTTTCTACGCTCGCCGTAGAATTTCTGTGCTCTCATAGTTTTGCAGTCACATTTCCCACGGCAGCCGCACGATGAATTTTAAATTTCTGTTGATAAATAATACTTTTTTCATTTTATTTACATCAGGACAATTTATAAATGTTATTCATAGTGCTAAGATGTAATATCAAATGAAAAGTGATCTGTTCAATTCATCAGATGAAAGTAAAGAAAAACCCTGTCTTGAGAACGCGTCTCTAATACCCCAGTCACATTTCCCACGGCCGCCATGCGGTCTATCATTTCTGCGGCCAGTGGCTTTTCTACGCTCGCCGTAGAATTTCTGCGCTCTCATAGTTTTGCAGTCACATTTCGAGAAAGGGTCGAAGGCATGCTAGGCGAACCCTGGAAACACGGATTCGTTAGACCAGGGTTCACTGTTTCTTTCTGTTAAACCCTGTGTGAAAGTACATTCATGATTCATACTACAGTGAGCAGGAGGTTTAACAGTGAACCCGGGTGCTCTTTGGCCTTATTTAGATCTTTGTTTCTCAGACCAGGGTTCAGCAGGGTTTAAGGGCATTCCAAACGAAATAAGTGTTTAATGAGGCTAAGAAATAGTAAAATGTGCTTAATTAGAATGATATACCTGGTATTTTTACCAGGATCTCCTTTTAATTATAATAACTGCCTTTTATGGATTTCAGACACGTCGTCTACCTGATAACTTCAATGAATCCCTTCATATATTTCTTTGTGTCTGTGCTACGTTGTTCCTGTGGTTAGCATTCATTCCGACGTATTTCACTGCTATGTATGTTTACCATCAGAACCTGTTGTTTTCACTTATGCTTTTACTGGATGCAACCGTTGCGTTGATGTGCTTGTTTCTGCCTAGAGTATACGCATTGTACTTCATTAACGAATCAGATATCAAGTTTTCTGCTTCCACCACATTTAGTTTTCGCGGGGAGAGCTCGGGCGCAACATCAACGTCGAATTCAACAAATAGCTCTAGTGCTTGTCTGAACAAAAAGCACAGCGAACACTTAATTCGAAAGTAATCCAATAGATAAGAAAGTTTTTAAGTCGATCCCCAGTGTAGTTGAAAAGTATGAATACCCAATTAAGATTGCCTGCTTCAATGGACGTACATTCTGTAGTGTCCATTATATCCCCATTGAAGCTCGTTCGCGGTTGATATTTTGGACCAACCCTACTATCACATCAAACTAGTTCTTACTACGTTCTCGAAAACGGGCTTCAACTGTGTACGAACGGACTGGACGTACTTAGAACCGTTTGGGGTCTATTTACAAACTTCATCGAACGTACTCAAACGGTTAGGTCCTCTAGAACTTAGAACATGCTCATAATGTTATCTTGGTCGTCACGTTCTACAATTAGAACGAGTGACAACCTACTAACGACGAGCTGGACGTACTATGAACGGAACCGTCGTACTTCAATCCTACTAGGGACGTTTTTAAAACGAGTTGAACTGTCTGAGGACGAATTGAGAACGAGGTAGAACTAATTGCAAACGGGTTAAAACTGATTAAGAACAAAAATATAGCTATCACACCATGCAAATTGCCACTGCTTTCTTCAAAACTGGTATTAAACTGTGTGCGAACGGAACGAACGTAGCTACAACGTTCTACGGTCTGTTTACGAACTTCATGGACTTTCCCGGATGGGGAATGTGATTTAGAATTTTGAATCGATTCAAAATTCGATGGCGACCATACCATCTGTAATTAGGTCATGATGACCTTCTAGACTAAGGGACGCGTTATACGACGTTGCACACCGACGTGGTGCGACCTGAACGAACTGCGAATGAGATGGACGTATTGAAGACTGTTTATGAACGAAGTAGCTAATCATTTTAAACATATTTCCCGACCACAGCCAGATTGAGCCCGTTTTACGACGTTTTCGTAGGACTGGCAAGAACGGGTAAGAACTCGTTTGGTGTGATAGGGGGTAACAGATAATAAATGCTGTATGTTCACAATTGAAGCAATAATTATTGACACCGTAGAATCTAGCAAATAATTGTGCTTTTTGTGTGTTTTATGAACACAACGTTTCATCAATCATAGTTACTGAAATTACAATCAAAAATCTATTCAATTCATCAGATGAAAGTAAAATAAAACGCGTCTTTAAAGACATGAAAGAGCTTTAGGTTTTGGGATTACATTATAGGGTTCAAAAATACAGATAATATGCTGTAACCTTTTTCATAATTCTTTTTAATCGTTCTACTGTACATTGTTGAGTATTAGACTGATGTATTGCAAAATTTCAGGAATGTGCTTAAACAGGAAGGAGATGCTGAGATGAGCCAGAGGTGGTTCGTGGTGGTCAGGTCTGCACGAAAAAAGCTTCAAAATGACCACATTTTCATGTGAATGTTGCTCCTCAGTCAACTGCCACGACGCACCAACTTGTCACACATCAACATGTTGCGTGCGACCAAACCTTTTGATAAATCATGCCAGGGTATCTTAGTACCAGTGTTTATTTACCAACTGACAAAATGGGTTCAACCCAGTACCACCTTCCTGTTGGAGTGCATTCTTGTTACTCTCACAGTACAAAAGAACAATACAATACTCCACTATGAAAAATAGAAAAATTAGTCAAAAAAATAGAAAATTGAAAAAGTAACAGCATTTTATCTGTACTTATACATGTTATATAATGTGTAGATTAACTGTATGTTTTATCAGTTTATAGTACATGTATGTAATGCTTCGTTATGAGAAATAAGACAATCGTTTTAAAATGTTATCTTGAATATGTTGTTAAATGGTTTTACTATAAAATAAATTGCTCATGTGAATTGTGTAATGTCATATGGGATGCTTACATGCTTCATTAGACGTGATACCAGACTCTGAGAATCAAAGCCTAATGATCAGAAATGACTGAGTAAGATAATGCATAGATAATCATAAAAATAAAATGCATACTGACAAAAAGTTTAGTTAAGTTCGAAAAATCCTTTGCTCATACTAAAGATTATGTTGCAAAGATATCAACAAAATTACCCCCCTATTTGTGGTCTAAACATATTTAAGATAAACAAGGGGGAAATATTTGAATATTTGACAAAACAGTTGTAGTGTCTAATGAAGCATTACAATCATCCATTATGAGATCACACAATTCACATGAGCATTATAATTGTTCAAAACAGTCAAGAACACATGGTATTTAACAATTTGATGGGTTTCATTTTATTTGATAACTTATGCCTTTAAACATGGTTAGTTGGGGCTATTCTTGCACAATTTTTTATTTGCCCCGAGTGCCTCGATTTCCGGTTACTATGGCAACAATTTCTGAAATAATATTTCTGTTATACCAAATATTTTTTGATAGATTAATACAGCAGGCCCGGGGTACCAATACCTCCTTCACGGATATAAATATTTGTCAAAATGTATTACTTTACACATTTTGCCATCAAATATTTAGGTCTGATAGTTAACTGAATGATTCATCGCTGGCAAAAAATGTTTGGCAAATAATAATCATCTGTGTAAAAAAGCGTCCATATGTACTTAATTGATCACCCCTCGTATAGGATTTCATTCTGTGTTCTCATTAACTAATGCTGTTTTTTAATTCTGGAGAGCTGAGATCACTGCAATATAACATAGGGCACTTGACATTTGGTTCCATTTTCAAGATGTATATTTCCTGAATTCCTAATTTTCTCAACATTCATCTTGTATCGTGTTTCAAAAAAAACTGAAAAACATGCACTATTGTATCATCTCTGTAATAGCACTAAATTATTTATAATTTGAAGCTCACATTTGTGATTTTGTTCTGAATTTAAATCCAACAATATCAAGAAACTTAGTGTTTTGGGTTTATAATAGTTATTTTATTACGATAGTTTTGCACTGCAGATTCAGAATTATATTTAAACAAGGTATTAACATGACGAAATGTTATCACCTGCAATTATAACAAGGTATTAACATGACGAAATGTTATCACCTGCAATTATAACAAGGTATTAACATGACGAAATGTTATCACCTGCAATTATAACAAGGTATTAACATGACGAAATGTTATCACCTGCAATTATAACAAGGTATTAACATGACGAAATGTTATCACCTGCAATTATAACAAGGTATTAACATGACGAAATGTTATCACCTGCAATTATAACAAGGTATTAATATGACGAAATGTTATCACCTGCAATTAAAACAAGGTATTAACATGACGAAATGTTATCACCTGCAATTATAACAAGGTATTAACATGACGAAATGTTATCACCTGCAATTATAACAAAGTATTAACATGACGAAATGTTATCACCTGAAATTATAGATGTCAAACACCGTCCACAAAAAATACGTCATCACTTGTGGAGGTGACATAAAAAATGTAAGTATTTATTTAACGATATCAACACTTCTTGTTTCATAATAATAATGCTCTGGAATAGGAAGACAGGTTTTCCCTTACAAGCATTTCACTCCCTATTAAAATACATACAGTATTGTCAGTATAAATACATGAATTCTGTACAGGTACTCTTTCCTGGTTATATCAACAAGAAGCATACAATGGGAATGGGATCAGGTAATAGGGAGGTTAAGCTAGGGCTTTTAAGAGAACTTGTAATTGAAATTGTAATATATGATGACCCCCAGGAATTACTGTTTCCTCGCAATTAAGTGGTTTTTCAAAAATAACAACATTTTTCCTAGTTTCTTAAAGTGGATTGGGCTAGTAAATATTATGAAAGGGACAGCGAATCGCTAGATGACCATAATTGTGTTAAAGTTCTCGTTAAAACGTGTAGCTTTATAACCTCACTAGTGTGCACTCTTTTGAGGACAATCGCAAGCCCAAACCAGTCACAGTTGAACCGATTCCTCATTTCAGTGAAAACACTTTTCAGCAATCACACACGATTTAATAATGCTGAATGAAATCCTTGAGTATGGGTTAATCCCATCATCAGCCATTTCCTTCTGATTATAGAACATTTCATTCACACTACAAATTGAAACTACCATAGTGTGACTTAATCATTTTATCAGCTGTTTTCTGGACTATCTACATGTATTATACTTTTAATGTCTTCTGGAATCCTTAGTCTCATTTTTGACTTCAACACTAAAACTGGGTTTAACTAGTTAAGAGTAAATGCTTACAACTCAACAACTTTCCTAATGGGACATGATTAAATATCACTGAGTTCATAATAAGCATTATATATATTCTCAACAAAAGAAAACTTAAAATTGTCAATTCGATCCAGACTAACTGTTACTAACATCTATCAGTATCATCCTTTGGTACAAAATAATAAATTTGATTTCACTTTATAATTAATTCACAATAATTTGAATCAAGTATTGAGTATCCATTGTTAAATATCATATTTAAGGAGAGTGGTGTTATCCCTTAAATCCCTAGAATAAACAAGACAGTCACAGTGTAACACACTAATCCAAATCCAAACAAATGAAGTAGTGTGCTCTTTTCACATTTATCCAAATCTAGTTGTGGGCTATTTTCACACTTATCCAAATCCAGTAGTGTGCTCTATTCACACTTATCCAAATCTAGTAGTGGGCTCTTTTCACACTAATCCAAATCCAGTAGTGTGCTCTATTGCAATTAAAAGTTTTTCTCGAAGTTTCTCTTTTGTATTATATTTAGGGAGGTCTAGTAGGTTAAAGCAGGTGTGACCTACAGGAAGGTAATCTTCCCCTCCACCAACTGGCTGGATATATATCTGAAAATAGAAGAGGTTTTTGTGTCCGCTTGGTCCATTCAACACAGTTTGACTGCAATATTCACAAACCTAAGAGCTATCTGTAAGAGCTAAAAGGACCCTTAAAGGGTAACAATTAGTTCCTCGTATTAAAACAATATGTTAGAGGGGATTCAACTGGATCAGTAAATTTTTAAGAAATAAGGGGAGTTTTGTAAATTCCAGTTCATTGAAATCGTCTTGGAGATTAAACATTTCATTTACAATGATTCTGTTCACACTGAGAGAGTGTACTATCCAAAGGATGCATGTACACCAGGCAATATAAATCCTTGTATTAAAACTAGAATATCAAACCTGCTTTTGTAGGACATTTCGTAAGCCATGCTCTGTGCTTACACGTGATGAGAAAATCTAGATGTCAATTGTTCCTGTTAACACACTTATGCATACATGCTTAGAATATACCATGCAAAATGCACATATTATACTTGTATCATTAATGTACTGAATATTTGTTTTCAACACACTTATATTTACAGACTATTTGAAATATGGTAAATTCATCATAAATGTGTTAAACTTACCTTGACTGCCTTCATGCCCAAAATAGGGATTCTGTCACTGCCTGTCAGAAACACTGGAACATACAAATTCATTCATTATGATTTGAATAAGTGGAAAATGTTTTTGGGGGTTGGAGAATGTGACTGAATTGGTTGAGACAGTGAACTCATGGATTATAAGATTACATTAAGGTTACATTCTTTCATATATTGGGAGTAAAAGGGGAAACTAATAGTTATTAAATGAAGATGAAACAGCCTGGAACAGTCAATTTGACTGTTATTTTAAGCAATCTCATATTTCAACAAGAGTCAAATTAGTCCCCAGAAAAACAGTAAAACCTGGGAAGCTGAAACTTTATTTATTTTTATTTCTCAACATCAATTGCATCATATGTTATCTGATTTTGAAACACTTTAAATGATACATGTATTGTATATTTTCAATATATCAATATTTTGATGACAAAAAATCAACCATATTTTTTTCATATTAGATTAGTAGTCTATAAGTACAGTATACTGTAGCTATATGACAATATACAATTGTTGACCTCTGCAGAGGTCAACCGGCAAAATTGTATACCGAGACTGTAAACCGAGAAACTACTGTTGACAGAGACCGAAGGTCGAGGTCAACAGTAGTTTCAAGGTTTACAGTCGAGGTATATGATTTTGACGGTTGACCGAATGGAGAGGTCTACAATTGTTTTGTTAGTCAGAAGAAAGACGATAATCATCAATCATGGCTTCATTTCACAATCTTTTCTTTGAACCACGCCAGCAATAATTTGTTTAAGAAAATTTGAAGACAGTGGTAGTTAAACTCTCTGTTTTCGGCACATCACTGCGTACTCACTAGTAAATTAATGTTAATTTTACGTTTCTATTTGTATTTTGCTATACTTGTAGTCTAGTAAAGACAAAATATCACTTTCATGAACTTTTACAAAATGTCCGTCTACCATGTTTTTTTCTGTAAACATTATGACGTCATATTCCCCATAATTCCCAAGTGTAGTACAGTAACACACGCGGTCAATAATATGATATCCCATGATGCACAGGTGGGGTACAGGCAAAAATGTTGACCGCTAATTGACCAATCAGATGCGAGTATTTACACTGAGGTGCTAACAATATACAATTGTTGACCTCTCCAGAGGTCAACCGGCAAAATTGTATACCGAGACTGTAAACCGAGAAACTACTGTTGACAGAGACCGAAGGAACTAATAATACACTTAGACGACGCCAGCAATGCGTACTCATTAGTAAATTAATTTTAATTTTACATTTCTATTTGTATTTTTGTTATACTTGTCGTCTAGTAAAGTCAAAATATTACTTTTATCAACGTTTACAAAATGTCCATCTACCATGTTTTTTCTGTAAACATTATGACGTCATTTATTTTTCAAAAGTAGCGGTCAACAGTACCTAGTAGCGGTCAACGGTACATATTGTTGACCGCTAATCAACCAATCAGAATCGAGTATTTCAGTTGAGGTACTAACAATACCGTTTGATACCTTTGTTCAATACTTACGTAAAAACTTTTTCTTTTGCTCGAGATTCAATTCCCGAAACACCTCCCAGAAGAATGTGATTGTCTTATGTCTGCCTCCCTCATACTCTCCCTTATATTGCGCATTCTGTAAAATAATAGATCACGTAATATCACATATTACAGTGAACAAACTTGTAACTTTTACAGAAAAAACTGAACTGTAGATTCATTTAGGAATGCACTGTATGCGTAAATTATCACAGGTAAATAATATGAAATGAAAGTAAATTGGGAATCCCCAAAAATATACTTCTGTGTATTGTGCTGTGTATTCTTTGTTCATGTTTCCTCAATTTTCTTCACCTGTATTCTCAATGAAGACGTAAAAATGAAGACAAATAAAATACCTTTTCTAGCTCTTCCCAGTCATAGTTCTCATTGCCTACCACCATAGCCTGTAGTTCCTGTGGATGGAATAACTCCTGCAATATTAAGCAATAGCTGACAAGTGTGAGTGTGAAATCAATTCATAAGTTTCAAACTATCAGCATGAGGAACAATAAATATGGAACTGTTACAACAAAATACTTTACAAAACCTCTATAGAAGTGAGAACACCTCTTTAGAAGCGAGAAAAAGAGCTTATGTATATTGTCGGTGGGACTTGCACTTAAAATTAAGGTGCTTTTTATTAATTTTTGAATGTCATGAATGTCAGATGGCGAATATGGTCAAAACTGAGACAAAAATAAATGAACCACTTGAGTCTGAGTTGACTAGGACTGTAGTTGTTTATTGGCTGTAGATGTACTTGTTTATTGACTGTAGATGTACTTGTTTATTGGCTGTAGATGTACTTGTTTAATTGCTGTAGATGTACTTGTTTAATTGCTGTAGATGTACTTGTTTATTGACTGTAGATGTACTTGTTTATTGGCTGTAGATGTACTTGTTTAATTGCTGTAGATGTACTTGTTTCATGGCTGTAGATGTACTTGTTTATTGACTGTAGATGTACTTGTTTTATGGCTGTAGATGTACTTGTTTATTGACTGTAGATGTACTTGTTTATTGGCTGTAGATGTACTTGTTTATTTGCTGTAGATGTACTTGTTTATTGGCTGTAGATGTACTTACAAGGACAGTTCCTCCACAGACTCTATGGAAGCCTTCACTGAATGCGTTGAACTGCTGTTCTACTGAACGATTAAATATGAAGTCTATATAGGCAGACACATATTCTTTCCTGGAATAAATCATTTCATTTTCTGAGTATATGTGTACTGTAACAATATGTCAATTTTTAGTATTTATTTTGCTGTATTCTCGTGAGTCAAAAACAAAGCATTAGTTAAACAATTAAATGCTCTTGTAGTATACGCTACTCCTCCTGATGGGCATTTAAAATAAAATGGCATGATTTATAAATATGCTACATTCTTTTTAAGGTTCTAAGCATATAAGCAATGGACTAATCTAATTTCTAAAATTCTATACCACTTTAATGACATATCAAATTGAAAGGGTCAACTTTTTACAACTTTAACTTCTTTAAAATTGGAGGATATGTTTTTCAAAAGCATCTACAAGTCACCAGATTTTTATGGCCAACACAGATTTGAGATTTGACAATGACAAAAGTCCAGACTTTTAACAAAGAATATTATATGATAAGATCAAACATGGGCTTTCAAACCAGCATTAAAAGTGTGTTTACCTGTTGTCATTAGTAACTGGTATATTAGCACCATTGGGCACCAGATCATGGCTCTTCACCTCATCAAAATACAGCCTGGAGATCTAAAATGAAGAATTACACCCTATCTTACATACATAGTATGTAGAGTGTGCATGCAGAAAATGGTCGGTGAGGATATGAAGTAGAAAGCTGTTTACACAATTTCCTGTTCATCAGGTATCATCTACACATACTGAATATAATTGAATACCAAACATGGCTTAGTTAATAAAATTTCACAAGTTCAAAAATGACTGTCTTCAATGATTCTACCTTGCATACATGGTTCCTTGTATACATGCTACTTTTATCTGCACCAGATTTTCTGCACACACAGTCCACATAGGGTGAGTTATAATAAATTCTATCTAATGTTAAATTAGATACCTGATAAATTAATTGGAAAAGCCAGAGATCAACATATAGACACATTCATTGAATGCATGACATATCCCCTCCCCCTATGAAATACTGAATTTACCTGGAATGTGAGTCCAAAAGTCTCTTCAACAGCTCCATCCTCAAATTCTTGAAGTTGTTTCAAGCTCCTGTTGAAATAAATCAAATGTGTAAGACACATTCATGAAATACTCATAGTCAAAATTGGAGTTTATCAGAAAATCCCATATTGAAAAACTTGAAAACCTGTGTAGTAATTTTAAAAACATGAATGACCACCAAAAGACAATTTTTCTATTGACGAGTGAGGCGATCATATTAAAAGAATCTGCTAACATGATAAATTATCTAATGATTGGTAGAGACAGGATTCTTATATCAAAGTAACATTTTATATGTCATTTGAAGAATGTAATTCTATTTTCTTTACTTTATTGCTCGTATATTTACTGTTATTGAAAATTGTATATCGGATGTACGTTTGGCCCTAAAAGGGCATCAGTACTAATAAAATCCTATTATAGTCAAATACCAGTTATTTCCTGGACATGGCAAGTCTGGATACATGTAACACAAAGAAGGCATAAACATTATTGAATATGTCAGTGTCACCAGCTGGTAAATTATTGCAAATGTTTACAATAGGGTATACTACTGTACAAGTTCTATTTTTTATAGATGCCACCAATCATATGTCAGACCATACATGATAGATCCCATACCTACGGAGGTTCTATCGGAGGTTCTACATTCTAAAATTCCAACATTTAAAAACTTGAAATATTAAAATGTAAATTTTTTAAGAAACTATTTTTTCATTCATATATTTTGTTATGGAGCGATACCAAGATGGATACAACTGTCTATCCTAGACCTTAGAGATAGCAGGATTACATACAGAAATATCAATCCTTCAAAGACACACTACACAGCCAGTATAATTTGGCGCTGTTTCGGCATCGAAAAAATTTGGCGTCATTCCGGCACCGTTTCGGCGCCATTCCGGCACTGTTCCGGCACCGAAACCTTTCGACACCAAAATTTGCCACCGGACTAGCCAGTCCATTTGGAGCCGAGACGGCACCGAAACGGCATCGAAAATCAGATTGCATTTTGGGGGTGTAGATATTTCCACACGTATTGTACAAAGAATCACAGTATGCATGGAATACAGCAGCATTTAACTCACCTTCCAAGAGATGGATCCAAATCTGTCAAATCATCTAATGTGACCTCCCTAAAAATAGAAAATGTATATTGTTCATAATTATACTCATTAATGCAGATTATGAATGTTTCAATATCAATTTTCTTAGCACCAAATTATATAACTATACAAGGACATTTAACCTTTTTTTTGGCAAACAAGGCAAAAATTAATATCAAAATACCAAACATGACATGCATTTTGGCAGTTTACAAAGCCAAAAGAGGCATCAAATGGGTAGCATTTTTGAAAGTTGTTCGAAGCACTGTTTTTTACCTTTTGAGCAATTTTTTGAAGAGTGCCTGAGGGAAATGCAGGTCAATGATGGTAGCATTGTATATAGCCAGACCACAGACCAGGCCTATCAGGTGAAACATTGTAGTATCTTCATCCAATATCTGAAAAGAAAAGTAAAGGCATCCAAATCCTATATCTCTAGAGGTTACTTGAGCTTGCATACAGATTGATTGAGCATTTGATCCCATAGTTTTGTGACAACTTTTGTACTTATAAAATACAACAGTGAAACTTTCATCACTGTTTAGTTGAAACAGAGCACCTTGTTCAATCAAAGGAACACAGATATCTGATTATCGAATAAACCTTTTGGCCTTAATTAAATTAATCAATAAAGTTGTTAATTATCAATCAATGAAGTAGCTAAATATTTATCAATGAAGTTGATAATTATTAATAAATTCTCTACCCCAAGATTAGTAGAAAATGCTACTCTCTATACTAAGTATACATATGTATAGGACAAATAGACATATTGTTTTGATACCAATGAGATCTTAATGGCCTCAAAAATAGCTATCAAAGGATTTAATGTTAGTTTGAAAATGAATGAATGCCAGCTGCTTAAAAAAGCATAAAATCATGTGACTGTAGTTCTGGTTGGGTAACTGGATTTTGATCAACATTTCCTGGTTGGTTAATACTAGACCAAAGGATTATTTCTTATTCATGAAGCATTTCTGTCAAATTCTTCTCTGGCCTACCTGATCACTGAACCAAAGTAAACGGGACTCCTCATAATACTTGAACATTCCAAATTTGGGGTCAAGAATCTCACGAAGCAACAGCATGAAAAACTCCTGAAATACAAAAATAAATACCAATACAAACAACATGCTGATATTGATCAAACAACACTTTATTAATTTGGGTCATACAGATCAGTACAACAAAATATATATAAAGTATCACAATGTCTGTTATCTATAAAAGGATTATTTCTTTTACAGGTAGTGTAAATGAAGAGCTCTAAGATACATGTGTGTAAAAGATATGTAGACAGATTTTACCTGAATTTTTATATTTGTCTTTTATTTGATCATTCAGAAAAATTTAGATAAATCAATACTTTAATATGTAGTGTAACAACAATGGACATATATAAACAATATGTTTATGATCTGTAAATAAAAAGTAGTGAAAGAACGGTTCTCAAGATATCTTTATTTCAGAATATGTACGCTCTATGAATTATAGAAAAAATTAAATGCCCCTTACAAAGTTAAGAAAGATGCTTTTATCATTCACCAAAGTGGTATATTCTTTGGGGCCTTTAATAAACAGTTTTTACAAACTTAGAAATTGTAACCCATATTTTGAATAAATAATAAATGGATGAATGAATCCTAATGGGTTACTCTTATCTAACCTTTCTTACTCCCCCTTCATCCACAGCTTCTTCATTGTAAAACATAACCTGTAAAATGTGCCAAGATATCACCTAATAGCATGTGAGGAAAACAGAACACCCAAGCCCGTAGCCATGGGGGGGGGGGGAAGGGGGGGGAGGGGTTGCAAGCAAAGTTCCCCTGGCCAAGAATTCCTTCAAAATCATGCTGTCTTCACAATTCTGAGCACTTTTCAAGTGACTTGGGTTAAAATGGTCTCATGTGAACCCCCTGGAATTTTTTAAAAAGTGAACCTCCCTTGGCAAAACTGGCTACGGGTCTCACACCAGACAAGACCATTAGTGCATGAGCTTCCATATCCTACATGCCCATAGCCAGGTGGGAGGTTCTCTTCGTTTGTTGCTCTTCAAAATAGAATAAATTTGTCAGAGATTTTATTTGATTAGAGAGAAATAAGTGGGTAAACCTATATTGGGCGCCACTGAAAATTCGAGCCCTCTCGAGAAATAAAAGACCCTTTGAAACATCAGAGCCATGCTGGCTATGGGCCTGTTGCAATTAAACAACACCCTATAACGATACATACATGTACCTGTTCATGGTTTGCATTTGCATTGTTAATACATGATATAAGGGTTAGAGGGTGTTGAATTGTCAAAGTGAGATATCTCAGTATCAGATAAAGCACATCTAGAAACACGGGTACAAATCAGACCTCAATATACCATGACAATTTCAGGCTCAACATTGAGCAGATCATACTGCAAGGTGTATTTAAACTCTAAACATTCCTGGAAATACTTAAATCGGATCACTTGTATGTTGGTAAAAGACACCAAATCAAAAGTATAGCTATGGTAGCACTAATCATATCCATGGTATTATGAGGTCTGCTTAGTACCTGTGAAAAAGAAGAACAAGGACATGAATTCTGCAGCTTTCAGTTGGAATCAACCAATGACTATGCTTGTGAAAAATTTTCAATTTTAAAAATAAGCATCAGAATCGGGGGGGGGGGGGGGGGGAGGGGGTCTTCCCCCCATTCTATGGGTATCCTATTGTTCATATGAACGACTATTAGAATGTTAGCATGTTTCAGATGTTTGAATTGATTTGCTTTTTCTAATTCATTATTACACATAAGCAAGGCATAATGCCATCTAGACCAAGTGTCATTTAGGCAATGTGTAATTAATGTAATTAAGCAAAGGCATAGTAATTCAACTAACTTAGATGCAGAATTTTATCCCCATTTCAGATATTGCTGATTGAAAAATAGAATTGAAAATAAATGTATTAAGCAGAATATATTTCACTTTAGTTAATCAATTAATTAGAATCATTCAGCATTTATCTGAGAACATAGAAAAATCATAGGCAACAAGAATTATATTTTATTAAAAAATAATTGAACTGTCCATTTAAAAATGAAAACATGAACAATTTAAATCAATTGTTACTGATATATGCTTATGAATTCATAGTTTACATCTATTCTTGTTGCCTATGATACCAAACATGTGTACTCTTGTTGCCCATTGAGCAATTTTTGACCTCAACTGACCTTTCTGACCCCTCCCCCATCAAGAGCTTCTTCCCCAAGAATCACAACCTAAACATAGCATATTGTAACAAAAAAACTATTTAAACCATCTTTTGACATACTGAAAATGTGACATACTTATTATTTTAACAGTAAAAATGAAGACTAAAATTTTTATTAATTTAGAATGAATAATTGTCTATTGATATTTTTCCAAATGTTTTAGTCACAAATCAGGAAAATACAACATTTCAACATACCTTCAGAGGTTTTTTAAAGTCTGCACAGCCTTGTTTTTGAAGTTGATTGATGGTGTCTTGCACAATGTTTTCTCTCCTTATGAACAAGACAAGGCATGGGTTGACTGGATCCACCATTGGCATGAACATACTGCTGATGTTCCTTCTATGTACTTCATCCATGGCAAACTACAATGTGAAATCAACACATCTATACAATTGGCATAAACATACTGCTGATGTTCCTTCTATGTACTTCATCCATGGCAAACTACAATGTGAAATCAACACATCCATACAATTGACATAAACATACTGCTGATGTTCCTTATATGTACTTCATCCATGGCAAACTACAATGTAAAATCAACACATCCATACAATTGGCATAAACGTACTGCTGATGTTCCTTCTATGTACTTCATCCATGGCAAACTACAATGTGAAATCAACACATCCATACAATTGGCATAAACATACTGCTGATGTTCCTTCTATGTACTTCATCCATGGCAAACTACAATGTGAAATCAACATATCCATACAATTGGCATGAACATACTGCTGATGTTCCTTCTATGTACTTCATCCATGGCAAACTACAATGTGAAATCAACACATCCATACAATTGGCATAAACATACTGCTGATGTTCCTTCTATGTACTTCATCCATGGCAAACTACAATGTGAAATCAACACATCCATTCAGTTGGCATAAACATACTGCTGATGTTCCTTCTATGTACTTCATCCATGGCAAACTACAATGTGAAATCAACACATCCATACAATTGGCATAAACATACTGCTGATGTTCCTTCTATGTACTTCATCCATGGCAAACTACAATGTGAAATCAACACATCCATACAATTGGCATAAACATACTGCTGATGTTCCTTCTATGTACTTCATTCATGGCAAACTACAATGTGAAATCAACACATCCATACAATTGGCATGAACATACTGCTAATGTTCCTTCTATGTACTTCATGCATGGTAAACTACAATGTGAAATCAACACATCCATACAATTGGCATAAACATACTGCTGATGTTCCTTCTATGTACTTCATCCATGGCAAACTACAATGTGAAATCAACACATCCATACAATTGGCATAAACATACTGCTGATGTTCCTTCTATGTACTTCATCCATGGCAAACTACAATGTGAATATGTGACATCAACACATCCATACAATAGGCATAAACATATTGCTTATGTTCCTTCTATGTACTTCATCCATGGCAAACTACAATGTGAAATCAACACATCCATACAATTGGCATAAACATACTGCTGATGTTCCTTCTATGTACTTCATCCATGGCAAACTACAATGTGAAATCAACACATCCATACAATTGGCATGAACATACTGCTGATGTTCCTTCTATGTACTTCGTCCATGGCAAACTACAATGTGAATATGTGACATCAACATATTCATACAATTGGCATGAACATACTGCTGATGTTCCTTCTATGTACTTCGTCCATGGCAAACTTCAATGTGAAATCAACACATCCATACAATTGGCATAAACATATTGCTGATGTTCCTTCTATGTACTTCGTCCATGGCAAACTACAATGTGAAATCAACACATCCATACAATTGGCATGAACATACTGCTGATGTTCCTTCTATGTACTTCATCCATGGCAAACTACAATGTGAAATCAACACATCCATACAATTGGCATAAACATATTGCTGATGTTCCTTCTATGTACTTCATCCATGGCAAACTACAATGTGAAATCAACACATCCATACAATTGGCATAAACATACTGCTGATGTTCCTTCTATGTACTTCATCCATGGCAAACTACAATGTGAAATCAACACATCCATACAATTGGCATAAACATTCTGCTGATGTTCCTTCTATGTACTTCATCCATGGCAAACTACAATGTGAAATCAACACATCCATACAATTGGCATAAACATACTGCTGATGTTCCTTCTATGTACTTCATCCATGGCAAACTACAATGTGAAATCAACACATCCATACAATTGGCATAAACATACTGCTGATGTTCCTTCTATGTACTTCATCCATGGCAAACTACAATGTGAAATCAACACATCCATACAATTGGCATAAACATACTGCTGATGTTCCTTATATGTACTTCATCCATGGCAAACTACAATGTAAAATCAACACATCCATACAATTGGCATAAACATACTGCTGATGTTCCTTCTATGTACTTCATTCATGGCAAACTACAATGTGAAATCAACACATCCATACAATTGGCATAAACATACTGCTGATGTTCCTTCTATGTACTTCATCCATGGCAAACTACAATGTGAAATCAACACATCCATACAATTGGCATAAACATATTGCTGATGTTCCTTCTATGTACTTCATCCATGGCAAACTACAATGTGAAATCAACACATCCATACAATTGGCATGAACATACTGCTGATGTTCCTTCTATGTACATGTACTTCATCCATGGCAAACTACAATGTGAAATCAACACAACCATACAATTGGCATAAACATACTGCTGATGTTCCTTCTATGTACTTCATCCATGGCAAACTACAATGTGAAATCAACACATCCATACAATTGGCATAAACATATTGCTGATGTTCCTTCTATGTACTTCATCCATGGCAAACTACAATGTGAAATCAACACATCCATACAATTGGCATGAACATACTGCTGATGTTCCTTCTATGTACATGTACTTCATCCATGGCAAACTACAATGTGAAATCAACACAACCATACAATTGGCATAAACATACTGCTGATGTTCCTTCTATGTACTTCATCCATGGCAAACTACAATGTGAAATCAACACATCCATACAATTGGCATGAACATACTGCTGATGTTCCTTCTATGTACTTCGTCCATGGCAAACTACAATGTGAAATCAACACATCCATACAATTGGCATAAACATACTGCTAATTTTCCTTCTATGTACTTCATCCATGGCGAACTACAATGTGAAATCAACACATCCATACAATTGGCATAAACATACTGCTGATGTTCCTTCTATGTACTTCATCCATGGCAAACTACAATGTGAAATCAACACATCCATACAATTGGCATAAACATACTGCTGATGTTCCTTCTATGTACTTCATCCATGGCAAACTACAATGTGAAATCAACACATCCATTCAGTTGGCATAAACATACTGCTGATGTTCCTTCTATGTACTTCGTCCATGGCAAACTACAATGTGAAATCAACACATCCATACAATTGGCACAAACATACTGCTGATGTTCCTTCTATGTACTTCGTCCATGGCAAACTACAATGTGAAATCAACACATCCATACAATTGGCATAAACATACTGCTGATGTTCCTTCTATGTACTTCATCCATGGCAAACTACAATGTGAAATCAACACATCCATACAATTGGCATAAACATACTGCTGATGTTCCTTCTATGTACTTCATCCATGGCAAACTACAATGTGAAATCAACACATCCATACAATTGGCATAAACATACTGCTGATGTTCCTTCTATGTACTTCATCCATGGCAAACTACAATGTGAAATCAACACATCCATACAATTGGCATAAACATACTGCTAATGTTCCTTCTATGTACTTCATGCATGGTAAACTACAATGTGAAATCAACACATCCATACAATTGGCATAAACATACTGCTAATGTTCCTTCTATGTACTTCATCCATGGCAAACTACAATGTGAAATCAACACATCCATACAATTGGCATAAACATACTGCTGATGTTCCTTCTATGTACTTCATCCATGGCAAACTACAATGTGAATATGTGACATCAACACATCCATACAATAGGCATAAACATATTGCTTATGTTCCTTCTATGTACTTCATCCATGGCAAACTACAATGTGAAATCAACACATCCATACAATTGGCATAAACATACTGCTGATGTTCCTTCTATGTACTTCATCCATGGCAAACTACAATGTGAAATCAACACATCCATACAATTGGCATGAACATACTGCTGATGTTCCTTCTATGTACTTCGTCCATGGCAAACTACAATGTGAATATGTGACATCAACATATTCATACAATTGGCATGAACATACTGCTGATGTTCCTTCTATGTACTTCGTCCATGGCAAACTTCAATGTGAAATCAACACATCCATACAATTGGCATAAACATATTGCTGATGTTCCTTCTATGTACTTCGTCCATGGCAAACTACAATGTGAAATCAACACATCCATACAATTGGCATGAACATACTGCTGATGTTCCTTCTATGTACTTCATCCATGGCAAACTACAATGTGAAATCAACACATCCATACAATTGGCATAAACATATTGCTGATGTTCCTTCTATGTACTTCATCCATGGCAAACTACAATGTGAAATCAACACATCCATACAATTGGCATAAACATACTGCTGATGTTCCTTCTATGTACTTCATCCATGGCAAACTACAATGTGAAATCAACACATCCATACAATTGGCATAAACATACTGCTGATGTTCCTTCTATGTACATGTACTTCATCCATGGCAAACTACAATGTGAAATCAACACAACCATACAATTGGCATAAACATACTGCTGATGTTCCTTCTATGTACTTCATCCATGGCAAACTACAATGTGAAATCAACACATCCATACAATTGGCATAAACATACTGCTGATGTTCCTTCTATGTACTTCATCCATGGCAAACTACAATGTGAAATCAACACATCCATACAATTGGCATGAACATACTGCTGATGTTCCTTCTATGTACATGTACTTCATCCATGGCAAACTACAATGTGAAATCAACACAACCATACAATTGGCATAAACATACTGCTGATGTTCCTTCTATGTACTTCATCCATGGCAAACTACAATGTGAAATCAACACATCCATACAATTGGCATGAACATACTGCTGATGTTCCTTCTATGTACTTCGTCCATGGCAAACTACAATGTGAAATCAACACATCCATACAATTGGCATAAACATACTGCTAATTTTCCTTCTATGTACTTCATCCATGGCGAACTACAATGTGAAATCAACACATCCATACAATTGGCATAAACATACTGCTGATGTTCCTTCTATGTACTTCATCCATGGCAAACTACAATGTGAAATCAACACATCCATACAATTGGCATAAACATACTGCTGATGTTCCTTCTATGTACTTCATCCATGGCAAACTACAATGTGAAATCAACACATCCATTCAGTTGGCATAAACATACTGCTGATGTTCCTTCTATGTACTTCGTCCATGGCAAACTACAATGTGAAATCAACACATCCATACAATTGGCATAAACATACTGCTGATGTTCCTTCTATGTACTTCGTCCATGGCAAACTACAATGTGAAATCAACACATCCATACAATTGGCATAAACATACTGCTGATGTTCCTTCTATGTACTTCGTCCATGGCAAACTACAATGTGAAATCAACACATCCATACAATTGGCACAAACATACTGCTGATGTTCCTTCTATGTACTTCATCCATGGCAAACTACAATGTGAAATCAACACATCCATACAATTGGCATAAACATACTGCTGATGTTCCTTCTATGTACTTCATCCATGGCAAACTACAATGTGAAATCAACACATCCATACAATTGGCATAAACATACTGCTAATGTTCCTTCTATGTACTTCATGCATGGCAAACTACAATGTGAAATCAACACATCCATACAATTGGCATAAACATACTGCTGATGTTCCTTCTATGTACTTCATCCATGGCAAACTACAATGTGAAATCAACACATCCATACAATTGGCATAAACATACTGCTGATGTTCTTTCTATGTACTTCATCCATGGCAAACTACAATGTGAAATCAACACATCCATACAATTGGCATGAACATATTGCTTATGTTCCTTCTATGTACTTCATCCATGGCAAACTTCAATGTGAAATCAACACATCCATACAATTGGCATAAACATACTGCTAATGTTCCTTCTATGTACTTCGTCCATGGCAAACTACAATGTGAAATCAACACATCCATACAATTGGCATAAACATACTGCTAATGTTCCTTCTATGTACTTCATCCATGGCGAACTACAATGTGAAATCAACACATCCATTCAGTTGGCATGAACATACTGCTGATGTTCCTTCTATGTACTTCATCCATGGCAAACTACAATGTGAAATCAACACATCCATACAATTGGCATAAACATACTGCTAATGTTCCTTCTATGTACTTCATGCATGGCAAACTACAATGTGAAATCAACACATCCATACAATTGGCATAAACATACTGCTGATGTTCCTTCTATGTACTTCATCCATGGCAAACTATAATGTGAAATCAACACATCCATTCAGTTGGCATAAACATACTGCTGATGTTCCTTCTATGTACTTCGTCCATGGCAAACTACAATGTGAAATCAACACATCCATACAATTGGCATAAACATACTGCTGATGTTCCTTCTATGTACTTCGTCCATGGCAAACTACAATGTGAAATCAACACATCCATACAATTGGCATAAACATACTGCTGATGTTCCTTCTATGTACTTCATCCATGGCAAACTACAATGTGAAATCAACACAACCATACAATTGGCATAAACATACTGCTGATGTTCCTTCTATGTACTTCATCCATGGCAAACTACAATGTGAAATCAACACATCCATACAATTGGCATAAACATACTGCTGATGTTCCTTCTATGTACTTCATCCATGGCAAACTACAATGTGAAATCAACACATTCATACAATTGGCATAAACATACTGCTGATGTTCCTTCTATGTACTTCATCCATGGCAAACTACAATGTGAAATCAACACATCCATTCAGTTGGCATAAACATACTGCTGATGTTCCTTCTATGTACTTCATCCATGGCAAACTACAATGTGAAATCAACACATCCATACAATTGGCATAAACATACTGCTGATGTTCCTTCTATGTACTTCGTCCATGGCAAACTACAATGTGAAATCAACACATCCATACAATTGGCATGAACATACTGCTGATGTTCCTTCTATCTACTTCATCCATGGCAAACTACAATGTGAAATCAACACATCAATACAATTGGGATAAACATACTGCTGATGTTCCTTCTATGTACTTCATCCATGGCAAACTACAATGTGAAATCAACACATCCATACAATTGGCATAAACATACTGCTGATGTTCCTTCTATGTACTTCATCCATGGCAAACTACAATGTGAAATCAACACATCCATACAATTGGCATAAACATACTGCTGATGTTCCTTCTATGTACTTCATCCATGGCAAACTACAATGTGAAATCAACACATCCATACAATTGGCATAAACATACTGCTGATGTTCCTTCTATGTACTTCATCCATGGCAAACTACAATGTGAAATCAACACATCCATACAATTGGCACAAACATACTGCTGATGTTCCTTCTATGTACTTCATCCATGGCGAACTACAATGTGAAATCAACACATCCATACAATTGGCATAAACATACTGCTGATGTTCCTTCTATGTACTTCGTCCATGGCAAACTACAATGTGTAATCAACACATCCATACAATTGGCACAAACATACTGCTGATGTTCCTTCTATGTACTTCATCCATGGCAAACTACAATGTGAAATCAACACATCCATACAATTGGCATAAACATACTGCTAATGTTCCTTCTATGTACTTCATGCATGGCAAACTACAATGTGAAATCAACACATCCATACAATTGGCATAAACATACTGCTGATGTTCCTTCTATGTACTTCATCCATGGCAAACTATAATGTGAAATCAACACATCCATACAATTGGCATAAACATACTGCTGATGTTCCTTCTATGTACTTCATCCATGGCGAACTACAATGTGAAATCAACACATCCATACAATTGGCATAAACATACTGCTGATGTTCCTTCTATGTACTTCGTCCATGGCAAACTACAATGTGAAATCAACACATCCATACAATTGGCACAAACATACTGCTGATGTTCCTTCTATGTACTTCATCCATGGCAAACTACAATGTGAAATCAACACATCCATACAATTGGCATAAACATACTGCTGATGTTCCTTCTATGTACTTCATCCATGGCAAACTACAATGTGAAATCAACACATCCATACAATTGGCATAAACATACTGCTGATGTTCCTTCTATGTACTTCATCCATGGCAAACTACAATGTGAAATCAACACATCCATACAATTGGCATAAACATACTGCTGATGTTCCTTCTATGTACTTCATCCATGGCAAACTACAATGTGAAATCAACACATCCATACAATTGGCATAAACATACTGCTGATGTTCCTTCTATGTACTTCATCCATGGCAAACTACAATGTGAAATCAACACATCCATTCAGTTGGCATAAACATACTGCTGATGTTCCTTCTATGTACTTCATCCATGGCAAACTACAATGTGAAATCAACACATCCATACAATTGGCATAAACATACTGCTGATGTTCCTTCTATGTACTTCATCCATGGCAAACTACAATGTGAAATCAACACATCCATACAATTGGCATAAACATACAGTATTGCTGATGTTCCTTCTATGTACTTCGTCCATGGCAAACTACAATGTGAAATCAACACATCCATACAATTGGCATAAACATACTGCTGATGTTCCTTCTATGTACTTCATCCATGGCGAACTACAATTAAATATCAACATATCCATACAATTGGCATAAACGTACTGCTGATGTTCCTTCTATGTACTTCATCCATGGCAAACTACAATGTGAAATCAACACATCCATACAATTGGCATAAACATACTGCTGATGTTCCTTCTATGTACTTCATCCATGGCAAACTACAATGTGAAATCAACACATCCATACAATTGGCATAAACATACTGCTAATGTTCCTTCTATGTACTTCATGCATGGCAAACTACAATGTGAAATCAACACATCCATACAATTGGCATAAACATACTGCTGATGTTCCTTCTATGTACTTCGTCCATGGCAAACTACAATGTGAAATCAACACATCCATACAATTGGCATAAACATACTGCTGATGTTCCTTCTATGTACTTCATCCATGGCAAACTACAATGTGAAATCAACACATCCATACAATTGGCATAAACATACTGCTGATGTTCCTTCTATGTACTTCATCCATGGCAAACTACAATGTGAAATCAACACATCCATACAATTGGCATAAACATACTGCTGATGTTCCTTCTATGTACTTCATCCATGGCAAACTACAATGTGAAATCAACACATCCATTCAGTTGGCATAAACATACTGCTGATGTTCCTTCTATGTACTTCATCCATGGCAAACTACAATGTGAAATCAACACATCCATACAATTGGCATAAACATACTGCTGATGTTCCTTCTATGTACTTCATCCATGGCAAACTACAATGTGAAATCAACACATCCATACAATTGGCATGAACATATTGCTAATGTTCCTTCTATGTACTTCATCCATGGCAAACTACAATGTGAAATCAACACATCCATACAATTGGCATGAACATATTGCTAATGTTCCTTCTATGTACTTCATCCATGGCAAACTACAATGTGAAATCAACACATTCATACAATTGGCATAAACATACTGCTGATGTTCCTTCTATGTACTTCATCCATGGCAAACTACAATGTGAAATCAACACATCCATTCAGTTGGCATAAACATACTGCTGATGTTCCTTCTATGTACTTCATCCATGGCAAACTACAATGTGAAATCAACACATTCATACAATTGGCATGAACATACTGCTGATGTTCCTTCTATGTACTTCATCCATGGCGAACTACAATGTGAAATCAACACATCCATACAATTGGCAGAAACATACTGCTGATGTTCCTTCTATGTACTTCATCCATGGCAAACTACAATGTGAAATCAACACATCCATACAATTGGCATAAACATACTGCTGATGTTCCTTCTATGTAGTTCATCCATGGCAAACTACAATGTGAAATTAACACATCCATACAATTGGGATAAACATACTGCTGATGTTCCTTCTATGTACTTCATCCTTTGCGAACTACAATGTGAAATCAACACATCCATTCAGTTGGCATGAACATACTGCTAATGTTCCTTCTATGTACTTCGTCCATGGCAAACTACAATGTGAAATCAACACATCCATTCAGTTGGCATGAACATACTGCTAATGTTCCTTCTATGTACTTCGTCCATGGCAAACTACAATGTGAAATCAACACATCCATACAATTGGCATAAACATACTGCTAATGTTCCTTCTATGTACTTCGTCCATGGCAAACTACAATGTGAAATCAACACATCCATACAATTGGCATAAACATACTGCTAATGTTCCTTCTATGTACTTCGTCCATGGCAAACTACAATGTGAAATCAACACATCCATACAATTGGGATAAACATACTGCTGATGTTCCTTCTATGTACTTCATCCATGGCGAACTACAATGTGAAATCAACACATCCATTCAGTTGGCATGAACATACTGCTAATGTTCCTTCTATGTACTTCATCCATGGCAAACTACAATGTGAAATTAACACATCCATACAATTGGGATAAACATACTGCTGATGTTCCTTCTATGTACTTCATCCATGGCGAACTACAATGTGAAATCAACACATCCATTCAGTTGGCATGAACATACTGCTAATGTTCCTTCTATGTACTTCGTCCATGGCAAACTACAATGTGAAATCAACACATCCATACAATTGGCATAAACATACTGCTGATGTTCCTTCTATGTACTTCGTCCATGGCAAACTACAATGTGAATATGTGACATCAATGTATTCATACAATTGGCATAAACATTACGTAACTTCTGATGGTATATATTCATCCCAGATTTGTAAAAGATGAATGAAATCTGTGAAGTTGTACATCCAGAATAAACTTAATCATCACATGAATGCCCTGAGAGACAGAATGAGTGGTAGAAATTGTATTCATCTGAATTGAACAAAAATATACATATTTAATGTTGATACTACTTTTCAATGGGCCTTAAAGATGTCATGCATGGTCTTTCATGGAAGTTCGAATATGATATAAAAGTTGGTTTTTGATACAGTGTATCAAGACAAGACAAGAATCTTGATTTATGTCGTCATTAAATATTCAAAATTCAGTCAAAGTGATGTCATATTTGAAATCTGTGGAAAGTACATCTAGAAATAGTGTTTAACAAATTGTGTATCAACTTTGAAAATTTAATTTTTTTTGATCTGGCCCGAATGAGCCACCTGGTAGTGAAACTGGTAACTACCTACTCGCATCTGCGTTATTGCTAGGTAGCTAGAATTTGATCATCTTATTCTCAATGGGCAGCTAGAATTTGATCAACCTATTCTGATTAGGTCACTTGATTTTGATCAACCTATTCTAATTAGGTCACTTGATTTTGATCAACCTATTCTGATTGGGTAGCTAGATTTTGATCAACCTATTCTGATAGGGTAACTAGATTTTGATCAACCTTTTCCGATTGGGTAGTTAGATTAAAAGAACACATTAATACCTGCATTTGCATCTCTGCATCTGTCTGCAGCAAGAGTGTTTTAGCAGAGGCATCAAATACAAAAGGGTAGTTGCAGAATGACAGCGTTCCAGTCTGTAAAACACAAAACATTAACATTTGAATACATAGATAACCAGGAGTTTTATTAGCAGCAGGCAACAGGCAACTTTTACTGGTTGTTTTCACATAATCGTCTGTTGTTTTAGGGACTTTTCAACTTTTCCATGTTAAATTTATGATTTTCATTAATTTTGCCTGTTGTTTTCATAGAGATGATCCTATATGAGGTTCAGGATATTGGGATTATCCCGAGGCAAATATAAAATGACTCCTTCAACAAAGCTACATAGTGTAGATGAAATGAATCTGGAGAAGAACATGGTTATTTCTACCTTCAAAACGTGACATACAGGCATGATGTCACTATGCCCTATGTAATGAAAAATACTTTCACTAGATCAAGGGCTCTTGAGAGTGGCATGTTGTATTGAATGACATGTATGTTTTTCAAAATAGTAATAAATATCTGAATCTGATAGGCCTTTTTGATTTGATTATCATAAAGAGTGTCTCCTTCATTCGTTAAAGATAAAGCATAAAGGCCAAATAACATGTACCAATAGATTTAGTATACATTTTTAGATGAAAGCAGTCAATTCAAATGATATCTTCATTTCTTAAATATTATTTTATTTAAAATCATTAAAGAAGACTACTTTAAAACTACATTTATGGAGGCCCTAGACCTTTAACTTGTGAACTTCCCAACATTTATGGGGCCAAAAGTAAGAAAATGGCAAAAAGGGAAATGTCAAATCTAAAATTCAATGTCAGATATAAACTGCAGGCAACACAAAGATAATTTTATGAAAATGTTTAGTTCAGTTCGTAGCAAGTTGGAAATTGACCTTGAAGTCCTATAATTTGACTTTTTACTATTCTTTTGTTTCACATTTGGTGCAATATTACAAGCTTATGATAAAGAATAATATTTCGAAAACATCATATGTAAAGAATTTCTAGAGGACTGTAAATTTCAGTAAAAATATTAATCTGTAATCTAAAACTTTGAGATACTATTAATATACTAATGTGCCCTGATTCAGAATCTTCATATTAAACCTTAAAATTTTAATTGATTTGATCTAAATTGCAATCCTAATAAATGATTTGAAATAGAAGATGTTCGTCCCTTTTAAAGCTGATGTCATTAATAAAAGCCTCTCAGAAAATTAAGCTTCAAATATTTGAAAATATGACATTTACTATTATTTTACACCAAATTTCAAGCTATTGTTTCAAACTTTCAGCAACAGACTTTGTGACCTAGTTGATGACCTTGATCAAATTTTTAATCCCTCAATAACATGACCTAAATGAAAATATTTCACATCAATTGATAACTTTGACCATTGACCTTAAAAATTTTCTTATTCCTCAATAACACGATCTAAATAAAAAAAAAGTCACATTAATTGATAACTTTGATTTTTGACCTTCAAAATTTTCTTATTCCTCAATAACACGATCAAAATGAAATAAAAGTCACATCAATTGATAACTTTGACCCTTGACCTTCAAAATTTTCTTATTCCTCAATAACACGATCAAAATGAAATAAAAGTCACATCAATTGATAACTTTGATTTTTGACCTTCAAACTTTTCTTATTCCTCAATAACACGATCAAAATGAAATAAAAGTCACATCAATTGATAACTTTGATATTTGACCTTCAAATTTTCTTATTCCTAAATAGCATGATCTAAATGAAATAAAAGTCGTCTTATAATTTTCTTATTCCTCAATAACATGATCTGATAAATCAAAATTCACATTTCTGTCAAATATGAAAAATCAAAGTTTTATATGAACTCCTTGCAACTTTTCTAAAGTAGGTACAAGTAGTACATTTCAATCTATTTTACTGAAACCTATCCGTAGTTGTAGACAAATAATAAGTACAAAAAAACTATAGCAGGCCTCCTAATATGGCAATCCATTTATAGCACTCATCGGAACATCAAAGAACCTTCAAATACTCACAGTGACAATGGAGGAAACTAGAGAACAATCTATAACAGTAAGCATAGTTACACTATTAAGTATAAATTATGTAGAATATGAACTTATTTTGCTTTCTCAAAATAGTCCACATTTTCTTTGAAATGATTGATCCTGTGATTTTCCTTTGTTTGGTTTTATAGATTTGTTGTTGGCTTGTTACTCAAACAGTTTCATCTCTTGAGTGAAATTTTCTACGGATTTGATATGTATTCATATAATATTCAACATTGTTTCATAATAGGTCCAATATTGGAATTATTGTTGGCAATACAAAATCTATTTACATGTGGCAGACATTCCCAAATTTTGGCTGGAGAAGACATTGACCAAACTTCATGCTAATGACTTGAACAAGAATGGAATATGGGATGCTGAAGACATGATGATGGCTGCAGATAATGTCATCAGGATTGGTAAGGATATTCAACTATTCTCCATGTTAATAATATTTTCAAGACTGGTAAGGATCTAAAACTATCCACCATACAATTAAGATTACATTGCTTTTACGATCATCTTCTTCTTTCCCTTACCATTATCCTCTTCAACATGACGTGGTAATGATCTTCAAATATCCTCCACATTGACAATACCTTAAAGAATGGTAAGCCTCTTAAAATTATCCTTTTTCTCTTACCATTATCCTCTTCAACTGACATGGTAATGATCATCAAATATCCTTCAAATTGACAATATTTTCAAGATTGGTAAGTGGTAAGCCTCTTAAAATTATCCTCTTTCTCTCACCATTATCCTCTTCAACTGACATGGTAATGATCATCAAATATCCTTCATATTGACAATATCTTCAAGATTGGTAAGTGGTAAGCCTCTTAAAATTATCCTCTTTCTCTCACCATTATCCTCTTCAACTAACATGGTAATGATCATCAAATATCCTCCATATTGACAATATCTTCAAGATTGGCAAGGCTCTTAAAACTAACTTAGTATTAAAAACTCTTAAATTATCTCTCATACTTGTCTTTAATATGAATAACAATATTGTCACTCTGACTTGACATGTAAAGGAGGATATCAAAGCTTAACTTGACACAAGCCCTCAAAACAACCTAGTCTCTAAAACTTAAAATGTGGATCAAATTTTATATCTGGTATTTGAGTCATCAAAAATTATATTTTCAAGAAAAATGGCAGCTATTTTCAGTTGCCATCTTGAAAATTATTTCTTGAGCCGAGCTCCTATGTCCCAAACACATCACCCCATAAACTTAGACCTATATCTGTCAGCTGGAACAGATGCACAAATGGAAGGACGGGTAAATGGATAGACAGAGAGATTAACAGAAGGACAGCTTCTCTATGGGATAATGTTTCATAAATAAATAGTATGTTTTGCTTTAGGAAAGTTTTCTGGTGCAGAAGCCAAGAAAATACGAAAATAGATGAAATCAGTAAGTGATGCTGCAGACCACTTCAGCACTGCCACTACCCTCGAAGAATGGTTAATTGATGAGTACAAATTAACCAAAGATGTTGAATGTGCGACAATGTGCACTGAGGTTTATGCAACCTGCTTATTTGAAATGTTTTCTGCACCTGATGGTTTCATCTCAATGGATCGTTATATGCTCTTCTGGAAATCGTTTAATTTGGACCCAGATTATGCATACACTCAGTTTGCATATTTGGATACAGATAGAGATGGAAGAATAAGCAAGGAAGAGTTTGTAGAAGGATTGAAGGAATACTTGTGCAACACTTCTGACCCAACAAGTGCAAACTACTTTTGGGGACCAATAAAAAAGGACGTAAGAGTTGAATAAATCCTAGACTTTAAAAATGAACATAATATCTTTGTGGACCTACATGATTAACATTCTAATTTCCAACAAGATGATCATCAACTGCACTTGAGGAAATATTATGCATACATTATTTAAACTAGCAATCTACCCGTTTGAGTGGGTCACCAAGGGTCACAACAGCCCCAATAAAATGCTGAACACCTGTATTTTAATCATTTGACCTTGAATGATTCTTATAAATTGAGGCAAACTTAATATTCATCTTTGACCTTGAGATAACCTTAGTACATAAACATTGACTTTGACCTTAGGTCACCTAATCATGAGTCACCAAGGGTCACATTACCCTTCAAGTGCTTTAAAACGGCAAATACTTAGATACCTTTGACCTTGAAATGACGGTCTCCAAGGGTCACAGCAGTCCCAAGGTCTTAAAACGTAAAATATCTAGATACTTACCTTTGACCTTGGAATGACCTTGACCTCAGCTCACCTAATCATTGGTCACCAAGGTTCACAAAAAATACTTAAATACTGACCTTTGACCTTGAGATGACCTTGAACCATGAACATTGACCTTCAACTCAGGTCACCTCAACATTGGTCACCAAGGGTCACAGCAGCCCCAAGGACCTTAAATTGTCAAAATACTTAGATATTGACCTTTGACCTAGGAATGAGCTTGACCTCAGATCACCTAATCATGGTCGCCAAGGGTCACAGCAGTCCCAAAATGCATTAAAACACCAAATACCAAGAAACTGACCTTTGACCTTGGAATTTCCTTGACACTTTTGGCAATACGCTGGGAAATAAATGTATAGCTATTACTAAACTGATAGCCATGATGGTGTATTGTGTAAGTTCTAATGCTAAAACATTTTTGTTTCTATCAGAACGTTGCGTTATAACATCAATGTATCACTCTTCTGAAAATCCTGTCTTTACATTTTGTTTAAAAACATAACATGAATGTTGATGAAGTCATATTACTGTACATTTTTGGACAGTATATTACTGGATACAGTATGTCTACAATATAAGCTAGGATGGTTTGAACTTTACATCAGGCCTTTAACAAGAATATGTATCAAGGGAATCAGGGATGCCAATCCTCCATACCAAGAAGCAAGCAATCCAGAATCAACCACTTTTATGTGAGGTAAAATAGGAGGCAATGCAGAACATCCTATAACAGTAAGTAAGTCAGATACAAAGGATTAGAATCTGTTACAGAAGGGTATAGAAATTCAACAAAAAAACTTCTCTATAATAAATTAATTGTACTTTAAAAGGGATTTATTCTACAACATTTATTCATTTAACATTCCCAGGTAACTATAATAATTTCATATTGTTAAAATCTGCACAGGACAATGTACATGTAACATGCCCAGGCCCGTAGCCAGGGGGGTTTCGGAATTTCTTTCAAAATCATGCAGTTTTTCACCATTCTGACTATTTTTTGAGGGATTTTGGACAAATTTGCCAAAGTGAACCCCCCCACTAGTATTTTTTAGAAAAGCAAACCCCCCTTGGAAAATTCTGGCTACGGGCCTGACGTCAATGTAGTAAACAAGGTGTGCAATTGGCACAACTCCTTTATGTTTCTCCATAGCTTTTAAAATCTGTTTTGTGCAACATAGGGGTAATAAATAAGAGTTCAGTGATCTCGTAATAAATAATAATAAGGAGGCCTGGATAAATCCCAGGGTTCAAGTGAAATTTCCACATCCCCTGGATTCATGAAGAGTGATGTGACAGTTCTATGTGCAATAATTGATAGCAATTTTGCAATTATAAAGTTCAAGACTAAGAATTGTATTTATTCAATTTTTTGAGTTCTAACTCTTGCTACCTCTAGCAACAAAATATTACAACACCAACTAGAAATGATCCTAAACTATGTACAGAAGTTAAAGTTTAGTTATTAACATATTCTCATGTAATTTAAAAAGTCAAGCCTCCTTTGAGCCTCACTTAACAAATATTTTGAGGGAACAATGGGAGATAACCCTCCTTATCAAAAGTATGAAACAAATATTCTAGAAGTATCCTCCACCAGTGCATAAGTTAAAATGGAGGGCAATGCAGAACATCCTATGAGAGTAAGTAGTCAGATACTATTACGTAGAATCACACTAAGAAGAGTTTCAAAATAATGAGGAATTTGTTTCAAACCTTTTGAATGTTCAGAAAATGTATACATGTTTTGGCTAAGATAAAACATTCGGATTTTTTTTATCAAAAATCAAGTGCTTAAATATATTATACAAAAACCTGGCCAGTAGCCAAGGGGGAGGGTCGGGGGTTTGAGCTTTTTCTCTGTTTTTTTCACAATTCTCTAGCACTTTTCAAGTAATTTTGGCCATATTTGGGCCAAAATTGTCAAAAGTGAACCCTCCTGGAATTTTTTAAAAGGTGAACACCCCTTGGAAAATCCTGGCTATGGGCCTGAAAATTATCAAAAGTAGCGAAAGTTGTGTTGAAGAAAATATGAATATAGTTCTTTTTTAATCATATTTCCAGGTCACCTTTCACGAATTAAGCTTTGCCTATTCTCTTCAATCATGTCTTTCATGTATTTACATAATCAAAATGATGAAAGAACAAATTCAAAAAACTGAAACTGAGATAAAAAAGACATGTATAAAACATGTATAAGAATAAATTACTCGAGAAATTACTCTGAGAAAAGGCCATGAAGATCTTATATGCATTGAAACTGTAAAATCCTCAAAAATAACTAGAGGAAAGTATTGGTAATGGAAATATTCAGGGTAACACTTTATGTACTGTTATGTTAACATAAAGTAATACTTAGTTTTTTACCCTTTTAACTTGAAAATAATAAAAACAGTAATGAATCTCTGAACTGCTGGAAGGTCAAACCATCCCAAAACAACAACTTAAAGTCTACCGAACAACATTTTGTAAAGAGAAATATCTCAATTATAGGTGGCAGATATTCCCAAATTTTGGTTGGAGAAGACTATGACAAAGCTTCATGTGAATGACCTGAACAAGAATGGAATATGGGATGCTGAAGACATGATGATGGCTGCAGACAATATCATAAGAATAGGTAAGAATCAAGTATATACAAGCTTATTTAAAGGCTGTATTTAAAGATATGGAATTCAACACTGCAAGTCTGTGTCAAATTTCAATGGAAATTATGAATTAAAATAAAAGAAAATAAAGAAAAAAGTAGTGAATACATGTATATCAATCGTCCCTTATATTCACACATTAATCAAGCAAATTAGATATTTATTGCTTTGGATGAAAAATTGATTTATATTCTTTAGAAATTAAATTATAATGTAGTGAGTCAAGTTTTGAAAGGAATCCTGACACAAACCACATGTCTAGCCATATCATATCACAAACCACATGTCTAGTCATATCATATAACAAACCACATATCTAGTCATATCATATCACAAACCACATGTCTAGTCATATCATATCACAAACCACATGTCTAGTCATATCATATCACAAACCACTTGCTAGTCATATCATATCACAAACCACATGTCTAGTCATATCATATCACAAACCACATGTCTAGTCATATCATATCACAAACCACATGTCTAGTCATATCATATCACAAACCACATGGCTAGTCAATGGAAACATATATATTGATATCCCTCTAGTACAATGATTGACTTTACAGGTAACCTCACTGGCGCAGCAGCTGAAAAGGTACGTAGAGGTATGCAAACAATAAGTGACACAGCCAGTCACTTTAAAACTGCAACTTCACTTGAGCAGTGGCTGGTCGAAGAGTACAAACTAGCCAAAGATATTCAACGCTCTACATTTTGTGCCGACATCTTTGCAACATCTTTCTTCGAGATATTCAATATTGATTCTGATGGCTTTGTCTCGATGGATGCTTTTATGACATACTGGAGAGCCTACAATTTGGACCCCGACTTTGCGTACACACAGTTTGCATACATGGATACAAACAGAGATGGAAAGATCAGCAAGGCACAGTTTGCAGAGGCTGCAAGGGAATACTTGTGCAACACAGATGACCCAACAAGTGCAAACAACTTCTGGGGACCGATAAAGAAGGACTAAAACATTATCTAGATGAATGAATGTTTCAATAATATGATAACAATACAGCACTTTTTTCAAAGTTTGATAACAATTCATGAAAAGCTTTTGAAGACTTAATGCTTAGAAATAGTTTCATGGGAAGTAATATTTTTGAAATAACTTTTTGAAATAAATTTATGATGAAATAAAAATTGTTTTTGAAATGCGCTATTTAATCTTTTATTATGGCAGTTAGTAGTGACAAATCAGGTGGTTAACTTAGATCAGAAAACATGTCAGATAACAATGCAGGCAAACATCAGTGATGCTTGTTCAGCTCATCCAGAGGATTTCCCAAAAAGGAGAGCAACTTTTGCCTATGGATGGGTTGTGCCGCCAACACACCCATGGAAGTGCAGACCCTTTCTGGTACATTCTCAGCATATCTGAGAGCTATATTTTCATCATTAAATACAAAGCTCTAACAAAGATTTCTGGAAAGGGGGGGGGGGGGGGGTGGCGTCACCTAAGCAATCTACTCACCTGGTTGTTTTGCCTTTGCTGAATCCAGTTGATGTAATCTTGTCTTATATGCACTTTATCAACAAGCTCTGGGATATAGAACCTGTCATAAGGCACAATTTGCCCATTGTTATCATTCACCTACAAATACATACATTCTTACAGTATATGCCAATATATATTATGGGTGGCAAAATCACATATTGTTTAATCATAGTTGTCCTCTTTAAGACATTAAAATAACACTGGCGTGCAAACAAAAATTTCATCTTCAACTGCCTCGAAACAATATGAAATTCCATAGACATCAGTTTTATGCTGAAACAGGAGGAAAAGGACACAACTTTGAATCATTCTTTTGTGCATATTTATAATATGCAGATTGCAGCTACAGGAGTCATATAATTTAATAGTATAGGTTACAGTGAAGGTGCAAATGGAGCAGGTATCCTCTATCTTTGTCTATGGGACCTTTAAATAGTACAATGCAAATTGCTCGAATCTATACAATGTATAGTAGAACAATTGGAATATATGTAAAATCTAGTATGGAAATAAACAAACATTCCTCATTTGCAACTTCACTGTAGCCTGTATCTAAAGGCTACAGTATGGAGGTAGGGTAGAGTGATTTACTGGTACATCAAAGTAATAATGAGAATGCCATTTATGACTCTAAGAGGAACTATGATTTACTTGGTAATGCATTTAGCCATTTGTAGAATGCCTTCAATAAATGTCAGATATAAATATTTCATATTGTTTTTAGCTGATAGTGATTATCACCAGGATTCGACCTAAAAATGAAAATTACAGCTATCAAATAAAAAAGTCAAAATCACATTTAAAATATTGAAAAACATCAGACAGTCATTATCAACAAAAATATTCTGAGAAATCATGCAAGCACTTTAATTTTGGAGATAATTTGACAAAGGTGTGTAAAAGTGATAAAGTCAACTCCTACGAGTGTTATCAATATTTCGTTAGTGTTGCAAAAACAAAACAATATCAATCTATGAAGTCCATTTCGGTTGCATTAATTCCTACTGACATCTCCAACACATTAACAGACTCCCTTACAAGGTATAAATAAAAACATACTATTATTTCAGATAATTCCATGTATTGATTTTAGTGCAATTCATCACTACAAATTTTATAATTCTTGACAGGGTCTCCATTTATCACTTTATCTAAATGTGTTTTTTTTATCTTGTGTTCCAGTCATTCCCCAGGGAGTCATTCTATGATAACTTTTCATCTCATAACGTTTCCAATAAAAATTGATGGGTTGATCTCCTTGATTGGTTTATAGAACAAAAGACATGATGATGCATCAGGAATCAATTTTACAAGGATAACCTCAGAATAAAGTCCAACAACACATCATTTCCATATTAACATGGCCCATTGAACATCATATACATATAAAAAATAAGACTCATTTCCAGTATAAAAAGCATACCATAGGAATATATAAGCACAAATGCCAAAAGGGAAGGGTGACTAAACACTTTAAAGAAATGCAACAAGAGAATGACTTAATGAGTGAACCAAGATGCTGCACATATGCAGGTTTTACAACAGTAACTGAACTTCTCACAACAGGAGAATTTTAAATCAATAATACAAGTCAGGATGGGAGTAACAGTATTAAAGATAAACATGGACACTATCATATTGAGTATACTTTTGGTTTTATATTCTGGAGACACCAGCCAAGTAGAAGCAACAGACTTCAATGAGACAAATGGGAACAAAACAGAAGACATTGTGGAAACTACACAATCTACATTTGGTATAACAACTGAAACCAAAACATTGGGAAAGAATGTACCATTGAAAGGAACAGATTCTCAAAAGAGATATGCATATGTCAACACTACAGGATCAACACAAGCAACATTTGAAAATAACACGAGAGATCCATTAACAATTCAAAAAGAAACATATATAACATTTAACTTCTGTGACAACGAAGCAGCTTTGGCAGAAGTGAAGGACTGTACAACATATATGCCCAATCGCTACAGTTGTCACGGTTACTGTGGTTATAAAACAAGTTCAGAAAGAGATTGTGCGTGTGACATGCACTGTTTGGTGAACAACGATTGCTGTGCTGACTTTAAGCAAACGTGCCCTGTTGTAGCAGCAACATCTAAGAAGATAAGGGAGTCTGTCCAAGACAGAGAAATCAAGTGGAACTGCACAAACACAAAACATGATGTGTTTGTTAAGATGATAACAACATGCCCAGAGAGGAACACCCAATGTGACATGCATGACTTGGATCTCCTTGAAGGATATATGCCAGTCTTTGATGAGAACACTGGTCTGTACTATCTCAATAACTACTGTGCAAAATGTAATAACTTTACAGGTGGCAACCTTCAAATGCCTACAAAGGTTACATGTAAATCCTTCATAAGGGACGATTTAGACAATATAGCCGAACTACAGCAAGCTATATATACTGGAAGATGTACATTAAAATTTGATCAAATCGGACATCGGTGCTGGGAATACACAACAACTTGTCATCAAGATTGTTATAACAGAACTGTACAAACTCTTTGTAAAAGCAAGCCTATACAAATGTATTCCACAGGATATACTGTTTATAAAAATGAATATTGTGCTATATGTGCGAATGATTGGCCTGGGTCCAACTTGGGTATTTCAAAGCACTGCAGCCCATATTCATACTCAAGAGACTTCATATCTAAGGGGTTTTCTTTTTCTCTGTTGATGAATATTAACCCAGACAAAGGACTTACTGTTGGGTATACTATAGGCGGCAAAAAGAATTATTTTCACTGCAATAACCTTACCAACTGTCACAATGCATGTGTTGTAGGATATGAATTACGAAATGAAACATGTGTTTTAACCTATCGCCTAAAATCTGTCAAGGTATCATTTGAATACATCATTCCAGGTGAGATGTTTTCAGTTCTAGATATCAGCAGTGAACTCATCTCATATTTCTCACTTGCTTTGGGACATTCAGAAACACTCACCGAAAGACTTGAAGGTAATCCATCATATAGCTTTTCAAAAAACTATGACATGGAAAATAACAGGCTGAAGGGTTTATTTATTGAGAAGTTTATTGTAAGATTCCCAGTCATGGACAAACTATCATTTCTCGACTTCCATAATACCACTGTGGATGATATTATAAATTCTACAAAGGAGGAAAGTTATGTGAATAGTCCCGAAGCCTCTGAGATTGAAACATTGACAATGTGTGTGGATTTGGTCAATTTCATAACATGTTATGATTGGTTGAATGGTACAGTCCTGTTTCAGAGAAACTATCAAATCAAAACGGTTGATCCTGCAGAAATCATGAGTCTTCTCACAATAGTATGCTTGGTCCTCTCGATTGCATGCATGTTGATTCGTATTATCTGCCAAGTATTTGTCAGTATCTATCACACGTTTTCAGGTAAGATCCAGTTCTGTTTTGTCCTCTCATTGTGCGTTGCCCACATTTTGTACTTAATTGGTCCTTTAGTGACAGACACTCCAAGCCTTTGTAAAGCTATAGGTATTCTGATTCACTATTTCTTCTTAGTATCCTTCACATGGATGGCAATTATTGCCCTAGACATGTATTTGACATTTAGATCAACTCTACATGACTCTAAAGGATGGAAACGAGTTTTTGTTTATACATTCATATCAATGTTTCTACCAGCAATTGTAATATCTGTAGCCGTCACATTGGACAGTGTGTCAATTGTCACAAGTTTCAAACCTTTCTATGGTATCCAAGTCTCTGACTCATCAAAATCAATGTCTGAAGTTCAAACGTGTCAGATGAGCAACCCATATGCTACATTAGTGTTCTTTGCAGGCCCATTAGGAGTTATGATTGTATTCAACACAATTATGTACATATTAACTGTGCTCTCTCTAAAGAAGGCATGGAGTCAAACAGCGATGGCTTCAAAGGGAAACAATTCCCACTTTTATGTCTACATCAAACTGTTCATCATAATGGGCTTTACGTGGACCTTTGGATTCATTGGGCCTTTTGTACATGAAGCAATTGATTATCTGTTCACTGTGTTGAATGCCAGCCAGGGAGTATTCATATTTATCTCCACTGTGTGTACAAAGGCTGTGTTGAATGAAATTAAGGCTAAGTGTAAACTGCCTACGACAAGCAGTCATCATACCGCTCTAACACACAGTAATGATACTGTCAAAATGAATGTAACAAAAACTACAACAGCACAGCTATATGATGATGGGGCCATAAATAGTACATATTTGTAATTGTTTAGGCTGACCCCCATGACCCGGACATGAATAAATTGTATAATTCGATTTTGAATAAAATCACATTGATACAATAAGGGTCAGGCCACAATTAACAGAGTTTTCAGATGAAAACTGGTTCAAGTGATAATTGTCACAAATCAGTCGAGCTTCTCTGGAGGTTGTGAACCATCAGTGGATAGATCCTGGAAATGGGTGTCAAACAAACTGAACAAGAGGAACTCCATAAATTTCAACTAAACCATATCCATGTTTCTCCAGTTGTTGAATTTTTTTCTAAATACATGTACATGTAGTTGAATGAATCAGCTAGGAGTGCACCTTATGTTGACTGTTTCATTCATAATACTGAACAAATCCATCCATCCAAAATTGGTGGGGTAGGAACATTTTGCTCTGTCATATACAGGGTGGGCCAAAGTTGTTACCTAATTATAGTAAAATAAAATCAGAATGGGAAACACTTTTGGCCTACCCTGTAATTGATGTAAAACATGGTTAAAATGTAGCACTGAGTCGAGTGAGAGCATACTGGTAGATCTTTCTGCTCCGAGATGAGTGATACTCATTTGGTATAATTATCAAACTGAGTAGCTGTGATTTATAACTGTCAGGAGAATAATAAGATATGAAATGCTTTTAGCCATTTGTAGAATGAAATGAATAATGTCTGATATAAATAATAGATTATTTCACGTTGCTTTTAAAGCTGTTGGTAATTAATATAATAATAATAATTACAATTGTCAAATGAAAAGATGAAATCATATTTCAAATAAATTTTTACTTATTACAAATAAGCGATTTTATGATCAAAGTGAACTGTCAATCATTTTGTGCATTCCATTCAGTGGGTGGAGCTTTGCTTAAATCTGCCCTTAAATTTCAGCATATTTTCCAGTACATATTTTTTTTATTCCAGTAAAATTTATAGCCAAAATATCAAAGTACATTTACAATGCACTTTGTGAATAATTTGGTTATAAAAATGCTAATGTTCTTTCTTCTTGGTGTACACAATTGATGAAAAATAAGTACTTACAGTATTCAGCTTCTTCAGGAACTCCATACAAACTTCTAAGCCTTTCTGCCTTGCATATATCTGCAAAGAAGCCATTCACACAAATTCAAATATACAGTAAAATCTGTGTACAGTGAACATCTTACTGTTGGTAAGTGTTCACTACAGAGGCAGTTTTATACAGAAGTCATTGGAGTATGTGTTGAGAAGGGGTGTTCACTAGACACAGGTGTTCACTAAGACAGGTTTAACTGTATACTATTTTTAATGTATTCATGAATGATATAATATATGCTGCAATGGGCTTTTTTCTGAGAAGGGAAAATGGTACAATGCATTAGCAATATATTCTCTTTTATAGTTCTTACACCTATTTTCAAGCATTGAACAGTTGTCACTCTCAGATTATTTCTACCATAGTTATGGAAATTGTTATTCTGTATTTTTACAATGTGCTTGTACATCCACATATAAGTATGTTTTAGTCACTTAAAAGCCATACATCACCTCAAAGTCATTGTTTGATGGTGGACAGTTCAGCATAAACATTACACATTGCTTGTATATCTGCAAACAAAAAAGGGACATGACACATTGCTTGTATATCTTTAAACAAAAAAGGGACATGACACATTGCTTGTATATCTGCAAACAAAAAAGGGACATGGCACATTGCTTGTATATCTGCAAACAAAAAAGGGACATGACACATTGCTTGTATATCTGCAAACAAAAAAGGGACATGACACATTGCTTGTATATCTGCAAACAAAAAAGGGACATGGCACATTGCTTGTATATCTGCAAACAAAAAAGGGACATGACACATTGCTTGTATATCTGCAAACAAAAAAGGGACATGACACATTGCTTGTATATCTGCAAACAAAAAAGGGACATGGCACATTGCTTGTATATCTGCAAACAAAAAAGGGACATGACACATTGCTTGTATATCTGCAAACAAAAAAGGGACATGACACATTGCTTGTATATCTGCAAACAAAAAAGGGACATGACACATTGCTTGTATATCTGCAAACAAAAAAGGGACATGACACATTGCTTGTATATCTGCAAACAAAAAAGGGACATGACACATTGCTTGTATATCTGCAAACAAAAAAGGGACATGACAAATTGCTTGTATATCTGCAAACAAAAAAGGGACATGACACATTGCTTGTATATCTGCAAACAAAAAAGGGACATGACACATTGCTTGTATATCTGCAAACAAAAAAGGGACATGACACATTGCTTGTATATCTGCAAACAAAAAAGGGACATGACACATTGCTTGTATATCTGTAAACAAAAAAGGGACATGACACATTGCTTGTATATCTGTAAACAAAAAAGGGACATGACACATTGCTTGTATATCTGCAAACAAAAAAGGGACATGACACATTGCTTGTATATCTGTAAACAAAAAAGGGACATGACACATTGCTTGTATATCTGCAAACAAAAAAGGGACATGGCACATTGCTTGTATCTCTGCAAACATAAAAGGGACGTGACACATTGCTTGTATATCTGCAAACAAAAAGGGACTTATCTTCAATTACTACACAGCATAAAACCAAAATACATGTTTCTTGCAATTTAGAGGTTCAACAAAAAACAGACAAAAATATTTCTGTTGATAGACACTGCTGTATGCATGTTTAAGTGTGGGGGAAACCCATTACTTGTTGGTCGAAGTACTGACTTCCTGTATTAGTCTTGAATATACAAAATCAACAAAAAGGATTTCCCTTTTGATGGGGAGCAGCAAAAAATACCCTTTCCCAAGGATATTAATCTATTGAACTAATCCTTTAAATACCAAAGTGGGCAGAATTATGGAACGATATTATTACACATTGATGTCACTCTATATGTAAAACAACTAGAAAAACAGCAACTCCACGGAGTAGCAAATCCCACAGAACAAAACATGTTTTGATAAAAAATTGAGCCAAATTCATCCACTGATATTTGAATTATCAAAGATTATGTCTTTATGAAACATGGTTGCCATTTTGAAATTCAGCTGTCATCTTTAGATTTCTTCTTTAGCAGAGAATGTCGGTCCAATGGTATCTGGGTTATCAAAGATTACTTTTTTAATGAAAAATGGCAGCCATTTTGAAATTCAGCTATTGCTTTGAAATTTCTTCTGAAGCAGATCTCCTTTTTCCCTAAACATCAGCATATAAATTTGGAACCAAATCCATCCACTAATTTATTTTTGAGCAGAACTTCTTTGCCTCTAGGCATCAGCATATAGAATTTGAAAATAAATCCGTCAACTGGTATTTGAGTTATCAAAGGTAACGTTCTTTTATGAAAAATGGTGGCCATTTTGAAATTTAGCTGCTACCTTGAAAATCCCTTCTCGAGCAGAGCTCCTATGTCCCTAGGCATTATCATGTAAAATTTGAACCAAATCCATTGAATGGTAATTGAGTTATCAAAGATAATGTTTTTTATAAAAAATGGCCGCCATTTTGAAATTTAGCTGCCATCTTGAAAATCCTTTCTTGAGCAGAGCTCCTATGTCCCTAGGCATCAGCATCTAAAATTTAAACCTAATACATTCAATGGTATTTGAGTTATCAAAGATAACGTTTTTTTACGAAAAATTGCCGCCATTTTGAAATTTAGCTGCCATCTTGAAAATCCTTTCTCAAGCAGAGCTCCTTTGTCCCTAGGCGTCAGCTTCTAAAATTTGAACCAAATCCATTCAATGGTCTTTGAGTTATCAAAGATAACATTTTTTACGAAAAATGGCCACCATTTTGAAATTTGGTGGCCATCTTGAAAATGTCTTCTTGAGCAAGGCTCCTTTGTACCAAGGCAACAGCATATAAAATTTGAACCAAATTCATCCACTAGTATTTGAGTTATTAAAGATTATATTTTTTCCGAAAAATGGCCGCCATTTTGAATTAAGCGGCCATATTGAAAATTCCTTCTCGAGCAGAGGTCCTACACCCATAAGGCATAAGCCTATAAAATTTGAATGAAATCCGTCAACCGGTATTTGAGTTATTGCCCGGACACACGAACGGACGGACGGACGAACCAACGGACGGACGAACGGACGGACGAACGGACGGACGGACGGACGAACGGATGGACGGACGGACGAACGGCTTTTCTATATCCCCCTCGAACTTCATTCGGTGGGATAATAAAGCTATGAATATATATATTCTACTTTCTGAATCCTTTGCGAGATTAAACCATGCAATAGCTTATAAGAATGACTTCATTGACATATAACACTGAACTTGTGTTTCTCAAAAGACTGCAGCACTTAGTGCTTCATTATACAGGGTGTCAAATAAGTCCCGTCCCCCCTGCTACAGCTAGAACCTTAATAGATGGTGCCTACTGTGATATACCATTGGAAAGATCATACAAAGTTATGTTAACTCACCAACTCTCTGATTCAAAACTACATGGTCACATACCTTGACTAGTCTGTTAAAGTATGTTGGCTCCAATGTACCCCACCATAGATCTACAATAAATGGAAAAAATAATTCAGTGAAGAATATGTTGTTAAAGCTATAAGTTAGAATCTAGAGATATCAATTTTATTCACAACACTTCTGTGTGCCGTATCGCCACTATATTAACAGAAATCAGAAAAAAACATTTTTTTAGACCTTTCCAATAAATCCTGACCTTTTTTGGTGAGCTGAAACTAGAAAGAAACTAGAAAGAAACTAGACTTTATTGACTTACGATTTATATAATATTTTGCAGGCAGAAATGTTTGTAAACCCAAAAAAGAAATTGGATTGTAATATTAGCAGTATTAGGCATTCGATTTCTACTATGAAATTGTAAAAATGATATACCTATGACTCTGTTAGGAGTTTTATCCATGTTCAGTATATTATAGGCGAATGGGACAATTATAGTTGGGACGTATTTCTGCTCATCAAATAGATGACACTCAGGTAGTATTATGTGTAAGCGTAAAGTTTCAACATCTGGTGGAGATTTCGGCAAACTTCGAATAAGTTCATCCAGCTTTTTATGTATCTGAAAAAGATTAGCATTCAGACAGATCTATAGATTTTTGCTTTGATATTACTAAATCAGAAAAATTATTAATGGTTTATAGGGCATATGACATAAATTGGTGTAGCAAGCTTTGGGACAGACGGGCCATTTAGTGCCTCACCAAAATTTTGTAGAAAATTACAGTGAAACCTAAAAAGTAGAACACCTCTATAAGTAGAACACCTCTATTAGTGAAACACTTTTCAGACTCGCTGAAAACCAACTGACTTAATGTTAAATGAACCTCTATAATTGGAACACCTCACAAGTGGAACACTTTTCAGAGGGACCAACAGTGTTCCACTTAGACAGGTTTTGCTGTATCGTTATCAACTCAAACTGTTGTCTCATAGAAGTAAATTATCCTTTTTCACCCTAACTACATTTTTTGCATGGTCTAATTTCGGATCCTGACTATGCCACTGACACATACAATATATTGACCAACAAGCTTAAAGTATACTTATATGGAATGAAATACCAATGTACTCAAATGGACTCCATCATTAATATGCTAGAATAATCGAGCAAAAACTGTGAAATGTCATTTTAAAACAGCTGAAACAATTGATGTGATATCTACTGTATTCTTATTGTGGACAAAGAAATGGACAACTTACAATTTCTTCGACAAATGGGTTTGCTGCATTTCTAAGGTTCAGGAAAGATGATCGGATGGAATCTAGTGACAGCCCATGCTTCCTTGATGTACAGTTGTAGTGTTCACCATTACTAAAATAATCAGTTAAACACATTTAAGTTTGTAGCCTTGATTAAAACAAAAATTACAGTACCCCCTGTAATCTATGGATCTTCGATTTACAGTACCCCCTGTAATCTATAGTAAATATTCAAGACAAAAACCTTGGTCTTCGATTTTGATAATATATGAGACTGAGAAACATTTGTCAATGCTCAACATTACAGAAACTAATCATTCTTAAAAGTAAAAATTCTCAAATTGCATATAAAATTATAAAAAATGACTGATAAAATAAACACATTAATGGCAATTGAAGCCTTGGTTAAAATTAAAAATTACAATACAATTGAGGACAAAATTACATTAAATATTCAAAACAAAAAAAACTTAATCTTTAATTTGATAATTTTGAAACTTGAATATTAAATGGTAATTATTTGTTAAAGTTCAACACCTCACTCAAGAGCTAAAAATCATGGTTATTGTCACAAAAGTTGAGATTTTTAAATTATTTAATTTTACAATTTAAATACCTTTTAAGAAATGAGCAATTAAGGCATGCTTGTGAACCAAACATTGCCTCTAATTCTTTTATTTGTTCCGAGGAAGGTTTCCCCTTGGTGGGTATATCACAGTATTGTTGCATTATCTCCTTGTTTAACATGTAAATTTGTTGGCTTTCTTCATGTATTCTATAGTCTTTGGAAGATATCTCCTCCTAAAATATAAGATAATACAAGGCATAAATGTGCAAAATGTCACCACCTGCCATTTGCCATTGAATTGCCGCCAACAGTATATGAGTTATTGCACGGACAGAAGGACGGATGGATAGATGGATGTACGTACGTATGTACATGCAAAGTACAGCCGTACGAATGGATGGAGCCATTCTCTATATCCTCCCAAATTTAGTTCAATGGGATAATAATGCACTGTTAATGTAATTAGCATTAAATAAATAACTAGATGTATAAGATTGCAAGCAATCGTATAAAGATTGCAAGCAATCTTACGGAGGCCCCGTAGGCTTTTTTGAACATTTAAAGGTCAGCCAAAGGTCAAATCTTAAAAACAAGGTCATATATGAACTCCAGGCATCTTGTAGATGATTTTAAAAAAAAAGTTTGGTCAATTTGAAGCAATGTGAAGTTTGACCTTGAAAAATTTCAACATTAGACCTTTTTTCGGTTTTTGAGTTCTAATATCTCAAAACTGGTACCCAATTTTAATAAATAGTCAATTGCTAATATGTGTAGAACCTATAGAGGAATATATATCCTGACTTTCATGAAAAGATATTGATTTGTAGTCACCAAAACTTAGAAACTTAGAAAACACAGTTTGTGATTAAGTTTGATGACCTTGACCTTTGACCTTGCAAGTCTTACTTTTTTAGACCTCAGTGGGTCTTTTGTGATCAAATATACCTAAATTTGAATCCAGAAAATCAATTTAAAAAATCAACTTTTTTGACCTTTAGAAGGTCACTGAAGGTCAACCAAAGGTCAAAGGTCAAAACTAAGGTCAGATTTGAGTTCCTGAGAACTTGTAGATGATTTTTAAAAAAACATTTGGTCAATTTGAAGCAAGTTGAAATTTAGTCTTGAAAAGTTTCGAAATTTGACCTTTTTTCAGTTTTTGAGTTCTAATATCTCAAAACTGGTACACAATTTTAATAAATAGTCAATTGCTAATATGTGTATAACCTATAGAGGAATATATATCCTGACTTTCATGAAAAAATATTGATTTGTAGTCACCAAAACTTAGAAACTTAGAAAACACAGTTTGTGATTTAGTTTGATGACATTGACCTTTGACCTTGCAAATTTTACTTTTTTAGACCTCAGTGGGTCTTTTGTGATCAAATGTACCTAAATTTGAATCCAGAAAATCAATTTGAAAAATCAACTTTTTTGACCTTTCGAAGGTCACTGAAGGTCAACCAAAGGTCAAAGGTCAAAAATTCAGATTTGAGTTCCTGAGAACTTGTAGATGATTTTTAAAAAAAAAATTGGTCAATTTGAAGCAAGTTGAAAAATGACCAATTTTTACCGTTTTTTGACGTCAATTATCTCAAAAACGGTAAAAAATTAACGCGAACATATAGTGAGTAATTTGTAGGGAATGCTTATATCTAGTTACATTTTAAATAATAAAATAATGAAGTATGAGGACGAAATCTGAGAAACTTAGAAAAAACTTTGATTTGATTTAGATTTTGACCTTTGACCTTGACCTAGATAAAAATTCCTTTCCCGGTAAGTTCAACCTAGGTCCCTAGTAGGTTCATCTAGTAGATAGTTGAAATCTAGTTAGAAGTAGGAGAAAAAGTGCAGAGAAGAATAAATAATAACTAGAGATTTAAGATTGCAAGCAATCTTACGGAGGCCCTGTAGGCGTTTTTGGCAATTTGAAGGTCAGCCAAAGGTCAAATCTCAAATCTAGGGTCATATACTAACACCAGGCAACTTGTAGATGATTTTTAAAAAAAAGTTTGGTCAATTTGAAGCAAGTTGAAATTTAGTCTTGAAAAGTTTGGAAATTTGACCTTTTTTCAGTTTTTGAGTCCTAATATCTCAAAACTGGTACACAATTTTAATAAATAGCCAATTGCTAATATGTGTAGAAACTATAGAGGAATATATATCCTGACTTTCATGAAAAAATATTGATTTGTAGTCACCAAAACTTAGAAACTTCGAAAACACAGTTGGTGATTTAATTTGATGACCTTGACCTTTGATCTTGCAAATTTTACTTTAATTCACCTCAGTAGCTCTTTTGTGATCAAATATACCTAAATTTGAATCCAGAAAATCGATTTAAAAAATCAACTTTTTTTCCCCTTCCGAAGGTCACTGAAGGTCAACAAAAGGTCAAGGGTCAAAAGTAAGGTCAGATTTGGATTCCTGAGATCCTGTAGATGCTTTTTAAAAAAAAGTTTGGTCAATTTAGAGCAAGTTGAAATTTAGTCTTGCAAAGTTTCGAAATTTGACCTTTTTTCAGTTTTTGAGTTCTAATATCTCAAAACTGGTACACAATTTTAATAAATAGTCAATTGCTAATATGTGTAGAACCTATAGAGGAATATATATTCTGACTTTCATTAAAAAAAATTGATTTGTAGTCTCAAATTTTGAGAAACTTAGAAAACACAGTTTGTGATTTCGTTTGATGACCTTGACCTTTGACCTTGCAAATTTTACTTTTTAGACCTCAGAAGGTCTTTTGTGAATAAATATACCTAAATTTGAATCCAGAAAATCAATTTGAAAAATCAACTTTTTTGACCTTTGGGAGGTCACTGAAGGTCAACCAAAGGTCAAATGTCAAAAGTAAGGTTAGATTTGGAATCCTGAGAACTTGTAGATGAGTTTTAAAAAAGAAATTGGTCAATTTGAAGCAAGTTGAAATTTAGTTTTGAAAAGTTTCGAAATTTGACATTTTTTCAGTTTTTGAGTTCCAATATCTCAAAACTGGTACACAATTTTAATAAATAGTCAATTGCTAATATGTGTAGAACCTATAGAGGAATATATATCCTGACTTTCATGAAAAAATATTGATTTGTAGTCTCCAATTTTGAGAAACTTAGAAAACACAGTTTGTGATTTAGTTTGATGACCTTGACCTTTGACCTTGCAAATTTTACTTTTTTAGACCTCAGTGGGTCCTTTGTGATTAAATATACCTAAATTTGAATCCAGAAAATCAATTTGAAAAAACAACTTTTTTTACCTTTCGAAGGTCACCGAAGGTCAACCAAAGGTCGGAGGTCAAAAGTAAGGACATATTTGAGTTCCTAAAAAAATCTGGTTCATTTGAAGCAAGTTGAAAAATGACCGATTTTTGCCGATTTTTGACGTCAAATATCTCAAAAACGGTAAAAAATTAACGCGTACATATAGTGAGCAATTTGTAGAGAATGCTTATATCTAGTTACATTTTAATTCATCGCAAGAAACAATGAAGTATGAGGACGAAATCTGAGAAACTTAAAAAAAACTTTGATTTGACCTAGATTTTGACCTTTGACCTTGACCTAGATAAAAATTCCTTTCCCCTCAATTTCAGCCAAGGTCCCTTGTAGGAGCATATAAGAGTTAACTCAGACCTAGCTAGAAGTAGGAGAAAAAGTGCAGAGAAGAATAAATAATAACTAGAGATTTAAGATTGCAAGCAATCTTACGGAGGCCCTGTAGGCGTTTTTGGCAATTTGAAGGTCAGCCAAAGGTCAAATCTCAAATCTAGGGTCATATACTAACACCAGGCAACTTGTAGATGATTTTAAAAAAAAAGTTTGGTCAATTTGAAGCAAGTTGAAATTTAGTCTTGAAAAGTTTGGAAATTTGACCTTTTTTCAGTTTTTGAGTCCTAATATCTCAAAACTGGTACACAATTTTAATAAATAGTCAATTGCTAATATGTGTAGAAACTATAGAGGAATATATATCCTGACTTTCATGAAAAAATATTGATTTGTAGTCACCAAAACTTCGAAACTTCGAAAACACAGTTGGTGATTTAATTTGATGACCTTGACCTTTGATCTTGCAAACTTTACTTTAATTCACCTCAGTAGCTCTTTTGTGATCAAATATACCTAAATTTGAATCCAGAAAATCGATTTAAAAAATCAACTTTTTTTCCCTTCCGAAGGTCACTGAAGGTCAACCAAAGGTCAGGGGTCAAAAGTAAGGTCAGATTTGGATTCCTGAGACACTGTAGATGCTTTTTAAAAAAAAGTTTGGTCAATTCAGAGCAAGTTGAAATTTAGTCTTGCAAAGTTTCGAAATTTGACCTTTTTTCAGTTTTTGAGTTCTAATATCTCAAAACTGGTACACAATTTTAATAAATAGTCAATTGCTAATATGTGTAGAACCTATAGAGGATTTATTCTGACTTTCATTTAAAAATATTGATTTGTAGTCTCCAATTTTGAGAAACTTAGAAAACACAGTTTGTGATTTCATTTGATGACCTTGACCTTTGACCTTGCAAATTTTACTTTTTTAGACCTCAGAAGGTCTTTTGTGAATAAATATACCTAAATTTGAATCCAGAAAATCGATTTGAAAAATCAATTTTTTTTACCTTTCGGAGGTCACTGAAGGTCAACCAAAGGTCAAAGGTCAAAAGTAAGGTTAGATTTGGAATCCTGAGAACTTGTAGATGAGTTTTAAAAAAAAAATTGGTCAATTTGAAGCAAGTTGAAATTTAGTCTTGAAAAGTTTCGAAATTTGACCTTTTTTCAGTTTTTGAGTTCCAATATCTCAAAACTGGTACACAATTTTAATAAATAGTCAATTGCTAATATGTGTAGAACCTATAGAGGAATATATATCCTGACTTTCATGAAAAAATATTGATTTGTAGTCTTCAATTTTGAGAAACTTAGAAAACACAGTTTGTGATTTAGTTTGATGACCTTGACCTTTGACCTTGCAAATTTTACTTTTTTAGACCTCAGTGGGTCCTTTGTGATCAAATATACCTAAATTTGAATCCAGAAAATCAATTTGAAAAAAACGACTTTTTTTACCTTTCGAAGGCCACCGAAGGTCAACCAAAGGTCAGAGGTCAAAAGTAAGGACATATTTGAGTTCCTGAGATCTTGTAGATGATTTTAAAAAAAAATCTGGTTCATTTGAAGCAAGTTGAAAAATGACCGATTTTTGCCGATTTTTGGCGTCAAATATCTCAAAAACGGTAAAAAATTAACGCGTACATATAGTGAGCAATTTGTAGAGAATGCTTATATCTAGTTACATTTTAATTCATCGCAAGAAATAATGAAGTATGAGGACGAAATCTGAGAAACTTAAAAAAAACTTTGATTTGACCTAGATTTTGACCTTTGACCTTGACCTAGATAAAAATTTCTTTCCCGCCAATTTCAACTAAGGTCCCTACTAGGGGTATATAAGAGTTAATTCAAAGCTAGCTAGAAGTAGGAGAAAAAGTGCAGAGAAGAATAAATAATAAAGTAGAATAATAATAATAAATAATATCTATAAAATCTATAGGAGGCCCCCTGTCGGGGGGCCTCCTAATAATAAATAATAATATCTATAAAATTAATAGGAGGCCCCCCGTTGGGGCCTCCTAATAATATGTCTAAGAAACAAAAGTAAGTTATACTTATAACTTAGCTGACATCTATCATTACCTTTGGATTGCTAGTGAAAGCAAAACTCTGGTCTCCTCCACAGAACAACATCTTAACCACATGAGCCCCAGTCTCATCAGTGTCTGTAGAGTGGGCTACAAAAGTGCCTTTTATCACAGTAGGAGAGAGTCTATTAGAAACACTATTGTTTCCTAGTTGACCATTTGCCCCTAATCCAAATGCATATATTCGTCCACTGGAGGGTACACAAGCTAGAGTGTGGCGCCTAAAAGTAACAAAAGAATACAAGTTCTCTCTGGTATTTTAAGTCTTATTTTTATCTGGAAATTGAGTCTTTAAATCTACATTAATGGCCAGGAGTGATTCTCTTCAAGTTCAAATATGGTACCTTCATTTTTTTTTATCTTTTTAACAAGTTATTTTTTCACATACAAAATCTTTTTATACTGACAAAACAAAAGAAAATAAATGACACATTTCTGATAAATACTTAATAAATAAAGTACTTAAAAATGACCCCATGGGCATTTATTATGGGGAAAAGATACCAGGAATGAGGCCTAGGGTGTCATTATGAAAAAATCTGGTACATTACTACATACACAACAGACATACCTGCCACATGCTATCTGACTGACAGTACATCCCATGAGTTCAAAGACTTTCCTGGGGAGGAACTCATTATTATTACAGTTATGTCCAAGCTGACCATAGCTGCCTGCTCCAAATGTAAACACACCTCCTTCCTGCAATCACATACACATGTGTCTATATTGATGAGAAAAGAAGGCTTTCTGCTGAGCTTTTACAAACATTAGCAGTTTTGATACTGATTTTAACAATAAAGGTGATTTCTTCTCGCATTTTACAGAAATATATTCTTTGAGAAATGTTTGATCTCATTTATTTGCGATGATATCAAAATTCTGAAGAAATGAAACAATGGACAAGTACTGGAGACTGGAGAGCATTATCGAGTCTATAGACATCAAAATTGGCTAAGATCATTATATTGATGGTAAGAAGAGGGTGGGGCCTTTAACAGTACATTTACCTCAGTGAGAGCCACAGTGTGGTCCTCCCCACAGCAGACATACTTTACACGTTGAGATCTCAATGTCTTGCACTGCATTGGAAAATGTTTATCTTTGTCATCACTTACACCTAGCTGACCAAAACTGGAAAAATAAACATGTGATATACTGGGTTCCATGTTGGACACTGGTTACTTATGATTATGTCTCTTACAATAGAAGACATAGGGGCAATCTCTGACATGGAGCATTGTCAGATGATCTTCAATAATTCTTTGTTTTATATGTATATCTTTATTGAAACTTCAAATTAGACACATCATATTATCAATGTGGTGTCAATGTGGTGATATTCGAGGGTTTGTCCGGGAATGCCCCATGGCCGAGAATGCGGCATGTCCTCTAGACAATGGTTTTCTAGGAATCCTAAGTTACATGCATGATCGTACCAAATTGTGAGAACTCAATGACTGTTCAGACTAAAATATATATTTGTCATCCTCTATATCTGTATATCACTCAACGGAAACCTAATCAAGATGAGTTGCTGACTTGTGACACTGAGGAAATAACTTTAGGAAATCATAAGGAAGGTTAAGCTACAGGTTTTTATGAGAACTTGTACATGACCATGTCTATAGTCTTCAAGGGATTAGTCCCGGGGGGTTCACTGTATATAAACCTTGACGGGGATCCTCGGCGCACATGGGGTACCTTTTTGGACATTTGGTATGGCAATGGACCCAAATTTTAGGATGTGGTATGAGAATGCCCCCTCATTAAACTTTTGAGGGATGGAAATGGTCAGATTTTTCAACTTTCTGGTATGAGAATGGTCATAGAAAATATGTTATCTCACAATTATGGTATGGAATTGGTCTAGTAGTTACACATATCCTAATATGAGGTTGTTTTGGTTCGTTTTCCTCAAAGATCGCCTTCTTCTTGGGACCTTCTTCAGTTTAAATAAATAGTTTTTTCCCCAGGAAATATTCTACTTTGGACCAGTTATTGCATTGGTCCTATATTTTTTTGACATTTGGCATGGCATTGGTTTCATATTTGGGCATTTGGGATGGCTTTTGGGCACTATATTGGTTGGTATGGGAACACATTCAAATTTGACATTTTGGTATGGGAATATATTGATATCTGAGGGTTCAGCCTAGGACCCCTGCCAAATTTTGTACACAGTGAACCCCCCGGGGGATTAGTGGTCCACTTCAAGTTTTAACTTGTCCAATTGAATAAAAGGGTATGGGAAAATAGTTGAAATTAGGTTCTCATTAAATCAATTGAGAGGTTCCTGGGTCATTATGTATAACATTCATGTACAACTTCTCTGAAAAATGTGTAGCTTGACCTCACTATTATGACAAACAACATACCTATTTTTTCCAAAGCCAAACAATGCACCGGACCTAGAAAGGATCATACTGTGATACCCTGATGCAGCAATCTGGGCTACTGGAAGTCCTTTTAGAGATACTAGCTCGCATGGAGAAGTTTGGTTAGCTGAACTACTACCCCCCAGTCCTAGCTGGCCATGTGAGTTACTCCCCCATGTAAACACTCTACCGTCTGAATAAAAAACACACAAGGCATTAGCATGACAAAATGTCACCACCTTGAAGTTAGTGCAAATGAAAATTGTTACAGATGCCGAACGTAAATTGTTAAAGATGCTGAACTCTGAATGCCATACACCATCCACAAAAAAGTTGGAGACAATAACAATATAGCAATAGTGACATAACAATGATAGGTTTGCATCAAGCCTCTTGTCCCCCTTCCCCTTATCTACCTCACCTCTAGAGGTGATGTGTGTATGGGTGAAGGATCACAAGGGCTTGGAGCAAGACTAAAGACATGGGGACTAATCAGACCTCGTGTGAGTATGTTCAGTGGCACCATAGCTTAGGAATTGGGTAAAACAGGCCCGTAGCCAAGGGGGGTTTGAGGTATTCTTTCAAAATCATGCAGTTTTTGACCATTCTGAGCACTTTTCAGGTAATTTTGGCCATTTTAGGGCCAAAGTTGTTAAAAGTGAACCCTCGTTGGAATTCTTCAAAAAGTGAACCTCCCTCGGTAAATCCTGGATACGGGCCTGTAAAATGTATTTAGGATAGTATTTAGAATGATGAGCTCAATGCAGATTCTAAAATGCTCATGGTATAATTAGGTCTGATTAGCACCCCTGAAAAGAACACAGTAGTTTGTTATGACATCAGAGACTCAATAAAGTTTAAGTTAAACTATATGCAAAGATGTCTCATTTTAACCAACTTAATCCATGTACTGTACTCCGTATCTCTCTATCTATCATTGATTTGGAGGATGTAGATACGCTGTAGATATGATCTGAGTTTCATAACGATACTGATCATAGGCTTGATGGTTTATGGGGTCATGGATGTACTGATAACATTATGTGTCACTTACCTTTAGTTAGAGCCAGACAATGGTCATACCCACATACAACTTGTATAATACTGTAGGGAACTGGAAATTTCACCAACCTAAATAAAATAATTTTCAATTATATATTACAGTAAAACCTGTCTAAGTGGGACAACTTTAGTAACCTCTAAAAAGTGTTTCTCTTGAGAGGTGTTCTTCTTATAAAGGTTCATTCAACATTAAATCAGTTGGCCTTGGGACACTTAAATGTGTTCCACTAAAGGGAAGTCCTTTTGACAGGTTTCATAAATTAAATTAATTCTTAATCTGAGTAAGATTTAAGATTTAAATATTTAAATTATAAATTCTCTTCAAATTCCATCTATGTTAAATTACATATTTGCTTTATGGGGTTTCATTAGAAGCAGGCAACAGGCGATTTTCACTGGTTGTTTTCACAGAAATTGCCTGTTGTTTTTGGGGACTTTTCAATTTTTCAAAGTTAAATTTATGATTTCCATTAATTTCCTGTTGATTTCATTTATTTAGCCTGTTGTGAGAAATTCTAGTGAAACCCCTGACTTATTAGACTTTTGCAGATTACTGACATAGACACAGACTTGGCAATACTGTAATTGTAAACCATGATATATCTTACTTTGGTACTTTTTGTGCGTCATAATCAGCAGTGACTCTCCCTAATTGTCCATACGTGTTATCTCCCCAGGAGAGTACTCCTCCTTTATCAGTTAAAGCCACACTATGACCCGCACCACACGCCGTTGATACTATTGTCTGGGCTTCTAGTGCGCTTATTTGTTCTAAAAATAAAATGTTCAATTAAAAGCAAAATGTAAGTATGTTTAGGGGAGTGTCTGTCTGATGGAAAGGCTACATACATGTACATGTACACTTTTTGTACGTGTCAACACATAAACACTATAAAGGTCAAAATGCTAAGAAGGCATCTTCCGATCACAGGGATTCCAAATCCAGAATATATTCTTTCTTTTTATCCCCTGCGATAAGCAATTAGCATTTCCCCGATTAAGAACTCACAATCTGATTGGCTGTCGCAACAATGCGTCAGAAATCACGTGTAAGTGATTCAGTTTAATCAGGTGCTTCCAAATTGGTTATAGCAGGGCGAAGAAGGAGGTACGGATTCTGGACACCTGCTTAGGAGGATGTAAGAAGGGTACAGAAGCTGGATAGCCAGAATCAATGTTTGGTGAGGCAAATATAAAGAAAATAGGTGAGGCAAATTTAGGCTAAAGGAGGTAAACAATACATTTGGACTTCATTTCCACAGTTTTAGTAGACAAATGTCTGAATAAATATATTTATGTAAAATGTTGGTGAGGTACCTCATGCCTGGCTATAAGGAAAATTTGCATTTGAAATGAACCCATAGTTTCAAAAAGTTGAACAAGACACACGTCACAGTGAAAATATTGCACTTCATGAGCAAAATGGCAGTCTTATGAATTACCCAGCATGCCCAAAACCTTGTTAGATTTTGACACTTATCGATAAGGGACAATGCTTTCTTGCTATCTCAATGACAAGATGCATGCCCATCAGCATAAAATGACGTCAATTAGCAGTTTTCAAATTCATAAAAAATGTTAGTACATGTATACACTGTACCTGGTTTCTTGCATGATTTATCATGTCCTAGTTGCCCATTATCATTATTCCCAAAACTGTAAACAGTGCCACCTTTTAGCACCACCAGGGTATGACTTGTTCCACAACCTATGTCTCTTATTTGTCGCCCTTTGAAAAACTCCACAGATGTTGGACTGAGTATCTGTTCATCCTCTATCCCTCCAAGTCCAAGTTGACCACTAGAATGTTGCCCCCAACAGAGCAATGCTGTCCCAGGTTCTTGCATGGTCACCCTCGTTAATCTACGTATCTTTATGGGAGATGCACACATCTAAGCGCATTACGATGGCTCTTAGCTTTTGATAATGAACATGTTTCTTTTTTGTCCTTATGGTGCTGGAAAATAATGAATAAAAAATTAATTACATATACATGTACGTAATTGTCTGACAATTTTTTTTAAAACATGGATGCCCATGTTTCAATTCAGGAGAATATGAAGTTTATTGGTCAAGTGCATCATTGCAGATCTTTTATATTAAAGGACAACTGAAATAGCATTTCTCAACTTGCAGCTACAAAAATGCGGTTTTCTTCATTGTAAGCCCAACGTAGAGTTCTTGCGATAACCATTATAAAAGAAATGTTAGATAACTGTTAACGGTCATAAATAACGTAATTAAATAAACTGATCAATCAGATTGGCCCCCACGTGATAAGTAACATCATACATAATATAAAGTTTCGGTTTATTGGTTCCTTGGTAATTACGACGTCACGGCAACCATAGGATTGTTGTGTAAACAAATAACAAAACATCTTGGCATTATGGCGTCATGCTTTAAAGGACCAAAACTGGCCACGTGGGGACCAGTTAGAGATCACGTGGGGGCCAATAACGTCACAACTAATTCAAATATTGCTTATTAAGCAGCTATAACCATCGTTAGAGTGATATAATTTTCACTATTCTGATGAGGAAACATGTCCAAATACATTTATCAAAAAAAATCATATTGATTCCTTTAGGTCAAAAATACCATTTCATATCTGCTTTAAGTCAATAAGCACCTACCATATAAATCAAATTGGAGTTATGGTAGTATACATAATTATAATATGTTATATATACACAATATTTTGCATTTTGTGACAGCATTTAAATCATCATGAATCTATCATCAATATGACAGACAAAATGGAGAATCTCATTTTCCCAAAAAACGATGTCCAAGGGTTTGTGTAAAAATGCGAGTGACCGGGTAACAGGGTAGCCTGGTGACGGGGTACAAAACGTTTCTACCAGGATTAGGAATTTGATTTTTTCATTTTATGCCTCAAAACACCAAACTGATTCAACTCAACTTACCAGTCATGCATACGAACAATCAAGCAAACAACCAACCAATCAAGCAACCAACTAATCTACCAAAACTAACTGGCAAAACAAACATTGATATTCTGTCAATCACTCAAGCAATAAATCAAGTATTAAACTAACGTTAATTTACAGCTAAAAACAGCAATATTCAATTAACATGTATTATACATTTTGTATATTAAGTAATTAAACAAATCTTGAAGATTTAGTAGATCTAGTAGAAATTGATCAAAATCCTGTCAATCACTCAGACAATAAATCAAGCAACTAACGACATCGTGTGAAATGTAAATTAAATGTACATGTACCTATAGGACTAATTAGTAATCGACAGGTCAAATGGTTACTATATTAGGCACGAGGGGAAAGAGTACCCGTGTATATACAACCTACCGCCGAGCAAAGACCCGAAGATGTCTGAAAATGTAGGGGGTGAGTTATAAACTTTTGTTTATATCTTGAATTTCTCAATATGAGAAACAGATAAAACACAGAATTGTGTGTAACTGATAAAGTTATTGTTCCAGGCACTCATGTTTGCAAAATAATGAGTCCTTAGCGCAATGTTTACTATCCAATCGCTAAATTCAACTTTTAAATATTTGAATGATGATTTACATCTTGAATAAGTAACAACCATGGCTGTCTTTACTTCATTCGATTCAAAGATACAATAGGTGTAAATGTATCATATTTATTTCACTGCCATACGTTGCATATCATTGAAATCACCGGTGAAAGTTGAAAATGAAAGACCCGATTATGTCACGAGTACGATTATATAGGACCCGAAGCTACCACCGAGCTATTCCGACTATACCGTGAGTAGAACCCGATGAGGTAGTGAGTAAGCTTTCGAATGAGCATATTATATCATGACGATATCACAAATATTCCTTTTTATTTATCATATACTCCTGGCATATAATATTTAGAGGTTATGTCACTATCGTGGCATATATGCCCGAGGTCTCAGTGATATATGGCCCGACCTTGGGAGGGACATTGATCTCTGAGAACCGAGGGCATATGTGCAACGATAGTGACATAAACGATTTATAACATACCTATAATGATGAAGACTGGTCAGAGAGTACCATTTTCTTAAAGAATTGACAAACAAATGGTTTGAAAATGATTGAAATGAGTTTAGAAAAATTGCTCGCGCAGTTTTTTCTTCGATTGATTGGTTATGACGTCAGCGCCTTGACCAATCAGAAAGTTAGCGGGCGCGGGCTTTTCAAAACTTATATTGGCCCGCCGTATTGTGTACACTTTGCACTGTACATCATCATAGGTATGTTATAAAATATGATATAATTCCCGCAGCACTATACGTCAACGTCTGTTTCCGGCAAAGTTCTTTAAAACATTGAATTCATGCTTACACTTGAATCACCATAATTTCCTATGTGTCTATGGTAAGAGTACAACCCCAAGACATTTAATTCTGCATTGCAAGCGCCATTCTACTCAAAGAACACAACTTGAAGAATCACAAGCTTCACAAGCTTCATATCCTCGAAACGAGAATCACCGTGATCTTTCTTTGATAATACAATACCATAGTCAAAAACATTGTAAATCTATTTTTTGCCATTTAACTCAGGCACATTAACTTTAATCAGTAATGGATGGTGCTGACTGAAGTGGACCACAAAGTCATCCATCTCGTGTGATTTATAACTACAGTGGAAGCATTTGTACCGAGGACCTGAAATACAATGTTTCAATGTGCAGTGGTAACTGGTGATAGCCATATTTTTTTCAGTTTCATTTATTGTTCACAACAAAATGATTCACATGAATGATGCAGATTGTATGTTTATTATTTTTTCATCAGCACGTCATAAACTCGACGATATAATCGGATCTCAACAGATTTTACTCAAGTAATGTTCGGATTCTGAGATCCTTTACTCAAGATATTTTCGGATCTTTATAATATTACTCGTCGATCACATCGGGTCCGATGTCCGATAACCTCGGATCTTTTAGGACAAAGTTTAAGTGAAGATTTTGCTGTTCAAAAGTGCTATTTTGACCTAATATTTTGACACTTAATATATTATGCATACAGTATGCACATCCATTTACCGACCCAAGTATGTCTTATGTATGGCTCATTATCAATTAAAGCGTGTATGAATGAGAAAAACAAATCGAAAACCATTATACGTTTACCTTATCTCTTAATTTGGACATAAAAATATATTTCAACTATAATTCTAGGCCAATTGCGCCTCCTAGAACATCTTAGTAACAACTCTAACCATCCAAAGGAATTGTTAGTGACATTATATTACCTTTATTGTCCATTTTCCTATGAGATGACATTATCAAACATTTGCTCGACGGTATTAGCATGTCTTGCTCGGCGGTAGGTTGTATATACATGGGTACTCTTTCCCCTCGTGTTAGGGGAAATGTGCAACTTTGAAAGTTAGTTACCCTGCTAGGAACCTTACATGTACATACCCTGTCACCCAACCAGTGGGTTACCCAGTCACCCAGTTTTTTATACAAACCATATGTTCAATGTGCATCGGTAGTAGCTACATGTATCTTGTCTTGTTTGAAAGAGTTTCACAATGTAACCTACATGTAGGGCATCAAACGACCAATCACATACTGGGAAGTAGACAGGTGGTGAATATTATATCAATTTCTCATTTTTCAGGTGCTCCCTGGGCATTAGAGTGTCAGGCCTCCCTCTAAGTCCATCAATCACTTAGAGGGAAGCCTGACACTCTTATTACCCAGGGAGCACCTGTGATTTTTCCGGGCCAAACTTGTCAAGGAAAGTGAATTCATTGCAAGAAAATAAAACACGACATGTACAGTGACATTTGAAGAATCAATGTCATAGCATACCCTGTGTTTTTTACTTCCCATGGCACAACGTTGGAGCATTTTGTATGATTTACTGTTATGGGTCAATAACAAGGCTACTATTCTAGAAACACGAAGAACAAAACTGACGAAAAAATTATCCATGAAAAAATACATGGGTTTCTAATCATCAAAACGAAGCGTTTCTCGGACATTTACTGTGAAGACGTCTACCACTGACCAAAAAGGAACTTACCTGGTCTCTAATACTATGAATTTACAAAAGCTGGCGCACGGGTGGTCATTTAATCGGCTAAAAAGCGATTTGTTGTTTATTTTTTATTTTGATCTCCGTATATTTCGTTCAGAGCGTTTCTTCGAGACCCTATCTGTTGCAAGACTAACGCCTGGCGTAACCGTCACCATGTTATTCAGTGTTTTTTAAGTAGCGCAAGGGTCCTGCCATGACCGTGGTAATGTAATCGTGAAAGCCTGATATAACCGCGACAATGCTGTATTATATTGCAATGCCTGCCATGACTCTCACAATGTAATATAGTTCTGCAAGGCTTGATATGACCGTAACAATGTAATATAGTACTGCAAAGCCTGGCATGACCGTGACAATGTGATATAGTACTGCAAAGCCTGGCATGACCGTGACAATGTAATATAGTATTGCAAGGCTTGGTATGACCGCCATGGCAATGTGATATAGTATTCCAAGTTCGGGTATGAGAGTGGTGATGTAGAAATTTATGATTGCTATAGCCTAATTGACCGTGGCAATGTGTATTTGAAAACCTGGCATGACCATGACAATGTATTATGGAATCGCAAAGCCTGGTTTGACCGTGACAATGTAATATAGTATTGCAAGGCCAGGTATGAGGGTGGTAATGTAGAGATTTAGGCTTAGTTCTACTATGACCGTTATAATGTATTGCAATGACTAGTAAATATGTATGACATTAATGCCAGGAATATCCTTAACAATTTTAAGTGATCCTCATTACAATTAAACAGTTTAATACTATGATCATAGTGTTTAACTACCTTAATCATGTCAAAATCAAAATTACTACTAGGTATACATTAATATTCACAATCACATTCGCTTATAAACCACAATAAAGGCTACGGTCGCGACAGGCTTCCACGATAACACTTCCAGGGTCATGACAGGCCTTGCAATAGAATACAGCATTGTCACGGTTATACAAGCCTGTCACGGTTATACCAGGCTTACACGATAACACTACCACGGTCACGGCAGGATCCTTGCGCTACTTAAAAAACACTGATTAACATGGTGACGGTTGTGGCAGGCGTAAGTCTTGCAATAGATAGCATGTGGTTTCTTCTTCCTAGATTTCACAACGAGGCTATAGGGATTCAACAAAATGAAAGTGAAACTGAATTTTAAGAACACCAAACATATTACAATCATCATTTTTTCTCTGGAAGTCACCAATAGCCAGGTTTATTTTAGTTAATTAGAGCACAGTCAGAGAGAATGTTCTGGCGAAGGAGATTGGGATTCCAAATTATTAGAGACTATTATTTATATAATACTTTTGAATCAATGGCTAATAAAAATATACACACCCCCAGCAGTGCAGCAGAACTTTGTAAAGTGAAACATCTCTGAACGTGGAATAGGTTCAACAGGTGTTCCAGTTATTGGAACACTTTTCAGACTCCCAACACCAATTGACTTCATGTGAAATGCAACACCTCCAAAAAGGAACTATTTTTAAGGTACAGATTTACTGTACATTGTGCGGTCCATGGGTGCAAGCTCTCAGCAGTCATACTTTTTAACAAGAAGTACCGTGCGAAAATGACTGCATAGAGAAAAGCACCTTCTGTTTTTTTCTTCTTTTTCGATTTCGATGAGTCACATCAGACATACATATATTTATTTGTTTCTCGGTAACATAAAATAGTCGTCTCAGCCAACACTTTATACAAATGTGTGGTCTGTGAGCTTGTCAATCCTCAATTGGGTATAATTTTTGTGGTATTCTTAATTAATTGGAGCCTGTTTAGATAGGACCTCCCAAATAAAAAGCTGGCCACAACTATCAAAGTTATACTCCAAGGTATAACAGTAAATGTTTTTTTAAAATTCATAATTCTTAGTGCTTGGCTCTAATCTTGCAGACCAGTACATACAATAACTATAAATCATCAAATTTTTTTTATCAATTTTTTTTATTTTTACTATGATATAAAAATAGTATACATTAGTACAATTTGTACATTAAGAAATAAAAATCATTCTTAAAACCTAAAATGCTTAATCTTCAATTGATCATGTATTTTGACTAATTTAAAACAATGTTATTAATTTATTGAGGTGTGGGGAAAGTGCAAACATAGGTCCACAGGCAGCAAATTGCTCTTTTCAGCATATACAATATGTAATGGAAAAATAATATTGAAATTGGTCTTTTATTCTTTGGTCAATTTGCAATTTGCTGTGTAAGTTTAGCCAATTTTCCAACTTACGACTGATATTATGCATCGTTTCAGTGATTTTGGACATTGACTTTTCAAATCATGATCAGTTTTTTTTAAATCATCTTCATTGATACAACGTACATGTAGTAGGTATTTGCGATTGATTACCTAGAGAATCATTACTAAGGTGACCAGAACTTTTTGAGAGCTCACAAAATCAATTGGTCCTCCTGGCAACTACGAACAAAGAAGTAGTTTAAAACAAGTACAAATTGCAAAATGACTACTCGAGTTTGAGGGACCACTTTCATGTAATTTATATGCAACTTCTTTAATCTATGTTACAACTTTTCTCAACCATTGGTAGCCTACACACAATCCCATACACTCTGATTGAAATGACGACCAATAGAATACCATTATTTCTCTCCTTCTATATGCTTCTTAACATCCTTATTTATTGGTATATTACCATTGCTTCTTTACTTCTATACATTTCTTACACATCCCTTATATTGCCAGGTTTATATCCTACATCCTTTATCCTCCAGCCTTTTAATTCCAAGCCAACCACAAGACACATATGCAGCGTAACTGTGATTTTACTTTTACAACATACAGTAAGTATGTGTCCTAAACTTTCAAGATTTGGATGAACCTGGTAATGGAGTAGTCACTTTAACAAAGCTAGAAGTACTTGAGAAATATTTTTGTGCCTCTTGAGTCCTTGCTTCAGCTGCTAATGGGTTAACAATTTCCAAACCCTGGAAAAGAAAGGGTTAAAACGTTAAAAATATTGAAATACCTTTAGATCAGGTATCAAGTATCTTGAAAAATCTATGAAATACTAGTAGTAATAGATGTAAATATGTTACCCCAAAACAAGCATGTTACCCTCTCCACATGTGCAGAAAGTAAGAATATTTTTATAAATTAATCATATGCAAAGTTAGATGTGTTTCAGTCTTGAATTCAAATTAGGGTTGTTTTTCCTTTAATTTTCAGAGGAATGTGATGGAGAAAATCCTATTGGTGGAATTTATTTTAGCTTTAGTTTACTTACTTGTAGTGGCGTAAATGCAACACTGGAGGCTGTTCCAGACACAGCTTTTTTAACAGTTGTACTTCCTCCCCAAACATTATTTTTTTGTTTACTAAGTTTTTGCTGAAAGAAAATAATGCATTCGTTATTCAGCAATATGGCCAATTAATCTTTGAATTTATAACTGAATTATTCTAATAATTAAAAATATCTAATCTCAAATTATTTTGTTATTCTTAATTCTGTTGGTTTATTTTCCGGAACAAAACATCGGGGAAATACATGTTGTATGAATTGGCAAATATTCAAATTAGAACTTTGAATGACAATGTGATAAGTATAAAAGGGTTCCAATTTTGACAGTTTCAATAATTTTATCATTTTCTATAATTCATGTTTGCGACCAAAGAGCCTTACCTAGGTACTTCAACATACATATATCCCTACCTTGTACCTATCACATTATGCATTATAGGCTAGTACAATTTTGTAGTAGCCATACAAACAGCAGTTTAACATGGATCAGGGTATGACTGAACAAATCTTAAACCTCTGAAATGGTTAACCAGAATTGAGTATTCAGAATTAGGTACAAACAATCATCGTACTACAACTTACCTGTAATGTTTTTGAGATTTTAGCCTTTGTTTTTGCATCAACTAATGGACCACGGACCCGATTAGAACCAGATTTACCAAGATTTCCTACACTGAACCCGATAGTATCCTGATATGCATCATCCTCTATCTGAAACGTATAAAATATCCATCTCTTAATAATTATCCATTGGTGATTAGCTCTTTTAGCAGCTAACAACAACAAAAAACATTGATACCTAGTATATGTGAGCTTTCATGTGAAATACATTTCATAAAATACATTACAGGCCTTACTGTTTATCCTGGTCATACTTGAGCCAAGATATTTTAAATTTGTAAACATTTTGAGATTATAGAATAAACTATTAATAACTGACCCTAAAAATGAACAGATTTGAATGCTTAAAGTATACAATTACATTCTTTTTACATTTTTTGACTATATTTGTATCTTCATAAATGACTATGTATAGGTGCATATAAATAAATGGAACTACTGTGCATATATTTACTGTAGAATACAAAGATAAATGGAAGACTGATGAATCACTTACTGCTCCAAATGTCATCCTGTTTGCCTGCTTTCTCATTTCTGACATTCCAAGTCTCTCTTTCATTTTTCTTGCCCTAGAAAATGAGAAATGAGATATTTTTGTACGATTACATATCATTTCTAAACGTAAAAGGGCCGGATATTATACACATTGTGTCTTCAAATTGTATTTTAGCCTAACCAAGACCCCTGCTGCCATCTGCTGCAATTAGTGCTCTTTATGATATATTTAAGTGAGATTAGGGATGTCATAGGTTGTTCTATTATCTCTACCTACAACCAATGACATCATCAATTTAGCCAATATATTATCATAGTTTTTCTAATACATGAAAAAGTGGACGGATTTATTGAACCAATTTATTGAATTGGGATTTCTTCACTTTATAAAAAGTTTCTATTAAATTATGACCCCAGGCTGTAAAGGAATTTCCCTATCATATCCTACATACCTCCTTCCACCTCTCTTTTTCTTGGCGGCATCTATGGGTGCAGGGAGAGGTTTGATCGCTTTAACTGGTGGTGGTTCCTGAAGTTTGTCTAGCTTCTCATCAATTTCAGCTCTCAGGTTGTCACCAACATGGCCATCTGAACTCTCATGGAAGCTGTCCACTCTGGCTGCTAGGGTACATTTTGCAGATACGAGTCTTGCTGCCTTCCTTCGCAAATCCTGTATGAGATAAGATGCAATAGATATATAAGAATATATATTAAAATGTAAAGGTTCTATTGGGCATATTTTTCTGATTCAAATCTCGCTGATTTCCTGTGCCAAACCTGAATGACGAGATAATAATACATGTATAATTAATGCGAAGAATCTACTGGGCACACTAAGCTTACCAGTAACTATTTTTAAGTTAAATACAGGGTACCATTTTAGCAAATATTTGTTCAATACCGGTTCTGTTTCTTTGACAGTATTTCGCATTATTTCAAATAGAAGTCTATCGTTCCACATTTCTGTATGTATAATTACCAAGAAATTAAGATGCAAAATGTCACCACCTGTCATTTGTTAGCGGCACTGACCGCCATATGATAAACACCATTCACTAAAAAGTTTGGAGACAAAACAATATGTCAACACTTTTGGAGGTAACATAACAAACCCTGCAAAGAGGGTCAACTTACTGGAGGTGTTTTCTGTACAACATCACTGTAGTAAACAAACCCTGCATGAGGGATGGCTGCTGTTTGTGAGAAACCAGACAATGTTTTCTTTTGGGCACCTAGCAACAAAATGTTACAGGCAGGCATCTTACTGAGGGCAGATAAACCACCAGCTACACCTGGAATCACAGTATAACAATATTACAGATGAGATTACGGAGTCACTATGAAGGGATGTGGCAGATTATGAAAGGTGATTCAAATTAAATACAGTATGGGGAATATTGGGAATATACACCTGGAATCACAGTATAACAATATTACAGATGAGATTACGGAGTCACTATGAAGGGATGTGGCAAATTATGGAAGGTGATTCAAATTAAATACAGTATGGGGAATATTGGGAATATACAGAATTGAGATTATGAAGTTATGCTGAAGGTATGGGATAGTATGGAAACTCGAGAGTAATTAAAGGGAAGGATTTGTGGAACATTAGGGGTAAATATACGGATATGAATATTTAAATGTAAAATCAGGTGAAAAAATGAAAATCATGACTGGAGTAAGTATGGGGGGTAACATCAAGCTCTGGAAATAGGGAAGACTTAGGTAACTGGCATGGAGATGACATCTGGATGAGTGGCTTCTGCTTCTGGAGACAATGGGATAAACTGACTACTTATATTAACTGACTGACCGACCATTGTCCATTAATCAAATGTTCATGCTCTTCAAAGGATTTTTAAAGATAGCTTGGACTCTGCTACTTTGATTGTACATGTTTATGGACAAGGTTTTTCTCCTCACTACTCACCCATTATTTTGGCTGCAGTTGATGCACCAATGATTAGAGTAAGGTTTGGTGCAATGAATGCCATCCTAGACTCCACATAGTCAAATATCTGTTGTTTATATTTCACGAGCTCTACTGCCATGTCACATGCTTCGTACACTCTGTCTAGCTCCTCATTGGTCAGTTTAGTGCTGTAATATGAATCAACAAGGACGTTTCAGTTTCAGTCGAGTAACATCTTAAATTCAAAATATTTTGCACCAAATATCAAAAATGGGATATTATTTGTAGGGGTTTTGTTGAATTTCTGACAGTAGGTAAAGTGACCGGAAACAATCAGAGTAATTTTCTCAGGCTGATACGTTCAATGCATGTTTTAAGTAGGTGTTAACCGAGAGCATACTACAGTAAAACTAGCGTAATTTGGGTCAACTTTTTTCATTTGGGACGTGTCCTTTTCAGAGGTTCTTTTAAATAAAGGTCAGTAGGTCATGAGACTGAAGCATTCCACTTATGGAAGTGTTCACCTTACAGAGGTATTTCCCTTTAAAAGTTTTACTGTATACCCATATCAAGTAAATGACACCCACCCCTGTGTAGTCGAGGCTGTCACACTGACCACCATTATTGTAGCTGACGTCAATATTTCTTGCAGCACCTCATTATTCTTGGATTTGTCTATTTGATTACCTAGTTCCTGTACAAATAAACAATGGAGAATTATAGTCACTGTATATAATACATATTATCCCACCCTAAGTGCTTTATATGATTGTATAATAGCATTGTATAACTGCAATATAAAACCAACACTCATCGTATACAACTCTTGAGAACGATATACAACTCCTGGATAGCGTATACAACTCCTGGGCAGCGTATACAACTCTTCAACTTGATATACAACTGCTGAATTTAGATTAACCTTTTATTGATTACATATTAGGGTGGGATAATAAGATCATATAATGGTTGATTCTGTATATCGTTATACTCTCGTGAGTATATGATATATTCACTCGTTCCCTTCAGTCACTCGTGAATATATCATATACTCACTTGAGTATAAACACGATATACGGAATCAACCATTATATAACCTCATATTATATCATATATATACGAGTATATGACTGTATGTTATGTAACTGTCTTATATGAAGCAATTAATAAATTATACATACATACAGTAATTTAACATGTATATTCGAACACCTCTCTAATTTGAACACCTCTCAATGTGAACACTTTTTTGATAATCATATCAATGAATCATATTGAATGTGAACACCTGCTAATATGAACACTTTGAATTTGATTGAATTGTCCCAGTGGTGGTCGAATTAGACAGTTTTCAGGGCTGTCACCAAGAAATATTTAGGGTGTGGTGGAAATATCTTCAGCAAAACCGTTCAATCTTTATAAATCATCGCCATGTCATACTTTATCCTTTTTACATGCTATTATTGTGAATTCAGTCGAGTTTAGAGTGTGGGAACAATCATGATTTGCCTATAGGTTGTGGTGGGAGATAAATAGAGTGTGTTGCTGAGCGAGAGCCCTGGTTTTTACTGGAATATGAAAAATAGTTTCATGAGCCAAAGATGATAGTTACAGGGTGACTAAAAATGCATGCAATTATTTTTGGTCTTACTTTCTATAATGAGAGTGTCTTACACGTAAAAAGATGTTCTTAGATCCCACCAATGATTTTTGAAAGTTAGAGCAAAAAATCTGGTGACCTTAAAAACTTCTTATTTGTTCCACTTACTCTGGCTGTTTTGAGATATTCCATGGAATTTGGCACTAACGACTCCAATTCTGGAAACCTTTGACAATAGATGTCTCTAGTGAACTTGTGGATCACATCTGAAACAAAGAAAATTATCTATAGTAAAATGATTAAAGCGATAAAATGTTTGCGAAGTTCATTTTTGCACCACAGGAATTTGTTGTTAGGCTATATTGTTTCTACTACGTAAGTTAATGGGTGTTCCTTCAACAATTATAGACGGTTTATCTATGTACCATATGAGTGGTTTCCCTGGAAATGGTCAGCAAGATCATATGGGAATCGTAACCAAATGCTGATAACATCTGTGACAAAATGATATCCTTTAGGAAATATGAACTGCTAGGTATACACGGGAGAGTAATTTGAATTGAGACTTTACTTACTTATTTCATTATCTATTTCCACAGTCAGATTGTTGGCATCCACTATAAGAAGATATTCTGGATCCGCTTCTACTATTCCAACAACTGTAAACATCAAATGAAAGTCAAAAACATATTTAACACAATAGTCAACATATCTGTGAATGCAATCCGAAGGATGGACTCTTCAAAGACATCTGTATTAAATCGAACAAACAAATAGCTCTTGCATGCATTAGCCCTGTATTGCATAGTTTGCCATGATTGGCCTATATCATATGCATTTGCTTTGATTGACCCTGTATTGCATAAGCCCTGTATTGAATAATTTGCCTTGATTGGCCGATATCGCATGCTTTTAATTTGATTGACCCTATATTGCATTGGCCCTGTATTGCATATGTTTTCCCTAATTGGCCTATATCGCATGCTTTTGATTTGATTGACCCTAATATTGCATTGGCCCTGTATTGCATATGTTTTCCCTAATTGGCCTACATCGCATGCTTTTGATTTGATTGACCCTATATTGCACTGGCCCTGTATTGCATATGTTTTCCCTAATTGGCCTATTTCGCATGCTTTTGATTTGATTGACCCTATATTGCATTGGCCCTGTATTGCATATGTTTTCCCTAATTGGCCTATATCGCATGCTTTTGATTTGATTCACCCAATATTGCATTGGCCCTGTATTGCATATGTTTTCCCTAATTGGCCTATATATCGCATGTATTTGCTTTGATTGACCCTATATTACATTGCCCCTGTATTGCTTATGTTTTCCCCATATTGCACATATTTGCTTCTATTTATGCATGCAAAATTGCCCTGTATTGCATGTATTTGCCTTAATTGACCTTGTTTTGTTTTAACCCCATATTGCCATAAAATGTACATTTAATGTAAAATCTTTAATTGAAATGAAGTACATGTATACCAACCTTGAGTTCTTTTAGGTTTGCTTTGGAATTCTGCAATCTTCCTCATTACATCAGCTAACTGAAAAGAGATGACAGAAGATAAACAATAAAACAAGTAAAACCATACATGACAGCCCCCAAATCATGATTTTATTTTTTGATTGAAAGATACTGAGGCAAATACAGACGATAAGCTGATATCAGAGAGCAGGAAAACGTATGTCAGCATGTGAAGTGCTCACACTGGAGTGATATCCAGAAAATACCATCCAGAAAAATAAGACTAAAATTCATGACAATAGAGAGATTTCGCACATAAGTGAAAGTACAACTTATACGTATAGTTTAAAGGGTCATGTCGAACTATTATATTTACTAAAATCAATTTTAAATTGTACTAATGGAACATAACCATTCCCGTTATAGAAAAGCTCCATCAACTAGAGACTATGAATGCACTGTCATCTGCACGTGTAGATCATGCATATTATAATTAAATGCTTGCTTCCGTGTCCTTGTAGTTGTAGTGTATTATAAACACGATCCTTTAAAGTGAGTCAAGATTCTTTAAAGTGAGTCATTACATAAACAAGTTGATTATTTCAATGTTTTCATGATCAGTATAAGTTCAATGAACTTACAAAACAGTATATTTACGTAGATGATAACGTATACAGTTGGATCTCCGTATAAAGATTTGCCTACATACGTGTGGAACAATTGACCGCAAGCATTTTTTAAAATTAATTGGCTGAGTGGGAACAGTATCCAATCAAATACTTTAACCATCAATTTGAAACACCAATCAAACCAGTAGGTTCTAGCAATTCCTGGAAACAACCCATTCAGTAGCTCAACATATAGCATACAGGGTGTTTCATAACGAGCATCTCCAAAAAGTCAATTTGAGAAGAGATGGGTCTATAACATATGTACTATATATGAGCCTATTTTATTCTAGACAAACCCATTTGAATCAACTAAACATACTACAATTCAAGAAACTACAAATGGCATCCCTTTGACCTGTATTTATTACAGTCTGAGAAGATCTTTCCTGACGAAAAGCTCACATTATGAAACACCTTGTACGTTTACCTATAAGTATAAGTATACATTATAAGTTGTACTTTCACTAGGTGCGAAATCTCTCTATTATGAAAAGCCTTGATTTTTGTATATTTCTAACCCCTATTGATTGAAGCAACAGGTACTTGAGTAAATTTAACTTGGCATTCTCCTTACCTCTTTGCTGTCACGTAATTTAGCCACTGCGCGTACAGATTCACCAATGTCCACTTCCATTGCAGCCTCCTCTGCTCCAGGAGCCCCTGCTCCCATTTGCTCTTCATTCTGCTCTTCATTATCCGCTTCATCTGCCTCATCCTCCTCGAGATCAGCAAGAAGTTCATCTGCTAAAGACATGGCTTCCCTTTGCTATGCTGGGAGTCAGTATGGAGTGTGGTTTTATATAGATCAGAATGGCTCAGTCTGAAGATATATATGTGGGATCATGAAAAATTGATGAATATTTTAAGGATTGTAATTTTCTAAATGGTCTAACAATGGTCTAACTGTCTAATAATTCATATTGATATTCATTTGAATGAATAAGTTCATTTTCCTGTCAAGAAAATAGTTATTCTTATATAACTTGGAACTGGAAAGTTGAGAAATATTGATATCTACATGTGTAAATAGCTATTCTAAAATCCTAAATAAATCTCCAATTCCTCATTGTAACAGTTGTTTTATTCGGTTACCTGTATTTTACAGGCAGGCATGCGACCCAGGCGGGCACTTTTATTTTTTTCATATGGGTGGTAGGATCAAAAACACATTCCAAAATTATTTTATTGCATGATTATCTTTGAGATTCTGTCGTCGTGTAACTATATTGCTAACCACAATTTCAGTATGGTGGTTGGTACTTGGTGGTATACGCAATATTGTAGCAGCAAATTGGAATCTGTTCAAAAAACAAAACGAGAGCGATAGCGATGTATGGGTCTGGTCTACTGTGCGCTGATTGGTCAACAGTGATCAGTGACGTCAGGGTCAAGTGAGGTCACCTGCTTGACCACTGAGAACATTAAATTTAGAGAAAATCGGGACAAACTGAGCATGGCATAAGTAAACTGAACAATATTGCAAAATATTACACAGGATTTAAAAGGCCGAAACTGTTTGGAAAGTTCCTAAATTTAGTGTAATTAAATTCTTGACCAGAAGTTAAAAATCCAGTGTCCTTGACCTGACCGGAAGACGACAACGACAAGATAATGCAGCAAACTCTTTGTCAAGATCTGCTTGGAGAAAAAAGATGCCTAGCCCTGATATCCCGGCCTGATACCATCAGTAGTGTAAGGCACTGAACGATACCATATACTTGTTTGTTTTGTTGTTGGTTAGGTAGCACGCCTGTAACGTCACAAACGATTGACAAGAATTTAAACCCTGCTTCAGTAAACTTGATTTCTTATTTTCAAGGCAAGGACAATTTGGATACTTTTAATTCGGGTAGGCCTAAGGCCCAAGTATGTTAGCTTTTTTTGTTATGACAACATAATCTCAAAGAATGAGTCCATAAATTAATTTTGGAATGTGTTCTTGATCCTACCACCCCGATGAAAAAAATAAAAGCGCCCGCCTGGGTCGCCTGCCCACCTGTAAAATACAGGTAACCGTTTTATTCTTCCTTCAAAGGTCCTAGTCTAGACATGTAAGAGCAAGTCTGATAATTAGTATCTTTCTTTTTCATGGGATCTGACATTTGTCTCATAAGAAAACTGGGGCCATTGAGTATTAATTACACTTACTCCCCATTGTATGACATGCATGATATATTCCTAAGTTGAGTCTACTGTTGGAATGGCAAAAGAGATAAAAGCATCAGTAGGAAAATATTTACAAGTTTTGATAAATGTTCCTTGATCTGCATACATACAGGGTCGTAAAAACAGAAATCCTGCTGCTATTTTCCTAATACCTTTGTCATATTAGAAATTATTCCCTGATATTTGGCACATTTATACATTTAATTTCCTATCAGCCTGCCATATTTCATGACCATCAGACTGATATGTCCCTACCTGACTTCTACCTTTGGAAAAAGTGCCAAAGATAGAGTGTACAAGAATAACCTCAGAACAACTGCAAACTTTAAGTCTTATGGTTATGAAATAGGCTGGTAGGAAATTAGATTATGTTCAAATGTGTCAAATATCAGAGAGTAAATTTCCTAAAATGACAAAGGCAGGAGAAAAAATGCAGGGTTTCCATTGTTAATAACCCTGTAATTACATACAGTAAAACCTGCCTAATCTAAACACTACTGGTATTGGTCAAAAGTGTTCAGATTTACAAGATTTCACATTTTGAGGTATTTTAACATTGATATACCAGGTTTACTGTACACTAAAAATACAAAACAAAATATTTTATCTATACATGTTTATTTGAATTGATTGCACTAAATTACTGAAACATTCTTACACACACTACTTTTGGCAACAGAAGTTTGATGAAGAATAAGGTTTAACCTGACCACCTTTAGAAATCATATTAGAATAAAGCCTATTAAAAGTATGTAAATACTCAATTTAATGTTTCTACTTTATCCTAATTCCTGCTTTATAAAAACAATTTCAGGAATGTATTGACATAGCTTAGCAGAATGGTCCTGATAGGGAGGATATTATGTTGGCAGAGCAAATTGAATAATCTAATACAACTTTGGAACTTTTATAATAATGTTGGCGATAAGACACCATGAGCAAACAGTATTCCTCAAGAATATTTCTTGGTTTACATTGATGTTTTCAATATCATCTGACAATAGAAATGAAATGTATCATCTGACTAAGTAAGATTTATTCTGATTCCTAAAGTTCAAGCTATACTCTGAGACCAGAGAAAGTTGCAATTTAAGACAAAAATATCGTTCAAAAAAATTGTTTAATTCTGACTTTGAGTGGACTTATCAAGGAATTTACAATAGATATTGACTGGAAAACGATCTGAAGTGTTTAAGTTGCAGTAGGTTGCGCTGTTTTGTAAAAGTTGCGCTCTATACTGAAAGTTGCGGGTAGTTGTCACACGCGCAACAATGCAACTTTCTCTGGTGTCAGTATAGGTCTACTACATAGAGTATTCCCAATACCATTTTTAGATATTCTGAACAGAGTCAACAACATATCCATTTAAACCTTTAAGCAATGTGAACAGTGGTTTCTCATAGTCTTCATCTTCAAATTTTGTTGAGATTAGAACTCTTGTATTGTTGAAACACAATTTCTCAATCGGCCATTTTAAATCCAAATGGTGTCTGTGAACTTTGAACATATTTCCATTTGTACAAAGCCATACAACACCTTCAACTTGACCTTCTGGGTCATTTACGAACCATTCTTTCAATGTGGAATAATCCTGAGGAGGGGGGATGCTGAATCCAATTGCGCCATGTGGCACAAGCACGTGGATCGGCTTTTCCTTTGAGCCTAATCCATAAGGGTTGGCATTCACATTAGTCCCAATTAGTTCCAGTGTTTGACCAAGAAAATCGCTTAACCATTTGAAAGTAATTTCGAAATGATCATCTTTAGATTGCAGAGTAATACAGAGGCCTTTTTCTAAGTCAACTACAGAAAGATGCCAGAGATGAGTTCTTAGAGTTGGATCAATGGGAACCCATCCTGGGATGTGTCCATTGTCATCAGGCTGGGCTCTTCCATTTAACACCCTCACTCCCTCTGCTGGAATCCAATCTTTTGGTATTTCTTTAAAATCTTTATCAATGTTCCACTTAAAAGTAGGTTCTGCTTCAGGTTTCCCATGCAACATCCAAGAGCGGTGACTTGCTTGGAATTTTTTGAATCGTTTATCTGCTGCTTTATTTGGTTTAGAATCATGACGTGCCCAAAGCCAAGGTTTTTCATGAAACTCATGCACATACACACACGTTCCATCAAATTTTTCAGAGCCAGTTGCTGAAGAAATATTTGAATCCAGGGCAGCTTGTCTAATATTCTCCGAGGCCACTACACGATAAGGCTGCCACGATCGCTTGCTTGATTCTTCTTCAATAACAACAGTTTGGTATAAACATGGCATCTTCTGTTGCACGCTTCCATGTTTAGAATCCTTAATACTTCCAGCCATTTAAAGAAGTCTTCGCAATAGGTGTATGCAGAAACAAAACAAGAATGTATACCTAATATCTTCCCAGAATAAACTTGCGTTCGCTTAATTTGATTTGATACCATATATGTCCAGTGGGTACAGTAGTTGTTCACACACACACAGTTTTCTGCAAGTACACAAGAAACAGAATAAAAATGATCAAAAAACTAAGAAAAAACTCAAAACTAACAATGATTAATTAATAGTACCAACGCCATTTTTGTTCTGTTTCGAAATACTGCTCAATTTGGTGCTGGTGCTTTATGCAAACATGTACCAACTACCAAGATGTAAAGTACTGGCATTATGACAGTATTCAAGGTTTACCGAATCAACAGCACTGAACTGATCTTATAAGACCAGCGCATTATGTTTCCTAGCAATCTAAAGATAAAACACTTTTTCTAGTGAGAAGTTCATATGGTTAAAATAACGATATAATGAAATGTTACCATGTATCTACTTAGCAGTTTGTTCTATGTCATCCCTCCTGCCAGGTTACATTGTGGAACGCAGCCAAACACGACACTGAAGGCAACAACATATCAATCTTGATCTTAGCAGAATTTTTGGAAATTTAGATCGTCCATTTTGCAAGCTCATGTGACTGATCATGTGTCACGTGTCTGACCACGTGACATGTGTCTGATCATGTGACTAGTTACTGTATCGATCATGTTACTAAATGACTTGTCACCCAACCATGTCTTCAAGGAAAACGTGAGTAAATATTTTGGAAAATGTTTTGCGAGCATTTGCTACTGATTATAGAAGGCCCAATTACGCAACGAACAAAACTGCTAAATTGTATTTTGTGCCTAACAGGCCCAGAACGCAACGAAAGAAATTGCTAAATTGTATTTTTAGTCCTAAATGAAAATACTAAACATAAAGTGGTAAAAAACAATAAACTAAAGTTGATAGATCGCAACGTTTGCTTCTTTGATCGATTCCGGAAATCTCCAAGGGGCTGCAAAGGGGAAATTTTTTAGATTTAGATTTTATAATGTCAGATTCCTTCAGTGTCGTGTTTGGCTGCGTTCCACAATGTAACCTGGCAGGAGGGATGACATAAGACAAACTGCTAAGTAGATACATGGTAACATTTCATTATATCGTTATTTTAACCATACATGTATGAACCTCTCACTAGAATAAGTATTTTATCTTTACCTGTTTGAGATTGACCCATAAAAGTTGACCTTGACCTCAGGAAACCTATTTATGGATCACCAACCAAGCCAATTACATGTTCCTGGAAGTCAATAGGAGGGGGCAAAAATGCTGACCAAAAATCTGAAAATTAGGGCCCATTTTCTAAAAATAGCACAGTCGTAGAGAATGTTCTGGCGAAAGGAGATTGGGATTCCAAATTCAACAAGTTGGGAAACCCGAAAGAAAAAAATGAAGTTACCTTTTTTAATTCACGAATCTCTCCGAAATTAGCTCATCTCGGTGACTGTAAATTGCACAGCTGTATTCAATGGAGTATTTTCATATTCAATCAGCCTCAATTTTTAAGTATATATTTTATTCTAATGTGATTTCATCGTTTTTTTCGACTGGTAAGATTCCGCTGGGCAAATGGCAGGATGGATGACCCTTGACCTCACCTTGATCGAAGGTGATCACGTCATCAATATTACCAAGATGGAGGTTTCAAAATTTTCTAAAATCGCTTCAAATAATATTATGTTAATTCCTAGCGAGTTAACATATCTCTCTCTCTTTGCTATTTCACAATAAGATAATGAAATGTGTAAGGAATTCGCTTTTATCAGTTAAAACATCACATCGTCATGTGGTATTCGGAAACTAGACGATAAAGATAACGAAAGCGGGGGGGATTTGCAATGACGTCACTCCTCCAAAGAAATTCTCAACGATTTGCATCGCAACTGAGGAATAAACAATTACCGATCGCTAAAGATCAGTCCCTTGCAAAATCCTGAGTAATTACTTATTTCTAGGTTCATTACAAATCACTTAATGATTACCTTACGAATGAATTCTTCTTACATTAGAAATCAACATCTCATAAAATATGTCTAATTTAATTACATAGGAAACACGAAGAAATACATTTTTAAAGGCTGAGAGCTGGTATAAAAGGCAGATGGAACAGCCCACAACAGCCAAATATGGCAGTTTAAATGTCCAGTTCAAACAAAATGAGAAAATTTTCAAACTTTCTACTATAACAAGATTGTTACCATGAGTTCCAAGCTCTTTTTTGTTACAGAGGTTTATGAAACTATTATGACTCTAAATTTCAAATCAAATTCTAAATTGTTTCTTTAGTTTTTGTGAAATAAGACAATTTCCTTTTTGTAAATATGCTCATTAGTATAACTGAAAATTTAAATTTCAACCAATGGTCATCTCTTATCTGTTTAGAAGTAAACAAACATAGCATTAGGCTGTAGCTCTCTTGTAGCAGAGCATGTGTTTCTGTATATGCTGGACATTTAAACTGGCCACATTTGCACTGATTGGCTGAACAGTGACAGCTTGATTAATAGCTTCACCCGGGTCCAAATCTCTGGGCCTTTAACAACCATGTTTTAAAGTAGGTCAAATTTTTAGAAGGGTAAACTTCCCGTGAATTTTAAGATTGTCACGTTTTATTTGAGAACGAGACTTGTGCCAAATGGCCGTCTTTTCAGTCAGTCGACGTGTCAAAGTACATTTAGTATTATAATCACATTTCAGAACAATTTAGGAAGCAATATTTTCTATCTTCGTCAATTACAAAGCATCTAAGGTTCGTAAATTTATATGAACAACTGAGTCAATAGGGATAAATAGCCCAACGAGAGTCGGCGGTCTTGAAAAATACTTGGATCTTGTTGCAAGTCCTGTTATTGATATCAAGGGCAAAGGGGTGTAATGTCGACGTGTGGGGTAATGTCGACATAATAGACGGGGTAACTTCGACACTTACGTATTAGAAGTTGAATTTCTGTTTTCCACCATGTTTGATTTCTGGAAAAATTAAAATCTCGCGAGATATCAATCCATGCAAGAAAAAAAACATGGCTTCCCCCTAGATAGGAAATTAGAGCAAATAAACAACAAGGTGTCGAAATTACCCCACATGTCGAAGTTACCCCAAAATGGTGTCGACTTTACACCCCTTCGCCCTATCTCGTTCGGAGAAAGTATTAAACGTCCGTGAAAAATAGGCCAAAAATTAAAAAATACGGAGTGGCTCCAGGACCGACAATTGTCGGTACTGGAGACTGTCCAGGGGTATTTGCTGGGGTACCGACAATTGTCGGCACTCTATCGTCAACTAGTAGTGCCAGATAGAGAACCGACAATTGTCGGTACGCAAGTGGCTGCTACGTGTTTTTGCTAGAGAGCCGACAATTTCATAAATAAATCCACTACTTTTACTTTCAGAAATAACCTCATCACTGGTAGTCTAGTGGTTAGTGAGCACGACTTGAACACACTCGGTCCCGAGTTCGAATCCCGGCAAGACCTACTTTTTTTCTTTTGAGGGGGAGCATAGTGCTTCTTTTGCAGTGGAATCGTACAGGCATTAACTTGTAGTGAGCCATAATTTATTTCGACAAAAATTGATTCAACTTCCATCAAAATTGTCCTACAAGCTTCAATTAAAAAACATTTTAAAGCTCTTTTCTTGTTCTATCTAATGGGTCGATATATACAGTTAGGGGAGGGGATGCTTTCGCCCCTGTCGCTCTCTACCCTTACTACGCCATGGCACAGGAGAAATATCTCATTTGGAATATATCACTGTTTACTTTGCGTTTGGTAGCTCTCTCATGCGAGATGGAATCGTGGCCATTAACTAAGGGAGCCAAATGCCCGGCCAAATGCAACTTCCATCGATCAAAAATTGTGCTATAAGGTATATATATGTGAGCACCGTAATCCAACACCAAATTCGAAAATTCATAACAATACTTTGCACATATGGCGTTCGTGACCAACTATGAAACGCTTACCCCCCATAGTGTTATATATCAAAATGCACCTGTCCATATAGGGGTTCGATTGACCTACATCAAATTATAGGGAGTCAGGTTACTTTTTGATATATCAGCGTGCGTTTATTGTAACTAGCGTTTGCTACCACTTCCTCAATTCTGATATGACGGGCAAACGCGTAGTATTCATGCTCACGTTCGGAACTATTTTAACCTCTACATCGCTATTTTCGTAATTCAAATGAAAGCTGAACTCCTCTTTATTTTGATACCAAATAGTGGTATACTAGGTACCCTAGAAGCCAACTATGGGTTATTTAGAACGATACCACAGGTTTTTAAATGGACTATATAGGCGGATGGATATGGAACCTCATACCATAAGCTTCAAATAAAAAAGATTCTAGCTATTTTCTTCTATTTAATGGGTAGCAAACGCCCCTTTCTACGCCTGATCGGCTCAGGAGAAATATCCTGTCTGTTTAGAATATGTATAGCCGTTTACTCTGCATTAATAGCTCTCTAACGTCTTACTTGTTCATGTTTTTTATTGGACCTTTCAACGTTTACTACCATTCCCTGTTCCCGGGCTACCATTTTTTGACTGGGTTTGGTAATCCCCGGGTAACCGGGGCTAATGCCCTTCCCGGGTTTTGCACTTGTTCCCAAAATATCCGTATGATATCTGAAATATCCGCCCGCGCATTGCGCATGCGCCAGAAAATTCGAAAATCAATATTTGTCGGTCCTCTAGCGTGTAAACACAGCATATCTCCCGTACCGACAATTTATTTGTCGGTCCTCTAGCGTGCCACCACATCAGAGTCTAAACTCTGTTAAGCATGATAAAAGGCAAGAAGTTTAGTTAGAAATAAAAGAGTTATCTAATGAATGGGACCCTTACATGGCTCCTAAAAGGTAGAAGACACTAAATGGTGTAACACTATAAGCTGAATTTTGTCCACATAGAGCATGTGCACAATACTAAAGACATGTAAAATTGAACTGTCAAAATAATAGAAATTACTCACCAGCTCGCCTCTACCGGAAGTTATGATACGTTATGGTGTAACTACGGTAATTAATTTTAAAATATTGAAAAAATCAACAACATTCAATTTCTAGGGTGTACAACCATTTTCGAACGAATTTGCCGATATAATAACAATATTTTTTAGTTCCCCTAGGCTATATATAAACTTCATCAATACACAGTATATTCAACATAGGTTTTGCTTCTCGATTTTTAAATATCACTATGCAAAGACAGGGACTCATTTTAGGTAAAATCATTGCTTCACCAATGAAAATTAAAGGGAACGTTAGCTCACAAAATAAATCAATCTATTACAATGTTAAGTATATGATTTGAAAGATTGTCTGGATTATATGTGTGATCGATTGATGCATAAACAAACATATTCATTTCAACTTGCAGACCTCCATTCTGGCTCATGTATAGGCCTAAGACGCCATATTGACTTATGTATTGTACTGCCCATGCGTGCATACTTAATGCGTGACGTCACATCGACAGAGATCAGCGATCAAGTTTGACTAAAAAATTAAAAGATCCACACTTAACAGCACAAAAATGAACCAAGTTTTTAATTCCGATTTTGACTGTTGACAAATATAAAGAAAAGAGAGAAAGAGGCGACTTGTTAGAAACAATGACATGAAATTGTGAATAAAAAAGATATTATTGTGGGTTTTATTTTTAAGAGTTCATCAAATACACTCATGTGTATTAATTTAAATATGTATTGTAATACCTCTCAGTTCTACCAAGGATTATAAAAACTGATCGAAATGGCTTCGTTTTTAAAGTATAAAAGACACTACCCTACCCGGAAGTAGTATAACATGTATATTGTAAACTGTAAAGGGTTAACCCAACTAATTGTTATAACATGCGTATTCCCATACAAACGATCTGTCTTCAAGAGAAAACTAAGATTTGTGGACATGTTTTACTATCATTGCATCATACCCCAGTATGTCCTCTGTCAGTCAAAAAAGTTTGAATCAAAACTCCCCACGAAAATCAAAAGATCTCACCTGTTGAAGACGCCATCTATAGAAAATGTCAAAAAATGTCATTCTGATTTTGACAGATGGAGGCAGGTCAAAAAGGTCAAATTTTTTAAAGAAAATGCACCTTAATCACATCAAATCATGTCTCAGAGTTGGTCCACACATACACTTTTTCATTCATGTACTTACCAAAATCCAACCACTGGTGATGCTAATGTAATTACAATAATTGGACTACATTTTTGTTTTTATAATGCCATCTATTCGTCTTCCCACTCGGCGGAAGGATCTAATGGTTGTGTGTCTCCAAATCACGTGAATTGGCTGATGCAATCAGGATGTGACTAGTACAAAGTAACTATGATGCAATCAGGATATGACTTGTGCAAAACAATTGGCTTCACCTAGAATTCGCGATCTTTGCTCTTTAGCATAACATGAAGACATGTTTTGTGTTTAAGCAGCTAGATTCAAATACAAACTAAATGAATAAAACATAAACCAACCATCATTTGTTCCAATCATGGCGAATTTTCAAGGAAATATGTGTAACTGAATGTAAATCAACTGCGGAGCTCTTCAATTATGAGGTGAGAAAAATGTAAAAATAAAAACAAAAATAAATTTCACAGAATAGAGCTATTTATACGATTCTAAGTACATTTTAAGTGCTCCATACATTAATGTAAGTATAAAAGCCATAAACCTCAACTGGGAAGCACTTTCCAACTATTTTTACGGCTTGAATTGTAAGAAAATGGCACTTATCTCAAAAAATGCAAATTTGAAAGAAGCTCAATTTATTGTGAAGATGAAGTTTATATATATCTGTATATGGGGGTGCGAATATATAGTCATAGCATGGGCTAATTCTCTTAAAAATGGCGATATATACCTCAGAACTTGTATTTTGTGATTTTTTCAATATTTTAAAATTAATTACCGTAGTTACACCATAACGTATCATAACTTCCGGAAGAGGCGAGCTGGTAAGTATATTTCAGTTCTTTTGACAGTTCAATTTTACATGTCTTTAGTATTGTGCACATGCTCTATGTGGACAAAATTCAGCTTATAGTGTTACACCATTTAGTGTCTTCTACCTTTTAGGAGCCATGTAAGGGTCCCATTCATTAGATAACTCTTTTATTTCTAACTAAACTTCTTGCCTTTTATCATGCTTAACAGAGTGTACAATCAAATTTTTTATTCTGTCAATCAGTTCATATGGTTAGAATAAGGAAAGAATGTGATGTAACCACGTGTCTACTTACCGGCTTGTTCTATGTCATCCATCGGACTAGGTTACATCGTGGAACGCAGCCGAACAGGACGCTGAAGGCAACAGCATATTTATCTTGATCTTAGCCGAATTTTTGGAAATTTAGATCGTCCATTTTGCAAGCTCACGTGACTGACACTTGACACATGTCTGATCACGTGACGTGTTACTGTATCGATCATGTGACTTAATCACGTGTCAATGACGTGTCACCCAATCATGTCTTCAAGGAAATCGGAAGTAAATATTTGGGAAAATGTTTTCCGAGCATTTGCTACTGATTATAGAAGGCCCAATTACGCAACGAACGAAACTGCTAAATTGTTTTCGTGCCTAACATGCGCAGTACGCAATGAAAGAAACTGCTAAATTGTATTTTTAGAGCTGTTTATTGATCTATTGATTCATAAAGACCTGTAATGATGCATTCAAATAAGACCGCCTCCTAAATGAAAACAGTACACATAAGGTGGTGAAAAAACAACAAACTAAAGTTGAAAGATCGCAACGTTCGCTACTTTGTTCAATTCCGGAAATCTCCAAGGGGCTGCAAATGGGAAATTATTTAGATTTAGATTTTATAACCTCAGAATACTGGCTTCATTGTCGTGTTTGGCTGCGTTCCACGATGTAACCTAGTCCGATGGATGACATAGAACAAGCTAGTAAGTAGACACGTGGTTACATCACATTCTTTCCTTATTCTCACCATATGAACTGATTGACAGAATAAAAAATTTGACTTTAGAGTACCGACAATTGTCGGTACTCTAGCCTTTACGTAAAAAATAATGCCCAGTAAGTTTTTTACTGATCTGGATTACATAGAAATATATTCTCTCACTAAAAAAAACTTGGTAAACTGATAGATTATCGGATCTAGTCTAAACAGTGCTAAAAGAAAAATGTGGCCAAAAAATTGAAAAACCAAAAAATGTGTTCCGTTTAGAAATTAATAATTCCTGCAATAGTCAGTCAAAGTTGCAATTTTATATCTCGGTAAAATATTGGTAAATAGGTAACGTTGGAAAAAACCTTACCTTGTCTTGGTTTAACTGACAAATAGAACGTCTAGTGATATAATTCTCAATATTTGTGAAAAACGTTTTAGATCGTAGTCGCCATTTTGAAGCATGTCTATATTCAAAACTAGAATTTTACGTTCATTAACGAAAATAATATTTGAACACTCAGATAATTAATTTAAAAGTTAAAATTTGACATTGAAAAATAACACTCATCATAATTTGATATTTGCACTGCCAAAACTCAAATATAAACATTTCAAAAAAATAATTTATTTTGGGGGGAAAACGTAACCACGCTTACTTTTAGTAGAATCCAGGATCTAAATTATCAAAATTTCAAGGTGGTGTTAGTAATTCTGTCTGGACGTTTGTCCGTCTTTGTACATGTATATCTACATTTAATTCATATGTGAGAAGACTAAAAGCAAGTGAATATTGCAGGTATGTACATTACATTACTTGATATGTTATATTATTGGAAACAGAAAGAAAAACAGGCTTCTTCTTGGAATGAATTTTCAGGGAGCAAAGATTTTCGTCAATGCATAGGCAGTCCCACAGATCCGGAGCCAGATCCAGCCCCTATTGGTATATTTATTGAGCCATTACACCACTGAAGAAGAGCTAATCTGGCAGAGGTCCGTGGGCAGCCCTGTCAACCCTCACGCATAAGGCTTGATTGACACGCATTTGCTGGAAAAATAGGCTAGAAATCACCATCAATTTAGCGTGTATGATCAAATATCACACAAATCACGCATTTCGTTGATATTTTTAAAAATTGTTTTTTATAAAATGCTGACACAGTAAAATACCGTATGGCGAAAAAATCGAACGCATTTCGTTCAGTTTTTGCACGCGATTACTGTATATGTCACGCATTTGGTCCAAAACATGTGTGTACATCACGCATTTGTTTCGAAAATATTTGCACCTACCCCTGAGGGGACAGATTTATATCATGAAAGATACCATATAATGATATACACCAACACTCTAACGATAAAATAATCAATTATGATGATTTAGGTGTTCGGAATTACCCCCATGCTAGTGTTTGGAATTAGCACCCTAAAATACATTGTAGTTTAAGTGGTATAACCCAGATTCTAATTCTTTGACAATTTATCGGAATTTTTTATGCAAATGCATTTTACAGCGTCTAATTCACATAACATATACAAAATTATTCTACAGTTTGGCTGTACAGCCAAGCTAACTATTTAGATTAACTATTTAAATTTTTGATGGGGTGTTTGGAAATAGATGTATTGACTCTTGTTTAAAGTCCCCGTCTAAAGTTTGAAAATATTTTTTTATCATTCATTTACTATTTGTCAGGACTTAAAAAGTGATTTTAGAGATTTTGAACAAAAAAAAAATTTTGAAAAAAAAGTTGTGAGCATTTCATTTCTCAAAAATTCAAATTTCCCGCCATTTTTCAAAAAAAGTTGAAATTTCTTAATCATCAAATATTTCTTAATGCATTTCAAAAAAGATTATCTTTTTAAAACCAATGCAAAGATTGAACAAAGGACACACTATTTCAATAATAAAATGCCATATTAAATGGGCCACTTCAATGTTTTAGCATATCAAAAATATTTTGAAACATTAGTGATGTCACTAAGGTAACCAAAACTTTTTGAAAAAAATTGAAAATTTTTTTTCGATGTCAATCTTTTCTAAATATGCTAGACTTTCATAAAAAAACAATGTTGATTGTCTAACCAGGTTAAAAGGAAGAATAAATTATGTTTTAGATATCATTGTACCATTGGTTTCTATGAGAACTAAGATTTTGAAATGCATTTTTCTCAGAACCATTTTCATGCACTGATAAGTTCATTTCTTGCTTGTTTATCAACCGATTTTCTTAATTTTTTCGGCAAAACACATGGGAGGATGTACGCTATACATTGTTATGAATTGTGGCTAATTAGAAGATATGAGTGACTTCTAAAAGTTGGTTTTAGATAAATTCACAAATTTTGGAACAAAAAGTCTATCAAAAACCACTTTTTGAAATTTAAAAAAAAAGTTTCACATATCACACTTTGATAACATTGGGATAGACTACAATATAAGCCAAAGTGGTTTAAACTTTACATGGGGCCTTTAACAGTGATAGAATTTGAATAGAATACAATATAAACCTAACATTTTAAAAATAGATCTATGGATTACAACTCATTATAGAATAACGCAGATGCGAGTAGGTAGTAACCAGTTTCACCACCAGGTGGCTCGCTCGGGTCAGATAGCATGGCGGGTATAGTAAAAAGTTCCCTTTAACTTAAATTACATCTGTTTTAGTGGTTCAATTTTCATATAACCCTTATGTATCTAATAGTTATGCAAATCAAAATATGTCCAGTAAATGAAAATGTTATCTGACCAATACAAGAAAAGATATTTTACTTTTTGTGATTTTGCAACATGGGCTCTATGGAGAATCAACCCGAACTAGAAGTCACACTTTCAAAAATAATTAAATTTTCAAACTTGATAAACAATTTTCGAAACCATATTTCTAGACGTAATTTTACATGTAAATTTCAAATATAACATCGCTTTGACTGAATTTTGAATATTTAATGGCGTTAATTAAGATTTTTTCTACTCGCATCTAGTCAATTGAAAGGAAACTCCCTGGTTGGCCCATGTACCCCCCCCCTCCCCCCCCCTAGGAAGTTCTTTGATGAAATACCCTGGAATGACTGTCAGCCTATCATGTTGACATCGCCCCTCTTTACCAGAATAACTGTCAGGCTATCATGTTGACATCGCCCCTCTTTACCAGAATGACTGTCAGGCTATCATGTTGACATCGCCCCTCTTTACCAGTAGTGCAGGCTTGTTGCTGAGCACTGGGACTTTCTTGAAATTTTTTAAATTTGCCATAGATCTATTGCTAAAATACAACTCAGCGGTGGCGGTAGGCATATATTTTTGTGAGTCATCATGACTCAGGTAGTTTCAAAAAAGTGAGTCACAAGAAAAAAAGTTGAGTCAAAGCTATAAAAGTGTTTTTCTTGAGTAAAAATGCATACAAAATGTAGAAACCACATACAAAATCTATTTTTTGATTTTGTGCATACCTTTTATTGTACTCTTATAGCACATTAACAACTAACAATTAATTAATTAGGCAATTGCAAGAAAAATGTCACTATTAATCATCTGATTATCTGGTCCAGCGAGTCATGGGTGTGAATGGAGTGGGAGAGGAGTTTCTCCCTGTGTGGAGTTACACAAATTGGGGTCAAAGCGTTTCATGTTGAAATTCAACATTTTTGCAATCATTCCAAAGTCTAAAACGGCAATATAAGTCCGACCACAATACTGGGCATCATTTAAATTGAATACGGTAGAATCTTGTAATTATAAAATGAAACCGAAAGTAGATTTGTTTTCATACCTAATTTATCATCATTACCCCCCTTAATGTGCGATCGACTGGATTTTCATGTGCCCATTATCTATCTTCATAGGATCAGCTTCAGATCTAGTGAATCGAAGATCTTAACTTGAGGGAGTTAATTGAAAATACTTGGTGAAAACTTACGATAGATCGGTCACTGTGAGCACCATTGATAAACCTACTGCGCATTACATCTGCGCATGCTGATGAAGGGGACGGCTCAAGGAAACTTGCTAACTTAGCGAAGGAATTTTGCGAACTTGCGAAGGAAACTAAAGGTTCGTAAATCTAGCGTGTGAACATTCAAGGAAAGACTTTATGCGGTAATTTAGATAAATATACGATCACTAAAATCCTTAGAAGGGAGTATGAAATTAATAAATTATTGTTCAATGTTATGTTCGTTTTATTGCATTTTTGATACGCCCCCTAGCACACGAGATAAACAAATCAAGGGATCGATCAATGTTTTCAAGTTTATCATTGAATCTGAATCACAGGGCTTTAAAAATTATATGAAATACCGAAATAAGAAAATGATCGGTAGGAAGGAGGCTCGATTGCGCTGAACGAAATGTTAGATTTCCGGAATTAGCAAAATTATAAATTTGATCAATCACGTATTTTCACGTATAGGGATCAATTTAACCAAGTACCAAGCGGGGATTTTGCATGTGAAACAAACGTGCGTCAGAAAGACTCGGTAGACGCCATTTTTCAAAATGGACGCCATTTTTCAAAATGGCCGCCATTTTAACGTATTTTACTATAACTCGAAAAGTAGTGGAGCGATTTTGTTCATATTTGGTATGTGAATACTATAAGCATGACACACTGTCCTATGACACTTTTGGTAGAAGGCGACCATTTTGAAAAAAATTTTGAAAAATGGCCGCCATTTTAACATATTTTACTATAACTCGAAAAGTAGTGAAGCGATTTTGTTCATATTTGGTATGTGAATACTTTAAGCACGACACACTGTCTAATGGCACTTTTGGTAGAAGGCGTTCATTTTTCAAAATGGCTGCCATTTTAACGTATTTTACTATAACTTGAAAAGTAATGGAGCGATTTTGTTTATATTTGGTATGTCAATACCATAAGCATGGCACATGGTCTAATAGCACTTTTGGTAGAAGGTGGCCATTTTGAAAAATGGCTGCCATTTTTGCTATATCCTTTGTTTGCAAAAATGCCCTCCATGGCTGTTCGATGGGATTCGCTACGCTTTGGCGTTGCCATTGTTCTTGTGCTATCCTATGGTATAGAGCCTCTTTAAACTACTTGACTAGTTATTGGCTAGGAGGCTCAATTTGTGATCAATACAATAATTAAGTTATTGTCTACAAGCCATATTGCAAATCTTAAATATCACCATTTGAATAAATCATAGACAAATCTGATATATGTTATGACATTGAAGGAATAGCAAAAAAATGAATTACAATAGACAAGCAAACTAGGATTAATTATTTTCACATGTTCAGTTTTCACTTCCAGAATGTCAGAAAATAAAAACGCACCAGGTAGTGGATTTAACACAGTCTATGGCCCTCCGTTGACAGCAGAACCAGTGGGTCCATCGGCTCCTCCCCCAGAAAGTGGGTACAATAGTGCAGCATATAACACACAGTATGGGGCTGCGGCTGCCCCTGCTGCCCCTCCCCCAAGCTATAACAGTGTAGTTAGTCCCCAACAGCATGCCTTCTCAATATCATACGCTGATTTCCTGCCTGACATGACTGAAGAGGGTGGTGTATTCTCAAGTGCAAAATATGAACGATTCGAGTAAGTGCATCTTTTTATTCCAGTCATTTTTGTTTGATAATAGTGATTCTGAATTAAAATAGACATGTACATTGTACAGGTTGGGCCAAAAAAGAAACGATATACCCAAATTAAAATTGAAATAAAAAATGCTCTAGACAAAGGCACTATGATAAATTATATAAGTCATGTAAATTATGAAAGATATTTCAGTTTTTTCTTGATAATTTTACTGCCTTATCTTGGTTAGAAATTTGCATTATACTGAACATGTGTTTTTTTGTTATTTCATTTTCAATTTAGGTATCAGTTTTTGGCCTACCCTGTATAAAGGTAACTTTGGGCCTAGATGCCTGCCGTTACTAGTATATGAAACTCAAAACGTATTGAAGAGAGTTAATATGTACGCTGAATCCCCTCTTTTAAATCTTGAAAAATTGCCATTGATTATCACACTTACTGAAAGTGCTATTTTCTAGTCGTCCTGTGCCGATGGCCATGCATCTTCGCCTGCATTGGGTGGGCACCACATAAAATCTTAAAATCTTTAAATTCCAGGAAAACCATTAATTCATTCAATTTGAAATTTTTACAGATTCAAGAGCAGAATCTCAGCACCAAGTTCTGATTATATTTTGAGCATTCTTGGTAAACAATTTGGAGGGTGCTAAATGTTAAAAAATGTCTTGTTTCTTATAGCATTGTTGTAAGCAAAGCAAATGCATGGCTACGCTCTCAACCCCACGTAAGAGTGTCATGCTGTGAGACACTTGAAACTAAGCTTAGATATGGAAACATAGATACACAAAAATCAACCTATTATGAAAGAGGAGAGTCAAATCAACGCTATGCCAGATCTTTAAGGTAAGACTAGTTGATATTGTTTTTTTGTCACCACCAAAAGTGGTAACATAATTGTTATGGTCTCGATTTTTGTAATGGCGGTGGGCATCCAGGATCAGGCATCTGTAACAAATGGCAGGTGGTGGCATGTGCAGATATGGCATGTGCATATGTCTTGTATTTCACTGGGTTGATACTTTCTGTAAATTAGACACTAATTCAATCTAAAAGTAGAGTTTATCTAATTTGGCTTGTGTTTGGGTGTTCCTGCACTTGGACCTTTGAGACAGATATGCCTCACTTCAGTTTTAAATGAGCTCCTCTCTTTATTGCCACAATCAAAAAGCTAAAGATATGCGCCTCACTCTCCAGAATAACACAAAATGTGTAGATTTGAATGAACTATTAAGACAATCCTGTTTGAATCGATCAGTTCAATATCAACCTCACTTTGATTTTCTCAAAAATTACTATTAATTAAATATTTAGTGACATGGCAAAAAATCTCTCCAAACCTCGCCCTGCTTGCTTGGCAGTAGAAGAACACAATGATAACACTTACATAATGAGATTATTCCCAATTAAACAGAAAATTGATGATTTAAAATATAAAATCTCTAAAAGTTATACAATTAATCTACAACTCATCATTGCGAGAGGAATATTTCTCAAAGGATGTTAAAAAAGCGATGAGGCAAGCGCTTCGTCTCCCTCATCCTGGCTACGCTAGAGATATTACACTGATGTAAATATTATTAATGCTGGTACTTATACTAATAATCATTAGACTCCATTCCTGGGTTCACGACTAAGGTCATAAACCTGATTGGCTCAATTTGACATGTTGCCGACTGCAAGGCAACCTGCTTTTCCAAGTTCACTGTTCAGAGTAAAAAGTAACATTAGAATTAATTAGAAAATTGTTAATGACTGGATAATACTGGATAATGACAATTATAAGATAGTATATGATATTGACAAATTCTAGAAACATGAGAAAGATAAAGTAACTCAGAGCTTTTACTACGTGATGTGATGATACATTGGTTTATATATATATACAAACTGAAATCTCATTATGAAGCAAAAAACGCATCTTTTTATTACTGCACATGTACCCAGACATAAAACCTGTGTCATATTTGACATTTTTTGCCGAGAAAAAATATAATTTCAGTGTTTGGTAGGGATTACAGAGAGGGTAATTTATACTGAAGTCAGTAGAGTATATGTGTGGAGGAAGGGTGTCTACTGGAGATTAGATGTGTCACGGATTCCCAATATTGGACAGAATTTTTTTGGACCGTGACACCTCTACTGGAGATAAGTGTTGACTAGAGAAATGTGTTCACTAAGATAGGTTTTACTTATCCCGTGTCAGGACTGTGGTCCTGTGAACATCTCAATCTTTAGCCTGTGTGATTACAACATGGGAGAATTTTTTACGCTTTTTACGCTTCAGATACCTACTTCAATAGATTCCTTGGTATTTTAGCATTCCTTTCATGTAGTTGAATCCACAATTGTTTGGGTTTATCGGCAGAACGAAGACATTTTCGTTTTTAATCGCAATATTTGCGTGTAACTTTAACTTATTTACACCGTCAAATTCCTCCATATTGGTACTTCCGGGCCACATCCGGGAGAGTCAAACGGGGGATTCCCCTTTTAAATCCAACGGCCATCTTAAAAAGTGATGGAATCTCTCTCGATGAAAAAGAAAAATGTTCTTGTTCTGCCGATATACCCAGACAATCGGCGGTTCCAATATATTAGAAGTTACATTTTGAGTTCTATAATGCATTGAGGTAGGTATCTTAAGTGTAAGGGGCGTAGATAATTCTCCCAAGTTGTAATCGTACAGGCAAATGTATGCGCTCGACACAGGACTATAGTCCTGGCACGGGATAAGGTTTTACTGTACCTTACTACTGTTGATCCCAGGTTATTACTAGAATAATGTATGGCTGTTCATTGCTTTGTAATATTATTGATGCATTTATTTGTCTCTTGTGGTTTAAGTGCTTTTAGACTAATATACTTAAATTGTTCATTATTGGATGATTCAGCAGATTATCATACTGAATTAGGATTTTTTCCGTCAATATGCAGTCCCACATGGAAAAACAAGTTCAAAAAGTCAGTTATAATTTTTCTTGAATTAACATGATTCATTTCTATGAAATTTGCTTCATTGTATCAATGATATTACTCTATTACAAACATGGACATTTATATCCCATCCGACAGATTTTTATTCAGCATATTTATAAGGCAACTCACTTTCAATCTTGATAAAATCATAATGTTTTTTCTGGCTCAATGTACTATAGCGAACTGTGCATTTTTATCTCACCCTACTCTATTTAAACTGAATTTGAAAATTTTACTACATGTACAAGTTGTTTCTATTTTACACTCTCTATCCTTCAGAGCCATTTAAAGTTTATACATGTACTTTAAAAGTTTTAATGCAGAAATAAAGTGCAATTCCATTCTTTTTGCATTTCGACAAGTAGATTTTATCAGAAGCAATTAGAAAATGTCCAAGATCAATGTCAAGCAATAAGTAGTAGATATTCTTTGATTTGATTATTGAGATTATCAGTGTCATCCATGAGTGGATAGTGAATAGAAATAAATGTGCCTTTGTGAGTTTTAAAAACAGTTACTTCAATGTTCCCTTTTCTCTCCCCCTTTCTGTCCATGTACCCGTATTTAACGCTTAACACCTTGAAGGTCTTGATTCTCCAGGTCGTTAAGTAGAATAAACGCAGATACTGGTGGATAGGTGTCACTGCCATCAATGCAACGTAACTCAACTTTTTCATCGGGAAATATGAGAAAGGCGTGGCTGATTCTGGTCTGTTGTAGTTGTTCCTTGTTACCCATCACTGAATGTGGCTGTAGTCATAGTTAAAAGACATGTATTTGAATCTCTGAAACAACTAAATTGCATTTATAAGACATTAAAGAAAATATTCACCATATTTTATCTATAATAATAGCGGTTGTTTTAAGAAGTATATTGAGCATATACATGTACTTTTTAAGTTCTCTTAGTACACTGTATAATGCTTATGGACCTTTTTATCTAGTGAGTTTGATGTCTTAACTAACCCAAAAATTAGCAAACCTATTTCAAAAAAGTAACATGTAAGCATGTGTGATGACGATTTCATACTATTTTCTTTAATTTTCAATATTTATCAATTTTCCCCAACTCATTGCTGCATATAAGATTGTATTTGGTATTTCATTGAATTCACTAACTGTGGGTGGTAGTTTGCCAGATGTAAGCCTTGCCAGTATGTTGCCGGTTTGTAGGAGTAATGAGTCCCCCTTGTGCACCACTGGGACACTCTTGCCTGACATTGTCTTCACCTTTAAAAGAGGAGTAAATCACAGATAAAGAACAAACACAATGATTGATTGAACATTTTTCTGCAATTCAAGTTCAATAGACCTTTCCAATAAACCCTGACCCCTATTTGTGAACCAAGGAAACTAGGGTATATTGGCTAGATTTATGATGTCATACTTAACAGGTAGTAATGTTTGAAAACAAAATTGAAAGAAGTTTTTGAAAATTGGCAATATTTTAATCCTATTTCTGCACTGAAATTGTAAGAATGACATCATAACGAATAAATGGCATGATTGGTCTATTGAATGTTGTTATTGGGAAATTGATTAGTTAATTAATTTTAAAGGCATTCTGTACATGCTGGGTACTGTAAAACCTGTCTAATCCAAATGCTCCTGGGGCTGGGACTGACTGACTGACCAAAAGGCTGTTCAGAAAGCCCATTTGCTGAGTTGTGTTTGGATGAGAAAGGTGATCTGATAATCAGATTTATGTGTAAATACCAAATGGTAATGTGGTATCTCATATTATTTGTCTCAAATATAATTGGCTTAATTGACTTACTGTAAGGCCATTAACATTTGCTTGGTGGAGGATAGTTATAATGCTCCTATCTTCGTGTTCATTTAATCTTACAACCTGGTCATCAATTGGAAAATCTTGAGGTACTTTTGGAAGCATATTTCCTCGCAAAGCACTCCCATTCATGCCAGGTGTATGGATATCTTCAATCATTTTGTTAAAGTAGTCCCGGTCCGTATGTAAAGGGAAAGTTAGCGCAGTGAGGACACGTTTGGCCAGTTTGAGTGATTCACCAAACAAGGCATTGTATGCTTCGTTGAATCCGGGTATTATGTCATCAATGTTAAGAACAGATACCTACAAAAATATGTTTTCTTAAATTTGAGAGATATCATTTTCATCCATATGAGTCGAATCCATATCTCTGAAAAACTTGTATATATCGTGTTTTCAGTCATTAATGAAATATGATAGTTAAAGGCATTGATCACCTTAATGGTCTCCCCATCATAAGTGCAACGGATTGAATGCCGCACCCTGATGCAACAAAAATAACACATGCCACCTTGTTGAAAATGTTAAAATAATATGTATTGAGATATTTTGACAATAATAGGTAAAAATTAGGATAAAATACTAAATAAACACCAAAAGTGCAAATTTAAAGTCCTTTTGCCCCATGGAGTCCCATGAAGTCCCAACAGGCCCCAGGGAACTTTATCAAGAGGTTGATGCCCTATTAGTATATGACAACACCTGAAGAGGTTAAAGTGCATATTCTACCTGGGCTAATGACGGAACAAATCGTACGGAGCACACATATTCTGGATCAAATGTGTCTCCTGATGTGTCTTTTTTCAATAACACCATTCTAAATGAAAAAGTATTATAGAAAGTTGTGACATCACATTAATTAATCAAATTGATTACTATAAATCAGAGAATCACTTTTTACCTCTCATTTATACAAGGAAGAGTGCAATGATGGTAAGTGATTTTTTGATATGAAAGTCGCTAGTTCCTTATGTTCGGAAATATTAAATTGCCTCCAAATTGAAGTTTCATGTTATTTTCAGGTACTAGATATAGTAACTCATTCAATACTTGACTTACACATAACTCATTCAATTCTTGACTTACTTTTTGGTAACAGTTTGAATGCCATGCTTTGTTGCGAATGAGTGTTTTACTATTCCCCCTTCTTCCCCATCCATATGAATATCACATTTTCCTTGGAATTCTTCGCCAAGTTTCATTGGTGCAAAATATGGAGCTATTTTCTCAAAGTCAAGTTTCTCTAGTTCACTTGTCACTCTTTCTGCAGCTTTTACCTTTAGGAATAAAACAGCTAAATCAAGATCATAATTTATCAGATTTTTCAGTTTCATGGAGGACACATGTTTCAACGTAGAATGTGAACAGTTAGCTTAGAACATGTAGTGTAGAAATGAGTATCATTGAAACTAATGTGACTAATGTGAGGTAGTTCAATTATCGTAATTTTTTTTTGTCACATGGATTTACCATAGTTATATGATTAATCATCAACAAAACAGTAGGTATAGCGACTCATTTACATGTTTGGGAAATACTGAAATGTTAAAAAATATCTAGTAGGAAACTAAAATGTGCATTTACCCCCCCCCCCCCTCAAACTGAACTGATTTAGTTCCCTGTCAGTCATTGATATTTTGATGCTGCTCCTTACATGACCTTCGTAGGTGTAAATCAAGAAACAAAAGATGTACAAAATGGAAGGTTTCCATAGTGTTCCATGAAAACAACAGGCAAAATTAATAGAAATCATAAATTTAACATGGAAAAATTGAAAAGTCCCTATCTAAAACAACAGGCGATTTTATGAAAACAACTGGTGAAAATTGCCTGTTGCCTGCTTCTAATGAAACCCCTTGTGTTATTAAATTAGGAACAGTGATATGGAATAAGTATGTGTACTTACAACTTCTTCTGGAATTCCATGGTTTGTCAACAAGGCTGATGTGACGTCATATCGCTTGAAGGAATCAAAGATGTCTTCACCAAGATCTCTCAAGTCATTGTCATCAATTTCAGCATCATCCAGTGTTATGTTGATCTTGGTGCAGTCAATTATTGGTAGTTCTGTTAGTTGTTCCATATTATTAGCTGTTAAGGAAAGTGGTGTATTTGCACTAACATGTAATTGAAAAGTTCCCAGGCCTGTATCACCTTTTGCCAAGGGGGAGGGGTCATGTTTGACCATTTTGGCCCAAATTCATTTGCGAAGTGCTCAGAATGGAGAAAAACTATATGGTTTTGAAATAATTGGTTAGGGAGAGAGAGGGGGCGGGGGAGTTTGGCTCGCAAGCCCTAAACTCCCCCTGGCCAGTGACATGGGTCCCTAGTGCTCTATGTATCTTTTAGGAATGATTATATAGTGTAGTACAATATATGTAACTAGAAAAGTGGATGTTAAAATTGCAATGAATGCTATATGATTTACCTTACTCAGTAAACATTTACCCTTTGCATTCGTTTGACTTTGCTTCTTAAAAGAGAGCTTTGTAGTAGTTTAACTAGACTCTGCACGCAGGGTAGTAAACATTCCAGTTATTCCAGTAACCCGTAAACAATACTCCTCAAACCAGTCTACATGCAAAAGTGTTCCTGATATATACCAACGAGTGTAGATTCTGGGCTTTAAATCCAATTATCACATAAGTTCTGTTGTATGTAGATTAGTATCATTCTGTATTCCCTCACTTGTAGAATATTCTGTTAACATTAGAAACTTACTTGAAGTTTTCAACTTAAGATAAACACTAACACACTTATTGCATATGCAGCCACTTGTATATTTTAAACTCATATGTCTCATAAATCATGAGATCAGATAGTGAAGTCAGACTATATAGGACACTTTGCCCTCATTACAGGAATACATGACTTACATGTTTTTTAAAGTTTCCATTTAGGTTAACGTAATTGATATACCTAATTACCCAAATAATATACCTAATTGACCACTATGGTCCACTTTTTGAAGATTCCAAGGGAGGGGGGTCACTTTTGACAACTTTGGCCCAAAAATAGCCAAAATCACCTAACATTGTGCTCAGTGTGAAAAGCTGCATTGTTTTGAAAGAATTATTGTTCCTCCCCCCCCCCCCTTGGCTACGGGCCTGAAACTAGTACTAATACCCTGAGGACTGGCCTCGCAATATGATGGTTATTAAGTTTATGTCATACATGTATTTCATGAGGAAATAACAATATGAGTCCACCATTGGATAGTTGCATAAAGTACATCATATTGACTCCTGAGGGAGAAGACTCTCAATCACTTCTCCCTAGAGATCCAGGTTTCAAGTAACCTGACCTACCTACAGAAAATATAGGTAAATAGAGATTATCTTACACGTGAGGTTCAGGATATTGGGATTATTTCCTCTGACGTAAAGCTATTATATCGCTATTATATCGCTGCTTTATAAATAGAGATTATCCTATATGAGGTTCAGGATATTGGGATTATCCCGAGGCCAATATAATATATCTGCCCGAGCTACGTCCCGAGGGTAGATATATTATATTGCCCAAGGGATAATCCAAATATCCTGAACCGACTATAGGATGATCTGTTTATCCCATACCAAACACATTGTTCAATTGGCCGAAGTTCAGAAACTTTGCAACCAACCGTAGAATTATTTTAAAATATTCATGTCCAGTTTTGTATTCTTGTTTCTTTTCCTGTTCTAATCTTTGATTATTAACAGGGCATACTGCATTTTCCCTTCTTTAACCTTTAGCGTGCTGCCGGCGGACTCGTCCGCCGAGACTAAAATGTCTCTCACAACTGCCGGCGGACCCGCGCCATTCGTATTGTCCAATTAGATTGCCCGATTTATTCAGTGCCTAACATGACTTCCTGTTGACCTAGAAATGGCGATATTTCGAAAAATAATTCTCAATTCAACAATTTAAACAGTGTTTTAGTCATTTTTAGTGAACGAATCGTACAAAATGGTGGACAAATACGATCACAACGAAAATGTGGAGGAAATGGATAACGATTTCGAGCTCTTTAGGCTCTTGGAAGCCGATAACGGTCATCGAAAATAGAAACTAGAATATTTCCTGAATTGAAAAATTGAACATTCGATCGCTGCAAATTCAGATTTGGATTCTGACCAGACGAAGAGGCGGAGCGGCGGATTCCGGAGGAGTATTCATGGTATATTTATGCCCAGTCGTGTTAATGTACGAAAAAATTCATGAGAACATTTTTTTCATGAGCCAGGCCACTGTATCTTCCCTTTGTGAAAATTTTATCCAGATTCATTCAGTAGTTATTGAGATATTAATTATTTAGTCCAGGTATATCATTTTTTGCACTCTTTGAAAAATAAGCCAGTTGCGTGGGATATATTTGCTGAAATAAGGCAGCATGGTAAAGGTTAAAGCATCAAACAGATCCGGCGATTGTCTCCATTTTTCTCCAATGTCGTTTACATATATGCGAACGTTACAAAAAAGAACCAATACGAGAACAGCGATTACGACGTAGCGGGCAGATATACTATATCTGCCCGCTTGGAGCGGTCAACAATTGTTGACCTCTCCTCTGGAGAGGTCAACAATTGTATACTGTACCTTCATTTCTTGATCCCATGTTATTACTAGAATAATATATGGCTGTTCATTGCTTTGTAATATTATTGTTGCATTTATTGGTCTCTTGTGGTTTAAGCAAGGGAAAGATCAATACCCGGTGATTTCAGCGGGAAGTGGCGTTTCGTTCAGTGGATGAGCTGCGCGCGCACGCATAAATGTGATTATCAATATTATTAGGGGAGGGATATTCAAGCTTATTTTCGTCATAGGCGCGACCCAGGGCTGTTGTCTTAAGGACATTTCGTTGAAAATTAGCCATTCGGCTGATAATTTGTAAGAGTTTTCGATCTTATAATGTATAACTGTTATTCAGACACATATTTTGACACGATTTTGTTGGAATTAAGCTTCGAACAGAGAGATATTCACAATTGATATGCACATTTTTGGTTGTGCCATTGCTTTTCAATTGCACAATCCATGTATTGATAGAAGTAACCCGATGCAGATTGTTTTACCTTCAAAACATGGCGGATTCACTACATATCGGTCTATTAAATACCATTTTGTGCCCTAAATAGTTTTATATTTCCATCACGGCCTGGGTGTGTTTGTCTCTTATGTGTATGCGTGTGAATTGGTGGGGCTGGTAGGGCCACCAATCCCCTAAACCCCGCCCATCCTTTATTCTACTTCCCACTTATTATAATTTATGCTGTAACATTAAGTGACTTCGCTGGAAAACAATAGGAATTATTTTTCTTGCCAATCAATCGTGAATCACAATCAAAATGTCAGAAAGGATCAATCAGGCAATCGTCTAAAATCCAAATCAAGTTATAACATTATATGATATTCAGCAAGAAGTCCGGTAGAAATAAGGAATATTTAAACATGAAAGCTGAAAGTTAAAAGCTAATCTGTCAATTTTCTGTCTGCAAAAGAACGTTTACATTTGACAAAATAAAAGACCAAGGCTTTGAAATCTAGGATTCCCCAGGAAAATATGACGTCATACTAATTAGCATAAGGATTTCCCTAGTGGTCTGGGTCGCGCATCGTCCGAAAACACAATCCGACAAATACATGCTAATTTCTAAGGAGATGGGAAGTGTATGACGTGTTTATCGATTTTGTTTAACGATTTAATCAATTATCAAATTGTTTAAGTGCCCAGCCTATCGTCAGGCGCAATATTGGTCAATATTTGAGGTCTACTTTTGGTCAACTCATGAGGCGTACTTCTGGTCTACTTTTGGTTTTTCTCTGTGTTAAATCCCCATAGTCAGGCGCGTTTCAAATATTTAAATTAAGCCAAAAGTAGACCAGAAGTAGACCTCATTTAATGACCTCATCAGGTTTATCAGGTCTATATTTGAGGTCTAGACCTCATTTAAGCCTCAACTATCTGTAAATCAGGACTATATTTGAGGTATACTTTTGGTCTACGCCTTATTTGAGGTTCACTATTGGTTTTCAGGTCTACTTCTCTTCTGCTTTTGGTGTACACCTTACGTTAAGGCACATTTCAATTATGGAAATTAAGCCTTAAGGTCTACTTTTGGTCTAGACCTCATTTCAGGTACAAGCCTCATATACCTGTAAGTAAGGTCAGGTTATGTTTTGTTGTTTCAAGATAAAGTACTTAGTACATATCAGTACCCTCCATAGTTGTTAAATAAATTGCATTTATTTTGAATTGCTGTGTTGTTTTCTAGGATTAACTTGTCTCATGGATAAGATACAGATCTATGAACACATTAGAAAGATGAAGCAAAAATTACACAGTATTCTTATATAAATTATATGTAGGCTTCTAATATGATGTATTTTTGTTTCATCATTTAAATTTAACAATATTTCAATATTTTATTATTTTCAGACATCCTTCTTTAGGTTTCCCAGATTTTGATTATTTTTTTAAGTTCTGATAAAAACCATTAATAGGGAGTTGAAAATACAGTTTACTGGTCTGTTAACTGGTCTGTTAACCTAAAAATTACACAGTATTCTTATATTAATTATATGTAGGCTTCTAATATGATGTATTTTTGTTTCATCATTTAAATTTAACAATATTTCAATATTTTATTATTTTCAGACATCCTTCTTTAGGTTTCCCAGATTTTGATTATTTTTTTAAGTTCTGATAAAAACCATTAATAGGGAGTTGAAAATACAGTTTACTGGTCTGTTAACCTAATATATTATAATCTGTCTCCTTCGTGATTCTGACAAAATACTACAGTAAGTGTGGCTTTTTCAGATTTATGTTTTCTAAGTTTTTAAAAAAATTCTATGTTTATCAGGTCTAGATTTGGTCATTTTATAAATGTTTAAGTTTTTAAGGCGCAGTTTTGGTCTATACACCTGTCAGTGAGGTCTATTCTAAAATGTTCTTAGTTTATCAGGTCTAGATTTGGTCATTTTGAAAATTGTTCAAGTTTTTCAGGCGCACTTTTGGTCTATACGCCTTACAGTGAGGTCTATTCTAAAATCTTCTAAGTAAATGTGGTTTAGATTTGGTTTTTAAGGCGCAGTTTTGGTCTATACGCCTGAAAATAAGGTCTATAACTGGAATTATTGTGAGTAAATGAGGCTAGGTTTTGGTCTAAGCCTTAAAAATACCTGTAAAAGAGGCATACTTTTAGTCTAGACCTGAAAGTAAGGCGCATTTAAGGTTAACTTTTGGTCTACGCCTCAAAAACCTGATGATAGGCTGGGTGGATAAAGTGGTCACACTTGCTTCAATTCATAGCGTAATCGACGGATAGAAACTGCACCGAATTCCCGATATCCTACCCCGTATTATGTAGGCTATAACCACAGTGACCTGCAGATGGCGCTATCACAAACAAGTACTGCACGAACCGATAAATTCCCGGGTATTGTAACGCCCTTGGTTTAAGTGCTTTTAGACTAATACACTTAAATTGTTCATTATTGGATGATCCAGTAGATTATCATACTGAATTAGGAATTTTTTCCGTCAATATGCAGTCCCACATGGAAAAACAAGTTCAAAAAGTCAGTTATAATTTTTCTCGAATTAATATGATTTATTTATATGAAATTTGCTTCAGTGTATCAATGATATTACTCTATTACAAACATGGACATTT